TGTCTGGATGACTGACTGGCCCCCCCCAGTCCCAGTTCGATCCTTACCTGGTCTGGCCAGTCCTGTTCTCTCCGTTCAAGTTCTGCACTTACCGGGTCGTATCCATAGCTTGGTCTTTCGCGTACCGTGAACCGATCTCTGCATGTAGCTTCTCCAGCTTCATTTGCTTTCTCCGCGACCTGACCAACAGGTACCTGCCTACCTGGAGGTGGACCGTGTCGAAGACCTGGACCTTACCTCACCTTCCCTGCATTTTTTCTTTTTTGTTTCCTTCTCTCTTACGGATACCTTACCTGACCTTACGTTAAGGTCCTGGAGCTTTTTTACATACCCATCCGCCTTGCGTGAACTGGGGCTCCGTCATTGTCCACTTTGCGCTGTCTACCCTGTGCCTGTAACCTGTGCCTCTGTCTATGCCTGTGCCTGTTATTATTATTATTATTGTTGTTGTTGTTACTGTTGGCGCTGGTGCTGGTGCTGGTACTGCTGGCTGTATCATTGCCCTGTACTGTCCTTGTCATGTTACCTTTGTCGGAGCAAACCATGCAATTACTATAGTAGGCATGTTTGGAAGTGATGTCCAGGCCCTTGTAGGTCTTGCCGAACTGTTGCCGTCGCCGCCATCGCCGCCGTCCGTAATCCTCTTGTTTTTTTTTTTTTCTCCGTCGTCGCACTTTCTTCGCTACTCTCTCGCTGTTGCTCAAAAGAGTGAGAGAAAAAAAAGTGGACGGACTAATACCGTCGCTAGCGGGTACGTAGTGGAGACCCTTTTGGGACGTGGATTGGCTTCCCTCTTTCCCTTTCTCTCTGCCCTGGGTCAGCGTCGGCCGGATAGCTCGCTCCACGGTCCACGCCCACACCATTCACGCTCACTCCCCAACCCACGTCTTCGTTCCACACCCCCATTGCCCACACCTCCCGCCTTGTATCCACTCCCCTCGTCCACCAGGTACGCCTACTGCTTGTTGCTGCTGTTGATCCTATTGCTGCTGCACCACACACACTCACGGCCCAGTGTGGTCGCCTCTTTCTGCTTGTCGCTCGTGTCTCTCTCCCCAAGCCCGCACTTTCTTTAAAATAGCGAAGCTTCCGCACCTCTTGACCGAACCTCCTTTCCCTTCTCTTTTCTCATCACCCACGAAGGCTGCCTTTTTCATAGATTGCCTTTCACATTCGTGTGGTGCTCAACCTCCCTCCCCTCTCCACTCTCTCCCTCTTCTCAATCACCTTTCCTACGACCTACAAGTCAGTATTCCTAGGCTCGTTCCTAAGAAGACCACTACCAGCGCCTTGTCGTAACCCGGAAAACAACCAATTCAACTCCTAATATCCGCGACTACTTTTTACCTTTCACCTATTCGCGCATAATAGCTTGAGCAGAGCTTGTCTGCCTCAAAATCAGTCGCCATGGCCGAGTCTAACACCGCGGCGCCGGCCATCAACACGCCCATCGAGGGCCACAAGTTCGACGAGAAGGAGCGCCCCGTCGAGGCTCCCCCCGCCTCCAAGCCTAAGGTTGAGGAAGACGAGGAGGAGGATGAGGATATCGATGCTCTCATCGAGGACCTTGAGAGTCAGGATGGTCACATCGACGAGGAGGAAGAGGGTATGTCATTGCGCCCGCAATTGCACAGCAGAGTTAGCAGCAAAACGTTGCTCCTCTAGTTTGGCATGCACAATTCCCCTCGCCGAGACATGGCGCTAACCCACGACTTACAGATGACACCCCTGGTGTTGGCCGCGTCGTCCCCGAGGAGCAGCTCCAGACTGACACCCGTCTCGGTCTCACTGAGCAGGAGGTTCTCAACCGCCGCAAGAAGTGGGGTCGCAACGAGATGGCTGAGGCCAAGGAGAACCTCATTCTGAAGTTTGTATGTCACTCCGATGCCCTGCGCTGTCCCCACCGGAGCAATTGCTGACCCCTGCTGCAGTTCATGTTCTTCGTCGGTCCCATTCAGTTCGTCATGGAGGCTGCCGCTGTCCTTGCCGCTGGTCTCGAGGACTGGATCGATTTCGGTGTCATTTGCGGTCTTCTGCTGCTTAACGCTGTTGTCGGTTTTGTTCAGGAATTCCAGGCTGGTTCTGTAAGTCAACAAGGCCCCACAACACTGGCACGCGTTGCCAGGGGTTCCCGCGAATTTCATTGCTAACCAACCACAGATCGTCGCTGAACTCAAGAAGACTCTTGCCCTGAAGGCTGTTGTTCTCCGTGACGGCACCCTGAAGGAGGTTGAGGCCCCTGAAGTTGTCCCCGGTGATATCCTCCAGGTTGAGGAGGGTACCATCATCCCCGCTGATGGAAGAATTGTTACCGAGGATGCTTTCCTCCAGGTTGACCAGTCCGCCATCACTGGTGAGTCTCTGGCTGTTGACAAGCACCAGAACGACTCTTGCTATGCTTCTTCCGCTATCAAGCGTGGTGAGGCTTTCATCATCGTTACTGCCACTGGTGACAACACCTTCGTCGGTCGCGCTGCCGCTCTCGTCAATGCCGCCTCCGCTGGTTCTGGTCACTTCACTGAGGTTCTGAACGGCATTGGTACCATCCTCTTGGTCCTTGTCGTCTTCACTCTCCTCATCGTCTGGGTTTCCTCCTTCTACCGCTCCAACGGCATTGTCGACATCCTCCGCTTCACCCTCGCCATTACCATCATCGGTGTCCCCGTCGGTCTTCCCGCCGTCGTTACCACCACCATGGCTGTCGGTGCCGCCTACCTTGCCAAGAAGAAGGCCATTGTCCAGAAGCTCTCCGCCATCGAGTCCCTTGCTGGTGTCGAGATTCTCTGCTCTGACAAGACTGGTACCCTGACCAAGAACAAGCTCTCTCTTGCCGAGCCCTACACCGTCGCCGGTGTCGACCCCGAGGACCTCATGCTCACTGCCTGCTTGGCTGCTTCCCGCAAGAAGAAGGGTATGGATGCCATTGACAAGGCTTTCCTCAAGTCTCTGCGCTACTACCCCCGTGCCAAGTCCGTTCTCTCCAAGTACCAGGTTCTTGAGTTCTACCCCTTCGACCCCGTCTCCAAGAAGGTTACTGCCATTGTCCAGTCCCCTGCCGGCGAGAAGATCACCTGCGTCAAGGGAGCTCCCCTCTTCGTCCTCAAGACCGTTGAGGAGGACCACGAGATCCCTGAGGAGATCGACCAGGCCTACAAGAACAAGGTTGCCGAGTTCGCTACCCGTGGTTTCCGTTCCCTCGGTGTTGCCCGCAAGCGTGGCGAGCACGGCACCTGGGAGATCCTCGGTATCATGCCCTGCTCTGACCCCCCTCGTCACGACACTGCCCGCACCGTCAACGAGGCCAAGGGTCTTGGTCTGTCCATCAAGATGCTTACTGGTGACGCCGTCGGTATTGCCCGTGAGACTTCCCGCCAGCTCGGTCTCGGCACCAACATCTACAACGCTGAGCGCCTCGGTCTCGGTGGTGGCGGTGACATGCCCGGTTCTGAGGTTTACGACTTCGTCGAGGCTGCCGATGGTTTCGCTGAGGTCTTCCCCCAGCACAAGTACAACGTCGTCGAGATCCTTCAGCAGCGTGGTTACCTCGTTGCCATGACTGGTGACGGTGTCAACGACGCTCCCTCCCTGAAGAAGGCCGACACTGGTATCGCCGTCGAGGGTGCTTCTGACGCTGCCCGCTCCGCTGCCGACATTGTCTTCCTTGCCCCCGGTCTTGGTGCCATCATTGACGCCCTGAAGACTTCCCGCCAGATTTTCCACCGCATGTACGCCTACGTCGTCTACCGTATTGCCCTGTCCATCCACTTGGAGATCTACCTCGGTCTTTGGATTGCCATCCTCAACCGCTCCCTCAACATTGAGCTTGTCGTCTTCATCGCCATTTTCGCCGATATCGCCACCCTGGCCATCGCCTACGACAACGCTCCCTTCTCCAAGACCCCCGTCAAGTGGAACCTGCCCAAGCTCTGGGGTATGTCTGTCCTTCTCGGTGTCGTCCTGGCTGTTGGTACCTGGATCACTGTCACCACCATGTACGCTCACGGCCCCGACGGTGGTATTGTCCAGAACTTCGGTAACATGGATGAGGTTCTCTTCCTTGAGATCTCCCTTACCGAGAACTGGCTCATCTTCATCACTCGTGCCAACGGACCCTTCTGGTCTTCCATCCCCTCGTGGCAGCTGTCCGGTGCTATCCTCGTCGTCGACATCCTCGCCACGCTCTTCTGTATCTTCGGTTGGTTCCAGCACGGCGAGCAGACCTCCATCGTCGCCGTTGTCCGTATCTGGATCTTCTCCTTCGGTGTTTTCTGCGTCTGCGCTGGTGTCTACTACATGCTCCAGGACAGCACTGGCTTCGACAACCTCATGCACGGCAAGTCGCCCAAGGGCAGCCAGAAGCAGCGCTCGCTCGAGGACTTTGGTAAGTTTTGATACCCCCATTACCCCACACTGCCTGTTACAGGATAGTAGCTAACCGTTTCATCAGTTGTCTCCCTGCAGCGTGTCTCCACTCAGCACGAGAAGTCCCAGTAAACAATAACATCTTGATGGGGTCGGACTTGGACATGACGCGATTCGTGCCGTGCCCAACCGGCTCCGTGGATGCTCTTTCTCAGGCCTGCTAGACTTTTGGCCTTAATGAGACCGGAGGAGAAAAGGACATTGCTTTCTCTTTGTTTAAAATTGTACGATGTCAACCTCATCGGTAATTACTGTGATTAAGTGGGAGAGGGGGAGAATACCCTGATAGTGCGTCTAGACCTAATACAAATTCGTAAAATTATAAAATCATTGCATGTGGCATTTTGATAGTGTGATGAGTTGTGCCGTGATGGTTGTTTCAGGCAACATCCAAAGTGTTTGGATGAAGCAGACGGCAGGTAGGTTGAATTACCAAAGTCTTTTGGTATACCTTGACTTAGGTCTCGATTCTATAGCATATATGCAGTAAAATTTGGGTGTCTTGGTAGCATTAAACCTAGGACGCGCATGTTGTTCATCTGTAGTTTCATTCGATTCAATTATTTGTATATGTCTGTCTATTGAGGAACGACGACATCCTTAGAGGTATCCAACTCCTCGTGTCTTCTCAGGTCCATCGGTCTATCAAGCAAGGGCACGACATAAGGGTCGAAGGTCTTCCAGTAGGGGTTCTCAAGGTGGTACTTTTGGCTCTGGAGAACGATGGCGAGTTAGTAGCCAATCTACAGTTATGGTGTGCCGCATGGATAACTCACAGCTTCGGTCTCGAAGCGCTCTACGATGGTAAATGACCTGGGGTCATGGACGTCCTGCATGACGAACCAGCTGACTGTCTCCCTGTCCTGGGAATAGACGCGAGAGGCCTCGATGAGCTTGGCCTTGATGCGCTCAACCGAGTCAGGATGGTCGTTCGCGTGGAGGTGAACGGTAATTGTGTAGACCATTTTGTAAAGTAGAGGAGAGTTTCAATTGACTATATTCCCTCGTTTGGTGATTAATCAAGAAAGCTATAGGGAGTAGCTGTTGGAGGTGAAGGTGGTTGAGGTTGGAAAGGGAGAGAGAAAAAGAGCTCTGGCCTAGCTATCCTGCTTGAGCGGGGTGGAGGGGCAGGTTGACAAGCTCAGTAGAGGGGCGAAGTGGAGAGAGATACAGGAGAGGAGGGGTTTCCAGGTTCAGTGCATTGAGTTTGGCCGGCGTCGATGCGGCTTTGTGGGGTGGCTGTTTTTTTTTTTTTTCATGGAACGCGTGGAATGTCTCTTGGGGAAGTTATTCTAGCTTGGCAACACGGGCAGTGTCTTGGATTTTTCTTTCATGATGATTTCCTTCTTTTCTTCTTCTTCTTTTCCAACTTCAGCACCTTGTAGCATAAAACCGTTGAGATTCGGCTTGGCTTTGGTTTACCAGGGCTGCAGTACAGCCACTTTGAACTGGGTATGTGTGGATGATGATATCAGCCTCAATACGAAGTCCACCGGACACTGGGGATATGGACCTTGGCCGGGTTGTGAACCCATGCTTCTTTCTTTTCGTCTACATTGCGGCTTCTGAGTAGAGAATTGGCGGTTCGTAGAACGTTTTACAAATCTTTTCGTCTTAGGAGGTTGGTAATCAAATGACCTAGAGCCATCCTGCACTTCGCCGATAATGGCCGGCGTCACGAAACCATCGGCGTCTGCCGTCGGAAGCTGCTCCCGAACTATATCACACTCGAAGACTAACAGGTAGAGGAAACATCCCCCCGGAGCCGCCTAGCCTCGAAGACTCTGCGAAGGTGAAGCCAAGCTTTTGTAGCGCTGCCCAGCCAGACCGCCGCTGTCAAACAAGCGGTGGCTGGAGAAAGCACTCTTCACAAGCATGAAAAGGCGGGAAAGACTAAGAGTTCTTCTAGAGCGGCCGACCATTGTAGCGAGGCCGATAGCATCTAGTATAGTGTTAGTCTCGCTGTTTCTCCCGGCGCGATCGAGGTTTGGCTGCAAGTCTCCACGGCATTTGGAGGCTTGTCGCATTTTGTGGAGGTGCCTTAGATGGGGGTAAATGCAGCGAATGTAAGCACTGGCTATGGCGCTGTCTAATGCAGTGTACCACCCACCACCACCACTACTACCACCACCACACACCCTAAGAGCACACCCCCCTTCCGGGGGACCGGCACCGACCGCCACTTCACCGTGTTACCCACTTTTATTTTTTTCTGTGGTGGTGGTTGTCTCCCCCGGCCTTCCTGCCGCACATCGACCTTCTATCTTGTCCGTTGTTGCCGTACCACATTGCCTGCTCGGCGCCACCGACGCCATCTTCCTTCGGGGGTTACTCTCTTTGTCATCACCAAGACGACATCGTACACGAGCTTCCATGCACGTTTTTCCCAATTACACGTGCGATTGACAATCTGTCTGTAGTTTGCTGCTGTTGTTGTTGCACACCATCAAGCCCAACAAGCGGCATACGCTATTCAGCTCTGGTCACAGTATCATCTCCTTAGCTCGAGAAACTGTGTGCTGCCCTGTCTGGATCTTTGGATGAGAAAACGGAAAGGGAACTAACACAGGATTCGTGCCTTTCTTCTTTAGTGTTTTACTCTCTTGGGGGCAAAAAGGACGGTGGCTTCTTCCACATCTGGCAAATTTACTCATCTCCTCTGGTCACCGTCTCTTAGACGATACACGCATATAAACACACACAAACGTATACACGCAACACTCCCCTTAGAATACTGGAAGACCAGTGTCTTCGTCATCCGACACCTTCTTATTTCTACCCCTTTTGTTCGGAGCCGAAGGCACTGCACTACCCAGAGCGCTCGTCTGCTCCGACGCCATGGCACCCCAACAACGGATGCAAATCCCTGGGTTTTACTACGGTAATATCGACACGCCCCTACCCCTACATCACCCATAGTCTCTCCTCGGCATGACTCTGTTCTTACATGACCACGGCTGACTCGGACGGTTAGATGAAGAAAAGGGTAAGTATTTCAAAATTGAAAAGGCCCAGTCGGCCCCGCAAAACGCCGCGTGGTCCGCCGAGAGCGTCAAGCGCCGTAAGATCCAGCACCGCGAGGCCGAGGCGGTGGCGGCCCGCCGGGAACGCCTGAAGCGGCACATTGTCCGGTCCGCCATCCTCCGGGACCCGCTGCTCGGCGGTTTCTTAGAGGCCGAGCTTGGTGTCTCACGGCGGGAGAGGAAGTTACGTGCCGGCGCCGGCGGCGAGTTTGGACTAGAAGATGTGCCAGCCGTTGCGTGGACGACGAGCTTGACGGACAAGGGAGACGTGCCTTTTGTGCCTAGCTTCGCAAGGCAGAGGTTCCCCAACATTCCGTGCTTTTATGTCGGCGGGGACGATGTCAAGACGGGGCTGGGGGTTGCGTATGCGAGTGAGTTGATGAGCCCCTGGTTTTGGAGATATCCTTTGCTGAGAAGGTAGCTGTCGACGAGGAGACTTTGATTGGGTCTTATATTCCCACGGATGAGAACGAGAGGTATTACCAAAAAAAAGTCTCAATCGTGATTTCAGGTCATCGTGCTGACACTACTCAGGATATCCTTCAGTACGGATACGTCCGGCCGTCCGGAACACCGTCTCTCGCATCGCCACGAGATGATCGGTTGTCCGCAAATCTCATCTATAAACTACCACCCTCACTCCCACCGCATGATTGTCACCTCCCGCGAACCCAGCAACACCTGCGACATATTTCTCTTCTCCCCTCCCAAATCAGCACCAAACGACGACCGGCCCCTTTGGCTTCTTGACCGAGGTAACTTGCCCCTTGATCCCCTACCAGTGCCTTTCTTCTTTCAATTCAGTCCAAAGACTCACCTCTTGCAGCAAACAACCTCCGCCACATCGCCTTCAACACAGGCCGACGAGAAGGCGTAGTAAACCAAACAACACCCGCGCCACCCTCATCGTCATCCCTAACCTGCATCATCGGAACCAGCTATGGCCTTCTCAAACTAACATCCGACGAACGTATCCATTGGCTCGGCCCCCAACGACCGCGGCCAGGTCCCGCGGAGGGCGACTTCTTCGACCAGAGTTTCCTCCCCGAAAACCCCAGCGTCCTCCTAGCTGGCGGACGCAACCGCGACGTGAAGCTGATCGACCTTCGCGTCAAGTGGTCCGAATGGGAATCCCTGCCTGCGGGGCCCATAGCACACCTAAAAGCCGTCAACCGGCACCAGTTCGTCACCGCGGGACCTCGGTCCCGGATGGCGGTTTTTGATATCCGCTACCGCCGGTCGAAGCCGAACGGCACCAAGCCCGTCGTCGAGTTTGCGGCATACCGGAACGAGGCGCACATGCACATCGGCTGGGACGTCGACGTGGCTTCGGGCGTCGTGGCGGCCGCTCATGATGACGGATCTGTAGGGATGTACTCGCTGTTGTCGGGCAGGAGGCTTCGGTGTCCCGCCGTGGACGTTATCAAGGCCAGGACGCCGGTGAAGAGTCTCCAGTTTCAGACGATGCCGGGGAGGAGGCACCCGAGTTTGTTCGTGGGCGTAGGGCCGAATTTGAAGATGTTTTCCGTCGGGTCCGTTGCGACGGATGATGAGTGTTGAAACTCTCTGTGGGAGTAGGATACCCTAGCCGGCGACGACGGCTTTGTTTGGAGAAATGGATTCTGAATGCTGTATTCGGGACTGCGATGTTGGGTTTGGGGGAGTGATGTAGCGTAGCATTTGATCATCGCCACAGGGTATTACACCCGAAAATATCACCATGAATTACAATTATATCCTGTGTCCTTGGCGGCGCATCTATACGATTGCCTCCTTTGTATGGGTGGCCATCGTCGTCGATGCCCCAGAGACATTGACATTGTCTGGGATTTGGTTATGCCAACACGGGACGTCGAGATGGACCGGCAAACGATGTCCTCTCTCCGTGCTGGCTCCGAAACGTATACAAGCCAAAAGGAGGACCTATAGCTATCGCTGTTGTTCATTCCGCTGTCGTTGAATCATTTCGGTTAAATACACGCTATCCGGACCTACAATATAGATTACCCACCCTCGAAGCACCGAATCACGAGCACGAGGGACGGAATACGCATGGAACCCGCATATACTGAACATGGAGTAACATTAAAAAAAGTCGTCCTCGTCCATTGTCGATGGCCACGAAGCAGATCCGCAATTCATTTTTGCCATACCATTTTCCTCTACGCCGTCTTGGGGGCCTGGGCCGTTCCCTATATCCTGCACACTCCCAGTCTCGATAAAAAAAGAATCAAAGGAAAAAAGTCGAAGCCGCCCACCCGACGATGACCGCCAGTCCAGCATTGACCTAAAGACGCCTATAGGCTCGCTTGTAGCAGCAGTGATGGTAGTAATAGTACAGACTCCTCACATGAAAAAGAAAAGAAGGGGAAAAAAAATTGAACAACGCCTGAGCCGGACCCACGAATGCCTCGCGAGCAATAGAACCGATCCGTAAAAGGGGCAACAACCACCGGGCCCCCTTTCAAACATTACACATGCCCTCCTCTCCCTCCCTTTTTTCTTTCTTCCCCCCCCCCCCCCCCCCCCCCCCCCCCTTCCTTCGTACCTTTTTACATTATTCTCATAGCTTCAGGTTATACGTCCCCGCGAGCTTAGGGAACGTCTGGTGAAAAGCCGGCCCGAGGGTCCAGTTCTCCAGACGACGGAGGTGCCGCTCGAATACCGGGTTGATGACCACCTCGTCCGAGTCCGGGACCTGCAGCAGTGTGTCGGTCTCCTCGTATGGCCAGTTGAGGCTCAGAGTAGTGGTGAAGGGGACGAAGAAGTTGTCAAACAGGTACTCGCGCGGGTTGTACTCGCGGCAGAGCTTGTCGCGCATGGCGGGGAAGGGCACATGGTCGATCCATGCCGGGTGCTCTGTGAGGATCTGCGAGGGCCGCGGGCGCACCCACTCCGGGAGGCGGTCGTAGTTCTCCTGCGTCGGGGAGATCTGCCAGCGCATGATGAGGAACATGATGTAGAGCACCGCCGTGCGCTGGGGCAGGGCCGAGAGGTCGGGGAACGTGGCGAGGATGTCGGTGAAGACTTTCGACAGCGGGTGAGAGTATTTGCTGTTTGAGGGGTTGAGGAGGGAGAGCACGGAGGGGTAGCGCGGCCCGATGACTTCCTGCGTGGAGAGGCCGTCTGCGGCTCTTTGGCGACGCTCGTGGAGGAAGTCGAGGAGGAGACTGTCAAGGGGGCATGTCGGGCCGCAGTTCTTCAGCTCCGCTGTGCAGGTCGCCGGCGCTCTCGGCTCAGAAGGGACTGACGGGGTGGGTAAGGGCGGCGGCACGTGGTCGGTTTGCGAACGTGGGGTGTGAACGGTCGGGCCGCTGATGGACGGGCTGCGGCTGTGAGAGACTGGCCCCACGCCGGTCCAGTCGTGCTTCATCGGGACGTGGTTGTAGTGAGAGGAGTCCTGTGCGCCGTTGGCCCCGCTCTGGATCTTGCCGACGCGGAGGCTAGGGTCGAGGAGGAATTCCAGACCGAGACGCTCCGGCCCTAGGTCTAGGCCGTGGCGGAGTTCCTGCCGTTGCTGGTTGAGCATCTTGCCCGCGGCGTACATGTGGTTCGGCGGTGAGAGGTCCGAGACGCCTCCAGCGCCGGAGGACTGCCAGTTGGCCGTGGGGTCCATGGAGGCGGGCGAGGCGGCGCTGTTGGGCGTCGACACGTTGTTGGCTGATATGGGCCCGTTGGGATGATGTGCGGGATGTGAGTAGCTCCCGCTGGGGGACGGGAAGACAGGGTCTACCGGTTCTGTGCGGTTCGGTCAGGGCCGTGCCGAGAGCGGAGCGTGCAGGGTTGGGCGGATGTAGTGCGGGACGACTTACGTTGTTGGACTGACGGAGAGATCAGCGGTTGGATGGAGGAGATGAATGCCTGCAGGCGACGCTTTAGGTCTGCATTCTCTGCCTCGACAGCCTCCTTGGCCCTCTGGACGGCTTGGAGCTCCTGGTAGGGCTGTTGTGAGGTGAGTTCCTGGATGCGACGTTCCAGCGTCTCGATTTGGTTCTTGGTGCGCTCGCGAATGGCTCTTTGAGCTTCTCTGTCTTTTGGTCACGGATGCATGATTAGCTTTTTACGTTCCCCGTCAGATACGAAAGTTGCAGTTGGCATTGTGGTGGGGGAGCAGCCAGGAGGAAGATACAGGGAATCTTCATCACGGGCGGGTGATATCAGGTACGGACGTAGAGCAGAAAGATGAACATGACGCAGCGAACGAGGTACGGTAAACAGGCGAAAGAGCAAACAAGCAGTTGGCAGAGTGCTCACCGTTGGCGCGCTTCTTGGCCAGTTGCTCTGGCGTTAGGTTTGCAACGCCCCTAGATCCGGGACCGGTACGACGCTTCTTAGTCGTATCGGTAGGAGGTTGAGAGGCAGGCGAGGCCCCGGGACCGGGTCCGGGTCCGGTTGGAGTGTTGATATCGGCATAACCCGGGGCTGGTGGACTAGCATCACTGTCGGGAACACTGCGCTTCTTGTTGTTCACCAGGGTGGTAGTGGTTACCGATGAGGCCACGGAGCCCGCCGGACTGGGGTGGGAAGGGGCATCGGGGGCCATGGGAGGTTGTGAAACCGAGGACTTGGTTCAGCAGCACGGGCGGAAGGTGAGCCGCATCCGTGATTTCGGCTGCTCAACTCTTAGAGCAAGCACCGCCGTGTCGGGAGGGGCCGGTCTTGCCGGTATTGGCCGTGATCGCGCGGAGGCGAGCGGCAGCGGCGACGGCCGAAAGGCACAGGCCTGTCCGTTATGTGGACCAGATAGCAAACGAGATTAGTAGGGGGAGTATCGGAAGTGCTAAGGTAATATCGGAGCCCCTTGGCCGGATATCTTTCTGCTCTGCGGCCCCCTTGCTAGGCCGGACGAAGTACTCCTTGGACCCCGTACGACACCCGCGTTGGGCTGTTTTGCTGTCTTGCTCTGGTGGAACAAGGGTTCGGCAGTTGCAGGTCCTAGGACCAGCTGGGCAACGAAACAGTGGGCAGGAAATTCTTTGGGTACGAGGAAAGAATGGTTCGGGATTTTTTTTTTTTTGGTCCTCCCGGGATCGGGTTGGTCTGGAAGGACGGGGGAAACAGGCGAATAGGAGGGGATAATGAATCATTCAGGAACCAGGCGGCGGCGTCGGAGAGCCAAGTTTCCGAGTCATGACTAGCCTGGAAAACGGTACTAAGTTGCGCTAGTCTCGTGCAGTTTGGAGGGGGCAAGACAAGGGTCGAAGGCAGCGCCTCGATTCTGATGGCAAGCCCTCCTAACTGTCTCGTCCTAAATTCAGTGCCGCTGAAGAAGAATGTAGCTCGCCGGAAACAGCAGAAAATTTTCCACAAGTTGCCGTTTCTACTTCTTTGAAAATGTAACAATGAGCAAACTCAGGAGGAGGGGAACAAAACTCAAACCGATGGTTTGGATTAGAGTTTGTTGCGGCAGGCCACGAGGCCGATCGAATTGTACGAATGGAACGCTGGCTTTGATTGCAGCCATGCGCTCTGCGAGTGCCCAAATCTGATCAGGACGATTGCCCAAGCGCCAAACACACACATGCTACAGAAACTTGCCGGTTTTATGCTTCTTCGCTACTAGGACGGGTTTTGTCTCGCGCTCGTTGTGTGGTTTTGAGGGAGAGACAAGCTTAATGTTAGCACAGACCTCAGTTGCGATTGGCCTTACCAGAGGATGGTCCAGTGCAGAAACCATGGTATCCGTCCAGAAAACCTACGAGTGGAAGAGGGTCTTGAGAAGACCATTTCAACGGATGTTGCCGCCACAAGCCCAACGCGCCGTGGACAAAAGAACACGGGGAACCAAGAAACCATTTGTTGTTAAGCCCAGCCGGAGTTGGCATTAAGCCTCAAATGCTATTCCGCCACGTATACAAGCCAAAACCAGCTCTCAACAACCTGGGTATCCATTCAAAGCCATTATCGTAATCGTCAAATATCGTCAACCTACAGACGTCTCCAGACGTTCCCGGACCAAAAAAAAAAAGAAGAAAAGAGCCCTCATGCCTTCATCGCTTCTACAAACAGCTCACGCATGCCCTTGAGCAGCACCGCCAGTTCCCGCGTCTCATTGAGTTGGTCCAGCACCCTTTCCACGCGCTCGCGCTCAAGCTTGGGCCGGCAGTGTCGGATGTCATAGTCCCTGCTCGAGGTGCAAAGCTCAAACCATGCCTCTCTTTCCCAGTCCTTCTCGTCAACGTATGTGTAGATAAACTTGAGTCGATCGTCCTGGCCCGCCCCTTCTATCCGTAGGCCGAGGTTCTGCTGCCAAAACTCGAGCTCGGGAACGTTGAATCGCGATTGCGCTTCGAGTTGCTTCGCGTGTGCCCGCTGTGCAGCCAGTCGGGCGTCGATCTCTTTTTGTGTCTCCTCGATCTGTTTCTTGAGGGCGTCGCGTGTTGCCAGATGCTTATCGCGCTCTTCCGCAAGCTGTGCGATGGCGGCTTGCATCTCGCGTGTCTCGGCCTTTTCTTTTTGGACCGTCTGCTGATGTGTGCTGGTCTTGAGTTGGAGGATTTCAATGTCCTTCTTCTTCATGCGCTGATCCTCTGCAATGCATCGTTAGTATTGGCTGTGAAATATTCGATCGGTCGCGTTTGACGTACCTTGAAGTTCTGCGATGTTCATGCGAAATTGGTTCCTCTCCTCCAAAACACGTTTGCGGCCCTGCTCAATAAAAATGTCGAATTTCGACGAGAACTTGGACATGCGGTCACGAAGCTCGTCGAAGCCGAAATTCGCGTTTGGGAGGGTATCCGCTACTGATGGCGTTGCCATCAGGGACTGACGGTTGATGCTGGCAGACAGCGACGATTCGAATGCCGAAGACATGGTGGCGATCGTACTGCGAAATCTCAGTGGTGGTTTTATTGCAGTCGGAGGATAGGTCGGGTGCCTATTTGGAAAATCGCATGTGATGAGGTGACGGTATATGGTGGATTATGCCAGGTGGGATAGTATTTTTGGTGTTTATGACACCCGTTGCTATGTCAACAAATCTTCAGGTGCCAGAAAGGAGGCACGATCTGCTGACTAAACGAGATGACTCATCACAACATACGATCTACGCTAGGGGATCTGTCACTGCATTACTAGTAAGTATAGCATTCAGCATTGTACATTTAACACTGTCTAGAGGAGTAAGTCCTAACTGTACCCCATTGTAAGATGAGACCCACGTATGTTATTCTTGCTTGCTTTCTGTCATTATATACCAGCCTTTATTTTGAAGAAAGGGCAGTTCTCAGGCTTAATAACCCCTGCCGCTCATTTGGGTGATACTCCTGCTAAACTGCCAGAACTACACCAATAACACAGTGAGGACTAGCTTTACCTATGCCGTCTCACCACAAGCCATGGACGTTGCAGCACTAGGTTGAGATAGACTCAATCACATAACTAGATTGTCCTTGAGAATTGAATACCTCTCCTTGTTGTTTATTGCCGTGGGCCCAATCGGTCGATTCCTGGACAACTCCTCATGCAAGGCAACATCAACGCACCACGTGCAGATGGCGCGTTGGCAACGCAGCCAATAGGCAATTTCACTGGTCAAAAATGGGGTAAAGCATGAGATCAATTCGCCCAAAAGGACTGCACTCATTCATGGCTCCTTCTTTAAAGAGGTAGCCTCTCAACGGAACGTGGTACTCTTGCCACTGACGTGCGGTAAATGACCCGTTCCCCGCCTCCACGTTACCAAATGGTTGCTGAATGTGACAGTCGGGCTCCATGCGGGAGAATGCAGTTATTTGCCGACATTGACTATATTCCATCATATAATATCTACTCTAGAGCAGCCAGTGGCTTCTTCAGTTCGAGTTGTGGATATTGAACCCCCTCCTTATGCCTAATTTTGCCTGAATCTAGGCTGGGCGACTATGCTCTTGGCAAGGACTGAAGAAAAAGGCACTTGAACTGGAGACATTCAAACTCAAGGTAAGAAAAACATATGGTCAACTAGCCATATGGGTTGCTTATAAGAGAGAAAAACACTCTGTCTGGAAGTCTCCTCAAATATTAATCGATGGCTACGCACCTACGGTTTATAAACCATCTAGTTTATTGAAAAACAGCTAAGTCGTGGACGCAACAGCTTCGTTCCCGATTTCTGGTCTATTACCGTGAGCCAAATCCTCAACTCAACATTACAGCGTTGGCTCCTGCTGCTGCCGTACGTATCTCGTCGCCGTTCTGGCTTACTTAGACTACTATATACTGCGGACATCGCTTATCGTTTGATAGATCTCGGCGTGCACAAAATGAGGTCCGCCCACCAAGAGACGCAAGTCTTTGGAAGGCTCTTTCGTGTGCTCCTGTTTTTCATCCTTTTCACCAATCATGTTATTGCCGCTCCTGCTCAAGCTGCCGCCGATGAGTATGACTACATTGTAATCGGTAGCGGTCCTGGCGGAGGTCCTGTTGCCGTAAACCTAGCGAAAGCCGGGTACTCCGTCCTGATACTGGAGGCTGGCGACACCAGCGTGGCAACCGGCTCAAATCAATACCCGCCTTCCATTACCTGGGATTTCTTCGTAAAGCATTACGAGGAAGACGAAAAGAACAAGCGGAACAATTTTGTAACCTGGCGAGCCCGCGACGGCTCCTACTGGGTTGGCAACAAGAATGTTCCCTCCGATGCAAAGCTCCTGGGCATATACTACCCTCGCGGCGCCACTGTCGGAGGCTCTTCCATGATCAACGCCATGGCTACATTCCTCCCGACTGACAGCGACTGGAACTACGTTGTTGAGCTGACTAACGATACCACATGGGCGTAAGTTCATGCCATAACTGAACCAAACACAAACAAGCAGGGACTAACCATAGACAGAGCAAATAACATGCGCAAAGTTTTCGAGTCAATCGAGAAGAACAACTATCTTCCCGTCGGTACTCCTGGGCACGGTTTTAATGGCTGGTTCCAGACAAACATGGACAAAACCACGAGCGTCACCGGGCCCATTGCAGGAGTGCTGACTGCAATGGCCAACGACTTGGGTCAGAACCCAAACCAACTCGTACAGCTAGTCAGCCGCGACTCCAACGACCTTAATCCTAATCGCGACACCACTGTAGGCATCTACGGATTCGCACGACATGCCCGTGCCAATGGTCAGCGATACAGTTCCAGGGACTACATAACCGAAGCCATCAATACGCGCCAGTTCCCACTTACTCTGTCTCAGAATTCTCTCGCAACCAAGATCATCTTCGATACCTCGGGAGGCAAGCCCAAGGCGAAGGGTGTGGAATATCTCGTTGGAAAGTCTCTATACAAAGCCGATGCGAGGCACAATCCCAATGGGCCCAAGGGCGACAAACGCACAGCCACTGCCCGTCGTGAGGTCATCCTGTCAGGAGGTACCTTCAATTCTCCGCAGCTCCTAAAGCTAAGCGGCATAGGACCAGCGGAAGAACTGCGCAAATTCAACATTCCTGTACTTGTTGACTCACCCGGTGTCGGGACGAACATGCAGGATAACCAAGAGATGCCCGTCGTTGGTTCTCTCCGCTCCCAAGCTGGGGGCTTCGGCTCAGGCGGATGCGTGATGTACAAGACGCAGCACGCACCATACGGCGAGCGCGACATGTTCCTCATGCAAGGGCCGTACGCTTTTAGGGGCTTCTGGCCGAGTAATCAGTCAAACGCTGCTCTTCCCGTAGACCCAGCCGGGACGTATGGCGTCTCTATGGTCAGGCAGCATCCGCAGAACCGCGCGGGTACCGTCAAGCTTTTGTCGGCCAACCCACAGGACGTGCCCGAGATCAACTTCAACCTGTTCAAGCAGGGCCGCGAAGCAGATATGGGAGCCATGAAGGACGTTGTCGCCTGGGTGCGACGAATTTATGCCAAGGTTGCTGGCCCGTCGGGTCCCATTACCCCTCGGGAACCCCCATGTCCCAACATCCAGGCTTCTGGTGTGTGTTCCGATCCTAAAGTTGACGAGAGTTGGATCGAGGCCCAGACTTTTGGACATCATCCTACAAGTACGTGTGCAATCGGCTCTGATGGAAACAAGAATGCTGTGCTGGATTCAAAGTTCCGCGTAAGAGGTGTTGATGGGCTCCGTGTTGTGGATGCTAGCGCTTTCCCGAGAATCCCTGGTGTCTTCCCTGTCGTGGCTACATTCATGATCAGCCAGAAGGCGTCCGATACTATTCTGGCGGAGCTCAAGGGATGAAAGGTTCAGCTTGTTATCTTTCCGCGGCTGGTCTAGTATTCCATAGGCTCCAAGTTAACATCTCACTGTGGACGTGAAAAACTGCTTGGTCTTGGGCGGTCTTTATGAATGAGCATAGCCTTTATGCTTACCTTTGTGTTTTCGTGTATGCTCATACCTTTGTCGTGAGAACCACACATTTCTGGTTCAGTTGAAGTGAATTACCTCCGGCCTAAGGACCTTGCAGTCTGAATCATCGTCAAGTTCTGGTGGTCACATACTTTAAGCCCTTCCCGCGAGAGCCACAAGTCGATGCTTACTTGCCTTCGATGTCCCTCTTTTCTATGACAAGCTTGTCGTGTGAGAAACCCTCTTGTTCCAAGTCCAGCTACTGCAGCTGAGAAATCGCTCTTCACTCTACCGTAGCAAATTCCCCTTTCGCCATCTAAGCAGGCAGCTTTCCGTGCTATCACCATCCAGTTCCTCTCAAAGAAGCGGTCCTTCACCATAATTTCAGGTAATCTTTGCTATACCATTGCCTCCAGAGGTTTCAAATCAGCTAACAAAGCGAAAACAACACCAGCGCAATGGCAGATAGCCATATAATCCTCGAAACCCACCTCTTCTCGAATTCCCCCAACGGTCCTCCTCCATGGAACCGTAGCCTCCATCTCCGTCTACCCTCGCCCGCCGCAACGAAATCAGACATCCTAACCCTGATCCGCGACTCCGTGACCCGCCTTGGTCGCGCAGACCCCGTAGTCGAGGCGCAGATAACGCTCTACTTCACACGCAACGGCCGCGTCGTCTGGCTCCCAGGCAACATCAACACGAGCATAGCCACATTCACGTTACCCATTTACCAGCCCGCTCAAATCGTCAACGTCAACGTCCCGTATGCGGTCCCGCAGCCGGTCCCCCAGCAAGGATTACCTGGCTGGCCGCTGGCCATGACCTACACAGGCGGCGTCAACTACCTACATTCCTACGGTCCTGGGCCGATGACGGTCACGCCTGGCATGAACCAAGCGGTGGTGTTTGGGGGCGGACAACTTGGGCTCTTCAACGTCAACGTTCTCACCGCCAGCGGGTCTGGAAACAGACCTATCGTCTCTGACGTCGTGAGGGAGGCTCGTCTTGATGAGGTTGCGGGGGAGGCGCTGACGGGATTATTGGAGTGGGCTGTTGGGCCTACTGCCCTGAAGCTGATTGTTGTGGTGGATGTGAATGGGACGGGTGGAATCCCTGCGGTCGTTGATCTTCCTGAACCGCCTGCTCCTCCAGCTCCTCCTGCGGCGGGTTAAGTGAAAGTATGGACGAGTGGCGGGGTTTACTCAAGCTGTTAATATCGCCCCGAATAAGTTAGTTTGGGTCTTTTAAACCAACCGTGTTAGTGCTCATTGCTGCGTCTATGTTGATGAACTACAAGGCATCATCAATCAGGACACCACTTGCGAGTTGCTGTACCAGGTACAAAGTGTGGATCATGAGGAGCACGACTGGAACTGAGCTGTGTACGTTGTCGAACTGTTACACGACTAGTGGTTTCCCCGAAAGAAATACCGCCGTCGTCAAGGAAATACTCCAGCGGCGGCAGAGACTCGGCCCATAGGACGACGACCCATCAGGGGAACCTCGAAAAGTACCAAAGAATACATTACAAGAAACACCCGCATCATCAACCAAAACACACAAAACCCAACCCACCTCATCGCGAGACCGAACTAGAACTGGATCCCAAGCCGCAGACCAGCGGCAGGCAGCACAAGGGGGGGTCTCTCACACAAAGTTTTGATTAGTTTCCAAAGAGGACAGAAATGATTACCCAAATCTCTAAATCCAAGCAAGCGCATTGACCATGTTCGTGTCATGCTACATAAGAAATACAGAGCTCACGGAAAGGTATCCCGGTTCACGCTGTCCGCGGCGCGTGTGCCGAGCACCCAATCAAACGACCCGCCAGCAACGTTTATCACACAATACCTCCTCCAACGAGAAAAAAAAAAAAAAAACTAGACGGAAAGAGACGACAAATAAGAACCTCACATGACCGGCCGGAATGCTCCAGATGTCCTTGTGTAAACTTTCGGAATCTCCCTGACATGATCCGCGACAACCTGATACATGAATAGGGGTGGTTGTCGCGGCGGTGCCCGTGGCAGCCGTGGAGGTTGCGCCCGTAAGGGATTGGATATAAGGATTTTTGTCAGCGAGGGCCCCGATAGTGGCATGCGGGATTGGCGGTGAAGAGCTAGCTGTGACGGTTGAAAGGATGTGCCTGGGAGAGTATGGATATTTGGTCTCTCCGTTGGTACTGACATGACAACCTCGTGGAGCTTTTCCCATCTGCTTCCCTGTGACTTTTTTTTTTTTTTTTTTTTGCAGGACTCCACCTATTTTTGGGCGCCTTGATAGATGCTTGCTTCGACTAAATTGACGACATGCAGCGTTCGAGAGCTGGTAAATAGCTCAGCTCAATAAACGGCATGATGTATGTGGTCCTCGCCATCATGTAATTGTACTAGTGGTGGTATGCTGGGCGAGTCATGAGGGTAGTCTGGGATATCTCAAGCTTCATCAACATCAAGAGCAAACAGCAAGAGAACTGAGGCAACATCCTGTCAAAATCTGGGTATGCATATTCCTTTCCGACAAGAGACTAGGTATTTGAGATGGAAACAAAAACGAATCAACGACTGCGCCGACAAAACACCACCCTCCGCCGCCCTTCGAAAAACTTCCGCCAGGAAGTTCCACAAACTTCTTTTTTGGAAACCATCTTTCCCAACTAAGTCCTCGCCAAAAACTATGAGGGGTTTGACTCATCGAGATATTCGGGAAAGAAACAGAAAACAGCTTCGCAAGATAAAAACATGGAACAGTGAGCCCGAACTGGACAGTAGTCGAGCGTAATATCGTACAGAGGTTTTTTTTCTGAAGAGGAACATGGACAACCTTCGTTGTCTGATTAGCCTCTGCGTGTCTCGTTCGGCGCGGGCGACAGCTTGCTGCCCTTGCTTTCTGACAGTGACATGCGTGCCGTTTAATTTGGTTTGACGCTATTATAACTCCAGATGCGCTGTAGGCAAATGGTCATGTCTCACCCTGTGCCTGAGCAGGACCTTGCCTACTCTCCAACCGTGATCCGAGGCGGAATCCGGTTTCCGAACGAGATCGCGAGAGGACATTTGTCGGGTATGATCGCCAGCCAGCACCGAACGACCGAAATGCTTGCCGAACACCCCCCCTGATATGAACTGCCCTGAGATCCCCAGAGCCAGAAAGCCAAGCACTAGACGCCGCCATGCTGCATAATGATGACATAAAAAAGGCATTACTGAGCCTGTATGACCAGACTCGTATTAGAGCGAAACCTGGATGTCGAGAGACAATTCTCAAGATTACGCCGGGTTACCCTTCAGCCTCTTCTGCATCCGCGGCGTGGGTGGCTTGCCCTTGTTCTGAACTCCGTTTACTTGAGGACCGCCTGGCGTAGGGGCCGACGAGCCGTCATCCTCCATCTTGACGCCAGAGGGACGTCTTCGCTTGTTGGAAGCTGGAGACGTGTTGGCACTGGGTCCGCTTGAGCTGGTACCCTGCTGGCTCTGCTGCATCTGCATACCGGGTGCCTGCATATGGCCTGGAGCAGGGCTGCCGGTGACGTGAGGCGAGCCAGGAAGCTGCATGTGCGGCTGGGCTGGGCTGGCGCCCATCGGGAACTGACCGAAGCTAGGTGTCCGCGGGCCTTGGGGCATGACCTGGCCATTCATGTTTTGCGGCGCGGCATTGATCTGGCTGACATATTGCTCTAGGGCGGCGTACGGGCCAAGGTTGTGGTGGGATTGGTAAAAGGTAAATAGGGGGTTCATTTGGCCGATGACTTCAGCAATCTGCATGTCATCTTTAGCGCCGAAGATCCACATACATGCATGGGCGAGCGGTTACATACCTCGAGGAATTGGAACACGGCTTCCGTGACGCCCATACCCCTCTTGACTGCTGATTCAGGCAGATCCACCAGAGCTTCTGGCGGAGGATTTTGCGGGGACTTCATCAGACGGGCCTTGCCCTTCTTGCTCATCTCTGGGGAGGCTTTGCTGTCCTGGGAATTGACCTTGTGCCATTCCTTGACCCAGTTGTGTACGGGCTTCGCAGCTTCGATGGCGGCCTTCCGGGAAATGAACTCTTCGTGACTACTTGTCAAGAACTCAAAGAGTTCAATCTTCTGTTCTGCGTCGAAGTGAGCTCTGAGGGTACCAGTGGCGACGAGCTAATGAGGTTAGTGATTGCATTCTGCGCACAAACAAGACCAACTTACGTGAGAGCCGCTCTCGAACCAGTATACCAGGCTCGACTTGGTGTTTTCAATCCAGTGACCATCGCCAGGGAGTGGCCTATCTGTGGTACCCTTCTCCATGATCAATTGCATGTTCTTGACACCGCTGTCAAAGTGTGTGTGGAAGTAGCGTGGCAACGCAGGGAAGGTGATCTCGTATTGCTTGTCCGCTTGGTCTTCGACGTCGGTAATATGGACAGAGTGTCGGAAGACGCCCTTGGGTGAGAAGAACTGGTTCACGAAGGCATTCCAGTAGGACAGGTCGTCCTTGCCCTTGGACCCCTAGCATGTCAAGTTAGCACGTCAACTCTCTACGGCCATTTCCAAATAACCTACAGGGTAGCCGCTTAGATGCTCGCTGAACTGCATAAGCTTGAGCAGGCAGTGACCCTTCATTTCTACCCTCCTTTGCTGAGCCTGTTGCTGGGCCAAGGCCATGCTGTTCGCCATGGCCGCCTGAGCTGCGGCAGCCTGCTGTGGATTCACCTGTTGCTGCCCAGCCTGTGGCGGCATTTGAGGAGGGCCTTGCTGCTGGGCTTGAGCCTGGGGAGGCTGCGGCTGCTGGTTCGGAGCGGGGCCGGGCGTCTGCGAAGGCGTGGGTTGACCAGCAGATTGCGGGTTGGCGGGCTGCGCAGGCTGCTGTTGCGGCGTCTGCTGAGGAGTCTGCTGAGGTTGTGGCTGGGGTGGCTGCGGTTGACCTTGAGGTTGCTGGCCCTGTTGCTGCTGTTGCTGTTGGGCTTGCTGCTGCTGTTGCTGTTGTTGTTGTTGCTGCTGCTGCTGCTGTTGTTGTTGCTGCGCCTGCTGCTGCTGAGCCTGAGCTTGCTGCTGGGCCTGCTGCTGCTGCTGCTGTTGCTGCTGCTGTTGTTGCATTGAAGCAATTTGCGCTTGCTGCAGAGACTGCATGTGCTGGGGGTTCATCTGGACGGGCTGGCCAGGCTGCTGGCCATGTTGCATTTGCTGGTTCTGCTGTGCGACAGCCTGCTGCTGGAGAGCAATCTGCTGTGCCAACATTGCTTGGGCCTGGGGATTATGCCCTTGCTATAACGGCATGTCAATACCTCTGATTGGAAAACGATGCGCGTGGTACTTACGGGTCGCATGCCCTGCCTCATTGCTGCGATCTGGGCTGCGTTCATAGGGTTCATTTGCATCCCCATAGGCATACCATTGACACCCATTCCGGTGAAGGCTTGTTGAGCCATGAGCGCTTGCCTCGCTTGTTGTTGCTGTTGAAACAATCTCTGCTGCGCCATCTGGGTGGCCTGCGCCATCGCGGCCGGGTTGTTGACTGATCGTTAGGGTTAGCAAGGACAGACGCACAGCATAATAATGGGTAGGTCAACGTACAGCCGTTGAACTGGTTCTGCTGGAACATTGGGTTTTGGGGGTTGAGGTGCTGTAAAGCGTGAGCGTTCGGACCACCAGCACCCGGCGGCATGCCGCCCATCAACTGGTTTGGATTAACCTGACCACCAGGCCCTGACACCGCCATGTGCATCTGGTGAGGCATTCCTCCAGGCGGGCCCTGCTGATTTGGATTGTGAGGCATGCCCTGGGCCATAGGATGGCCTGGGACGCCTGGGTGTTGTTGCATGCCGGCAGGATGACCTGCAAACGACGGTCCCATACTCGTCATCATAACTTCAGCGTGTCGATAATCCACAGCGTGGATATCGACGTCTCTTCCCTCCGCACTATCTCATGCGCCTTCAACACTTGATCTCAGTATGTCTCGATATCGGCAATCGGCCGCGGAAAATGAAAGTTGCGGGATCGTGGGTTGAGCGTGGAGTTTAGGGCGATGGCGCGACGCGACCAAGCGATGGGGGTAGCGTTCCGGGGGTTTGTGAGACGCGGGAAAATGGTCTTTCAATCGCGTGGTGCGGGTACGTTGCAGGCGATTCGACTAGCGTTATCGGGTTGCGATAGGAGTGCTTTATAGATCGAGAGGTTGCGGCTGGGTCAACAGGCGAAAAGAGACCGAGAAGGCATCGATGATCGACGTGACGGCAACGGAGGCGGGTGAGATAATTTGGGTAGGGAAGTTGGTCGGGGATGCGACGACAAACAAAAGAGCCGGATGGGAAAGGGTTCGGGGTGTGGGTGGGTGCGACTAAGGCAGCCCGATGATGGGGGGGTAAAGGTCTGGGATTGGAACTGGGACTGGGCCTGGGACTAGGACTCTGGAAAGTGAGAGAGAAATGGGCGAGTCGGGGAGGGTGGCCGGCGGTGGGAAAATAAAAAAAAAGGGCGTGGTGACGGAGAAGGGGAAATTGTGTTTGTTAGTTATCTTAAAGATGGAGAGCACGGCGACGTGTCGAGGATCGCGCGATAGCGAAAGCGAGCGGACGGAGTTGGAGTTGGGAAACCTCGTGAGCAGGTTGGAAGACGACGAAAATGTGCTTCAATCGACGTAGATCAACGATGACATTCGCAGCCGTGGCGGGTTTGTTGGAAAAGCCCAATTTTTATTGCACACGTCGAGCGTTGGCGAACAAGCCTTTCTGCGCCGCCTTACTGGGAAAGCGGGAGAGAGAGGTAAAAGGATTGCGGATTGGGGGGGATTGGGTGGGTGGGCGTGTGCGGTGCAGGTAGGCTGGGCCGGCTGGCTGAAGAAGGATGCAAAGACCGCCTAGCGGGAAAGGTAGGTTAAGTCCCTCTCTCTCTCTCTCTCTTTGCCAGCGGATGAGTACTATTTCCTCCTCGTCCGGGGGTTGGGGGGTGGTATGTGTGCTCGCGTCCAAAACGACGAGACAAGACGGGACGAAAAGTGTTGTTCGGAGCCCCGACTGGAACAAATAAGAATAAAATAAAGTAAAAAAGGACTCGTCCTAGGGGTGTTTGAAGGAGGATTGGAGGGGGCTTGACGTGGTGTTGCAGAGAGGGTTGCAGATGGTGAGGCGTCAAGTCAAGTCACAGCCAAATCCAAACCCTGAGGCCGATCCAGAAGGCAGCGAAGCAGATGATGTCGGGTCGGCTGCTACAGCAAGCAAGGTAAAGGGAGAGGTCGAGCAACGAGCGAGCCTGGGCCTGGGGGGGACGGGACACGGAACAGAGAGCAGGGACAAAAGCGCGCGTGGGTGGGCGGGCGGCCATTGGAACTGCCACAATGCCAGCTTGGAGCACCTGGAACCGCCCTTTGCTTCGACGGGGAGTGGGTCTCAGCTTGGTAAAGGGGTACGCTATGTATTTAAAGGGTGAAATCGCAAGGATATGCCGGAATGAGGTGGCGGGAAGCTCCAGAAAAAATGCGGGATATGCATTTAGGAGCATCAATTGGGGGAGCTGCCACGGTCGGATATGCAACAAGACAAGCTTCCTCATCAGGGGGGAAAGAGCACGTCGCAGCATCTACCAACCAGCCATGCCAGCCAGCGAGCAGGAGGCAGGAGGTCCTCTTCATACCCCATGTCCCGTCGCCGCGTCTGGCCTTCTCTGACCCCCGACTATTTTCTCTAATAAGCAAATGTATGTTTCCCCGGCCTTGAGATGACAAATGGACGAAAAAAAATGATGCCGGCGCTGGAATCGCATCGACCTGCCGATACTTCTACTGACTTTTGCATCCATCAATGGCCACCACGTGTTCCCCGAACCACCCGGACAACACACTCGCTCCCCATTGCTCTTGATTCAACTCTTGCCCCTTCGTCTGGTGACATTAACCTTGAGGGGTGGGATCCAATGAGGTTAATCTATTTTAGGCGGGACCCGGCACCTCGGCGAAGGCCTCCGAAGCAGAAAGTCACGTGCTATGTTCTGTTGAATAGAATTTTCGATTGAAACTTCCATCATCACGTGAGATCAACTCGGTCCCGACCAGACTTTGAGAAAGCCGTCACGTGTACGTGGTCCGTGCAAACCAGGAAAGGAAAGAAAGAAAAAAATTCAGAGGACCCTGTCCCCACATTTTCCATCATGAGCCGCATCTATAAAATCTCTTCCCTCGCATCGCAGATCCCTTTCTTCACCAACATCTCTTAACGACAAACTCTTCTCGCCCTACCAGCAGAATACCACGACCCTACTCTACAGTCGATCGCCGTCGCGACGTCTACATCAGCTCTGTGCCGAGCTGCCGAGAAGATCGTGTGTATTCTGTCTGCGCCGGGCGCAGATTTGTTTTCGTTCTGATGCGCCTTCGTTTCATCGCGATGGCTTCACCTCACGCTCAACTCACAAACGCCCTACGCTCAGCTCCAAACTAACAGGTAAGCGCAAATTTTCTTTCGAGTTCGCCCCCGTCTCCGAATGATGACAATTATTAAATACGTCTTCTTTTCCCAACTGAATCGACCATGAAGAAGTCTAGTCTACTCGGGTTCCCTCAAGGCGAACCTGTTACTTGCCAGTATACACTGTCTGACACTTCATCTCGCTCATGCTTCAGCAATTTATTGTTTCTGAACAACGTGCTGACTTTGCAAAGAACAGGATATAGCACAACCGGGATCATCATTCACTAACTTCTCAGCGGCGCCTCATCATCTCGATGGTTTCGTCTGCCCTCACCTCACAAAAAGGTTAGTGAGATCGATTTTTTTCAATTCGTTTTTCTTACCACTTGATCTTCTATGATGAAATTTCCACCTAATTCGCAGTTTCCACTCGAGTCGTGAGGCTCTGACATAAGAGCCTTTTGTCATCCTTGCGACATATGAGGGTAATAATTATATGCCTACCTTGGATGTCTGATAGATCGATCATTGTCTTTTTTTATTCTGCAACTAGTTTTGCAAGAACCATCGCTGACAATGCTGAATAGTAGGAAACTCTTCTTTCCATGACCAGAGCGAGTTGCCTCGCTGCATGAGTTACGAATTATGACAACTGTCACGTACATAAAAAGCCTCTATTGGCTCTAATAATACAAACAAAATTTTCAGACCTTGCCTGTGCCATTTCCCATGTCCCACCCCGTTGATGTGATGCCTCGTTACTGTCTTGAGATGTTGCTGGTATCTTAAAATGAAGTCAATGTCGGCTCAATAAACATGACGCTTGACCGAGAGTGGCATCCACCGTTGGATAACCCACCTTATTAAACATTGCATATTGCAGGCAAACGGATTAGGCAGACCATTGGGCCAGTCACCATTGATTTCCTGAACCTCGTCATCGTCCCAACTGGTGCCCTGCAAGGTCGCCACCATACAGGCTCACCAGTGACATTCGAGGCTTCACCCACTAGACATAATCACCATGGAACTGAAATTGCCCAGAGCTATTGAAAATTCATCTATACCGGCCCAAGACACCAAGAGTTTCATTGCATCTCGTGAGATGTGTCCAAAAAATAACCATACCACCCCAAACGCAACATCAATCCCTTCTTTTTTTAAAAAAAAATAAACAAGACAAAAACAGCATTGGCAGCGAGGTATATCCTATCACGGGGGCCGTAGCCGTTCACCGTGTGTGTGTGTGTTTTTTTGGTCTTCGGTTCGTCGAAAACGACAAAAGAACCGCAATCGCATAAAACGCCGTTTGTTCCAAAAAAACAAAACAAAAAACGAATGAAGGCAACTTGAGCTTGCGCCCGCGCCTCTTTGAACCACCCATGATCATCATCAAATCAGCCGCACATAGTCGTCATCTCTCTCCTTCTTCAAACTTCTTCAAATAACGCGTAATCCTTCCCTAACAGACTCGGGAATTTCTCTCCTCACTCTGCCTCCCACAATGCCCCTTCTGTTCCTGCCTGTTCGCCCTCTGCCAAGCCAGTTGAGTTTCAGCAGCCGACAAAGCTCCTCCATCCGCCTGTTGCCCTCGTCGCTGCCGTCTCCCCCGACGTCGCCGACGCTGGCAAGAATACTCATGCACTGAAGCATGCGGCCCACCATCTCAGTGACCTGCTTTGAGTCCTCGACGTTTTGCTCACGCGTGAACGGCCTAAGCTGCCCGTCGCTGCCGACGCTGCCGTAGCTTACGTTGCTGATGGCGCGGCTACGTCCGCCGCTTCCGCCACTTCCGCCACCAACACCAGCACTGCTGTCGCCGAGTAATGTCGTTGCGTTGGAGTTGTAACTGGCGACCGACGGATCAAGGCTCATAGCCGTTCCGGGGCGCATCATGCTCATCGTGTCGGCGGGGCTGGAGGAGAGCGCGGGGTCGGGTAGCGGGGAGGCGAGGGCCATGGAGGCGAAAGAGGAGGGGAGAAACTCTAGGGATAGACGGGAGAAGATAGTCTTGAGCGATTCGTAACGGGGGAGGATTACGATGTCGCGGTAGGCAGTCAAGACGATGCGGCGCACATCGAGAATGGATGAGGCAGGGCTAACGTGCGGTGCGTTATCGGTGGACATTGGTGTCGCTTTGACGCCACCCCAGAAGTCGCGCGCCTGGTCGGCATTCATGAGAACACCGCAACCAGAGAACTCGAGATCCAGAGGCAAGAAGACGGCTTGCATATACGGTAAGATGGATGTGTAGGTAATCAGCCACATTTCGACAAGCGCCGGAATGACCTTGTCTTCTTGGGTGCGCCTGAGGGTGTGGTCCAACGAAGAAAACCCGGTCGCAAGAAGTTCGCGCAAATCCTCCAGAATGATATTCGGTGATCTGCGCTGGATACAGTATTGTACGTGTAGAGTGACTAACCTGTTGAAATCTTCAACGGGCTGTCGCAAGTCTTCGCCTTCGAAAATGACGAGGATTTTCGCCTTCAGATAAGGCCATGCATCGTCGAGCGCCATACTGTTGAGGCCGTACTTTCCAGCATCAACTGGTTCCGAGAGATATGACGACTGATGTGTCAAACTCGGCAGACTGCTCGGGCCAGGCCATTCCGACGGAAGGGAGCTCGACTCGGCACCAAGACCGCTAGCCTCTTTTTCAGTCTTTTTGTCCCGCCGCACCTTGCCAAATGACGTTGCAGTCGGGGCTGGACTAGGGGGTAAGTTGAAATTGTACAGACTCGAGGGAGCACTGGGGTCTGTTGGTTTCGAGTTGCTGGATGCGGATGACAACGGCAGATGGTAGTCATCTTTGAGCTTATGCTTCTGTCGCGACAGAAAATGGTGCTTCTTCTCCTTTTCTTTTCCTTCTGGCTTCTCCATGGTGGGCGTCTCGGGTACGGCGCGAACCGTCGCAGATGATGAGTTGTTAAGACTGTAGATAGACTGGCCGCTAGTATCAATAAGACTACTGGTGCTGAAATTCCCACGCTGCAACGACGCGAGCGCACTGCCGATCTTGCTTGGGCTCGGGAGAGGTTTATCTTTCGGGTCGCCTTTGGTGCCGATCTTGACGGGGCGAGAGAACAGCTTCACCTTGGACTTTTCTGCCCTCGCCGGTTTCGGATCCGCGATAAGCTGCGGTGCAGGGTGGACGGGGTGTACAGGGCTGTGTTGCTGCTGCGGCTGTGGCAGACCCGGTGAAGTCTGCCCCGATCGCGGGAATGCGGCGTTCGCTGCTGACGTCGCGGCAGCAGAATGGCTACCCAGGAGGCCGTTGTGGTATCCTTGGTTTCCAAAGCCGCTCTCTCGTGGAGCGCTCGCCTCGGTCAGACTTAGCATAGGCGGGCTGAGTGGGCCCCTCGCGCCGCTCCCCCTTCTCACGTTATCACCGCCGTCGCCGTTTGCCGGGTTCGGAACGGTCTGCGATCGTTGTCGGACGTGTTGTAGCTGCTGTTGTTGCTGTTGGCTGCTCTGGTGTTGCAGGACGGCGGCCTGCGCGGCGATCTGGCTGGCGGAGAGTGCCGGGCTCGATTGCTGATGGTGGTGATGCGGGTGCTGGTGATGGTGCTGGTGCTGGTTTGTAGAAGATGCTGCTGCGGATGCGGGCTGTGACATGCCCACATGGGAGAGATTCGAAGTACTCGTCGACGGGAGGGTCGAATCGAAAAGGCCAGGCGTCTGGCTGTGTTTCCTCGAGTGACCTTTTGCCAAAGGACTCGCTGTACGTGCGGCAGCGGATGCGACGTTCACATTGATGGTTAAGTCGTTGCGACCTCCTGATCCTGCGGGGCCTGTTGGTCCTCCCGGTGTGCTGCCAGATCGCTGGGCACTCGGGCGCGAAAAATTATGTAGGCTCGCGGTGCTCGAATTGGCCTGCGAGGTGAACTGAGCGTATATGGGGGTGCCAGAGGGGGCAGTGGGCGCGCTCGGTGCGTGACTTCTTGGTTTGACGAAGTGGATGGAGAGGCTCTCTTCGCTCGACGTCGACTCGGCGCGGACTGGAGGTCGTGGACGCTGCGGCGATTGTGCGCTGGAAGCTGTCGAGCCCGGCAGAGGGCTGAAGCTGCCCGGCGCTCGGGGCGGGGGTCGTGCTGGTTGCATTGTCGTGGATGTGTTAGGGGCCTGTTACATCTTGGGAGACTTGGGATGATTCGAGATCAGGCTGGTGTCGAAAGTTTGTTTACTATTGGCCGGGGTAATGTTGATTGTTGTTCGTCTGGTCGGCGGGCACTTTGGGGACTTTGGAGAGGGGGGAGGGGGGGATGTAAAAGGTGGGCAGAATGGTAGCCGAAAGAGTGGATGTTGGGGAGGAGGAGGAGGAAGAGGAGGAGGAGATGGTGATGATGTAAGAGGGTCGAGGAAATACGAGATGATGAGAATGATCAAGGACGACGTTTGTGGTTATGAAAGAGAGAGAGAGAGAGAAACAGAGAGATGGTCAGTAGTGGATTTGACTACCTGAAAAGGGTTCAAAGGCTGAGAGTGTGAGATAGACAAGATGGGATCGGAACGAGTTGGGATAGATGCAGCATAATGGGCAGGGTTTCTGCACAACACCTTGCAAACGCACCATCAGCCTGCTAGGTTGACCCTCAACTCCTAACTGCTACAGGCTATCGATTTGAGGTTTTGGCAGTGAATTGCCAAGGGGGCACCGGACGTTTTCGCTTGCGGTAAGCACCAGCCGCTCCAGTGTCATTAGCGACCCCCGTCACTGGTCAGATGGCACCAACCTGAACCAAACCAAGGAAGAATATTCCGTAAGGGCCCCCGGCCGCCAGCCCCTTGTTCCACTGGCGTGACACGGGTTGCGACCCTGGCCTGGCCTGGGCTGGCTGGTTGAATTCAGGTGGGCTAGCTTTGGGCTAGCATCATTAACCCCGCAGTGTCACTGAGGTTCCATCTTCAGCGGAACATTGGGACACCACTGGAATGAGGGGCGCCTTCCACCGCGCTCCCAGTGAGAGCCGCACCCGCACTACTGAATTTTCGTCATAATTAATCCTAATTATCACTTTTCTCCCCCCCTCATCGTCATACGACAACCGACAAACCTATAACGATCGCCGCCTGTTCAAAATACCCTCGTCAACCGGCTCCCCTAACTTCGCTACTCCTTCAATCCGCGGAAAACCATGTCCGAAGCAAACGGCACCACGGCCGCCGCCGCAGCCTTCCAGTTCTCAGCCGTCTACAAGTCCCCCGCCAACGAGCCCTTCACCTACTCCGAGTCCCTTCCTGCACCGCCGTCCTCCGGTGTCAGCGACAAGACTGCCTACCTCAGCTCCCTGCGGAAGGCCATTAACTCCGCCCAGGAGAGCATCAACAAGGAGCTCACCGCGCGCATGGAGGAGGACAAGGCTCGCGAGGCAGACAAGGGCGGTTCCAAGGCTGCGGTGGACGAGGCACTAGAGGAGGAAAACTACGGCGAGGAGGCACCTCCTAACGACGATTGAAAAAAGAAAGGGAAAAAAAAAATTAAAGCTATAAAACGAACGCAACGCCTCGTTTCAGAGCGCCATCGTACATTCTTTGCCACCTTATATACGGGGTATTGCTGTATCATGCTGCCGCTCCCCCAGCCCAGGCTATGCAAATATCAATATGCACGAGGGAAAAGAAAGAAAAAGCACCACAAAAAGGATCCTTCCAACAGCGCCTTTCCTCCCTACTCCCAATTACGAAAATCTTCGACCCCAACTCCCTGCCCGCGAGCTCTGTGGTCTCTGCGACCCCGCCTTGTTTAGACAGCCATAGTGGACGACACTGTTGTCCGGCAAAACAGACACCACGCTGCCACCAAGTCTTTTGTGACACACTCCGCAAAGCCGCTCCTCTGTGATCACCACCCTTCTGTTGCGCCCGCCTTGTCCTCCAGGTATTCCGTCACCGAGGAGTAATAAAGCTTGTGTCGACACGAGCTCCGTATCCCGTAACCGGGCAACAATGCGGGACTCGTTTACGACGCTGTTGGCAGACCGAATTCTGCCTCGGAAGTAGGATTCGAGGTCTCGGACAGGGAGGTCGTCGGGAATCAGAGAGAGCGTTGACGCTGCTGGAAGTCGCGATCCGTGTCTCGAGAGTAGCTCCAGAGCAGGCCCGTGGGCTGGTTTGTGGGGTGGGGGAGGTGTCAAATACAACGAAAGCAGGGTGTGGTAGATGGACGGAGTCGATTCGTCTGGGTCGCCTGCTGAGGATGGTCTCCGCGATCGGTCTGGCGACGAAGGGGCCGATGACTCTTTCGACTTGTGTACTAAGTTGCAATACCTGCACAGATTAGCCAGTGCCATCTCACGTATGAAAGAGTACTTACTCTTCGGCCTTGGCGTAATTCTTCATCTTGAAAACATAAATTTCCAACGCCTGCTTGTGTGAGCCCATGTTGCTTAGCACCACAGCTTGTGCCTCGTAGAAAGCAGGATCTGCCTCCAGTTAGTCATTGTCAAAGCAAGTTGAAAGGCGTTATGAAATACCATCTCGTGGGATGAGACCGAATGCCTTGCTAAGGCTGTATTGTCCACTTGTTTTGAGAAAGATCACAAAGCGTTCCATTTCTGCATCCCACTCGTCGTCTCTCTTCTTTTCCTTCAGCTGTTTGATAAACAGCTCCACCAGCCGGTTGTGGAAGTCCGGAGTTGAATCATCGAGTTCATTGATAATGTGTTCCAAGTACTGGACTTCAAGTGCTGGATCGATGCCTCCCAAGAAGCGTGCCACACGAGCGCGAGGTAACGTCTCCGCGTTCTCTGAATCAGCGATAAATATCTCCATAGCCAATTTCGGATCCGCCTTAAGCGTCCATTCTGAGTACTGCAAGATGAGATCGATCTCTGATGGCGGCAGACTCTGAAGATACATGACCGTCCGTTGAGGACCATGTAACGCTGGTGCTGCCTCGTCGGGTTTCTCAGCAGTTCCAAAGCGTTTGAGTAGCTCTAACGCTTGGGAATGAAGCTTTTTGCCGCAAAAGAAGTCCACCAGCTCGTTGTACCGATTGTGTGCGAGCAGCGCCTCGTTGACCACATCTGGGTCGCAGAAGTTGGCGAGACGGAAGAGAGAACCGGCCAGGGACGGGCTTGTCATCATGTAAGCCCGGAACAAAGCTGTGTCGACCATCCTGGATGTTCTTAGCAGCTCCCCTTCTAGTTGACTGCCCGTCTCCTCGCTGTGGGTGTTTGACATGAACCCCTTCATTGCTTCTTCGGTGGATCCGTTGGTGTTTGAACGCTTCAACTTGCCAGTACCTGGGTCGATTACGCGTTGCAGGCGCGTTCTTGTTCCTACAAGGTAGCCAGCCAGCGTCCGCACAGCAGCCAAGAGATCGTCTCCTTCTAGTGGCTGGTTTACCGCTGGTTTGCCCTTGATGCTTCCGGTTTCTTCGACATCTATTGTGTTACTCTTAGACAATATAGACGCTGTGTCCGATTGGGCTTGCTTTCTGTGCCCCATGAAGAGCTTAGCAAAGCCAACACCACCTCTCGCAGGTGAAGACGGTGCACCAGCAGTATCTTCCTTGGCCGCTTTGTCGCCGTTGGTCTTTTCATGGGCCTCTTCTTCGCCCTCCTTTTCATCACTGCCCGATTCCTCCTGGACGCCATGTGCCCATCCGGACATTTCGCCAGCAATCGAAGGGGGGAAAAGCTTCAATACGCGCTCAGGTGGGGCATGGACATCTTCTTCGTTGAACAAATCCATCGAGTCGTAGTATTTCCTTTGCTTGAAAAGCGTCTCGGCCTTCAGCATCTTCACTTCCCGTAGCGTTTCTGTCTTGTTCCGCAGCAGAGCATCTTCCAGCATATTCAGGATGCTCACTGCCTCGTCGTATCTGCCCTTCTCCACCAGCTCATCGATTTGAGAGTCATAATCGGTGGCATCCATCTTCCATACACATCGATCGCTCGAGATATGAAACCCCTTACCTGCGTGCGCAAGACTAACATTGGGTGGCGGAAAGTGAAGTTGCGCCGCACCAGGTAGCGAGATGGTTTGCAGCAGAGAAAGAGTCTCTGGGTTCCTTACCTCCAATGACCCCTTTGATGGTGGCTGTAATGCCAAGATATAAGGGTAGGAGTAACCAATCTGCTCTGGAGAAGATTGCCATGGAATTTGCCGCTTTTCCACTGGTTTGCCCTCATCAGTGATAAACATTGAGTTAATGTCCTTGGCCAACAGCAGCTCGCCTTCAGCCAGCTTCGCGGCAAGAGGTTTTGGCATGTATCCTCCGAGACCCATATAGCCCATGCCTGCACTGCTGACTGCCCCAAAGCGGCTGGCTTGCCCGCCCGATGTTGAGGATCCGGGGCTAATGATATCCTCAACCTCGTGGGTTACAACATCGACCATGACATATCCCGCGTTCATTCCGCACACAAGCTTAGTTGCACTGGCCCACGTAACGGTGCGTATTGACTCCGGCAGCGTAACCTCCCCAACATCCGGGCTAAGTTCACTTTCGTGCCAACTCCATAGTAGCAGCCGCCGGCGAACGGCGACGGCCATCCGGCTGATAATCTCTGGTATTCCAGTGGCGGCATCCTTGACGATGTTCGATGTGACGGCGAAACAGGTGGCATTTTTCGTTCGTGACAGTGTTTCCAGTGGCTCGTAGGTCTGAAGGTCGTGCAGCGACACGTAGTAATTGGACAGCGAGACGAGGGTGTTGGCTTCTTTGATAATGGCGAGCTGCTCGATTGCTCGAGTGGAGAACTTTTCTACTTCGCGCAGCAAATCGGTTGGCTTATTCGACTGTTGATTTGGCTGAATGTGGTCGGCTGGTGCCGGAGGACTTGTCGCGTCGGGCTGGGAGCCATTGGCTTTGGTCGGTGACGGAGGAGGTAACTCATTTAGGCGGTAAATGCGGAGGGCACCGCTGTTTAGGCCGACGAAGACGCGGTCGCCTGTTATCACTGAGTTAGATGCAAGCCATCACATGGGATACGGGCTGGATTTGGGGGCCGACATACCATGCGCGAGGATTGTCTCAATCTTGGACTTATCCCGCTGCTTGAGCTCTATGATCGGCCGAGCTGTGAATGCTGAGAGCATGGCGACGGCCAGCCCGCGAGGCGAACGTATCAGGGATTCAGTAAACCTTCATCAGGAGGTAAGTTCTTCAGTGTTGCGCTGGTTCGTCACAGTAGCGAAGAATCGAGCATGATGTTGCGCGGGGGTTAAAGGTTTCTGAGCTTCGATTCAGGTATGGCCGGGTGCAGGTAAGGTAAGGTACGCCGTAGTCGTCGGCTGTACGTCAGGACGAAGTCCCCACAAGGGAGCCGATGACCTCTTTCGCTTCCTGTTTAGGACTAGCTCCACTGCTACCCTTCCACTTGAAGCAGCCATTCTCCACCCTCTTCACCTTGTGTTGGGATTAGCCGCTGATTGGCTGGTGGGGAAGACGGGATTTGCTTTACATCCGTCACATGCATTACGGCACTTTACTTTCAACTGCACCCTCAGTGAAGTTCTATTGAGAGCTGCCTAAATAGATGAATAAACTGTCTTGAACGCTCATTTGGGAAATGTTCAGTACGCCATTCTATATTCCCCTCGAAACCTTGTGCAGAAAAAAAAAAGTCCACATAGTAAACAGAACACGCAAATGCTATCTATGCAAACGACCAAAAAGAAAAGAGAGAACCCGTCCATGTGTCGAACCTAACCCTATATCGTTTTCTTCAAATCCGAGATTCCTCATCTGGCTGTGATCAGGACCGCAAACGATAAGATGAACAGGGATTAGACAGGGTGCATAAGCGAGGATAATGTGTCTGGATATGTGTACGACGGGTGCTTAATCTAATCCGGCCACCCTCATAAGTCCGTAGCCCATTGAAATCACGACGATCAACGAGAGAACACTGCTCGGGACACCTCGGCTGATGAAATGTTTCACTTGGAGGTATCTCTGTCCGGTTGGATCTTCCTTCATGATAGCAGCTACACAAGAAAGTCAGTATATGATTGATCCAGACGGGATATTACAGGAATGCTCACTCATGTTCGGGAATCCACTCGTAGGCAGACCCATGGCAGCGCTGCACATCAAGACACCAGCCATGACAAGCAGGTTGGGGTGAGGCTCTTCCATGTTGGCGCCTACATCGTATACGAGTGGCAAGATGATAAGAGCTGCAACAGTGTGGCTGATGAAGGTAGCAATGATGAGGATGAGCGTCGAAAAGACGACAAGCACCCCATAGAGACTCATGCCGTCAACCTGCTTGGTGACCACGTCGGCAATGGTGTGCAGCAGGCCGGACGACTTCACAGCCTTACCGAGGGCCAAACCTCCGGCAGCAAGAATGATGATCGTCCAAGGGAAGTTATTGAAATCCTCCTTGGTCAGAATGCCGATGCCAAAGAATAAAACGATGGGAATGATGGCAATAACACCCATGTCGCCAAAGACACCCTCCAACTGGTGGCTGGCACACCAGAGACCAATTGTAACAATTGTCACGATCGAGACGAACCATTGAATCCCCGTGAACTTCTCCTTGACCGGGCGAATTGGAGCAATAGTAGTCCCCTTGCTTGGTTGGAAGGTAATCAACAACAGAACCCAGATGAGAAGCAACGAGACGGTGCCAACAGGGATGACAATGAAAAACCACTGGATCCAGGTGGGGGCCGGTTGCATGATGCCGATAGCGACCACGTTTTGAGGTGATGCAATGGGCGACAGCATACCACCAATGTTGGAGGCAAGTGCAATGCCCATGATGACTGCTTTAGACATATTTGACTCGGAGGGCAGCGTGCGCAACATTGGCTAGAGACAAAGTTAGCACAGGACGGTTCATAGTGCGACACTGGGGACTGACCTCGATGATTGAAAAGCACAGCACTGGAGCAGCAACATTGCTGATCAGCATACTCGCGAAAGCAGCGACCAACATATTGGCAATGAGAACAGTGCGAGGCGTGGTTCCGGCCTTGCTGAGCACGAATGTCGCAAGGCGCTTGTCAATCTTGCATTTGGACAGCGCCGCTGCCAAAGTGAAGCCACCGAGGAGAAGCATGATGACGGGTGTCCACATGGCCGAGAAGATGTAGGACGTCGCAGCCTTCGAGTCCAGTCTCCGGTGGGGTTTATCCTCGGAGCGGACAACAGTCAAGACAACGCAAAGAAAGGGTATCATAAGCGACGTCACGAACAGTGGAATAGCCTAGGTATATGTCAATGGTCTGTTATGTCGGCCACAGTCCGCTGTACTTACCTCAGTAGCCCAAAGAATGCTGACAAACACAATCAACGCCAAGCAGTTCTGTTGTTCAGGCTTCTCCATAATAGGTATGAAAAGAAGCAGGAGGAAGACGGTGATGGCGATCAGGAGAGTAAGGAGAGGAGTGCTGGCTACCCATGTCGGGACCACGAAGCGGCCAATGGGGGTCACAACCTCCTTGGTTACGGGGGTGAGTTCATCATCGCCCTGGAGTCGCCGCGCACCTGACAAGCCATCTCTACCCAGCAGTGTTCTGCCCAAGCTTGCAGCCTCTGCACGACGCTCCATACCGATCATGTCTCTCCAAACGGTGTTGCGCTCCCATACAACATGCTCTCGAAGGTGAGACCTGAGGTCCCTCTTGGCAAGATTCTCATCACCTTGGGTAACGATTTCTGCATATGCCTTCTCCATCTTGGCAATGTTTTCCTCTATTACTTTAATGTTCTCCACCTTGAAAGGGTAGGCTGTATCGACATGGGTTTCCATGTACTTAGGCCGCAACTCCTTGTCCAAGATCTTGTCAAATTTCTTCAGAACTTTCCGGAAACCAGTTCTGTTCAGCTGAGCATATGACTTGAGCTCACAGAGCTGAACATAGAGGCTGATGATACGCTTCTTGAGCATGATGCTTGACGAATAAAGGAAAGACTGGTGCGGCATCTCATCTTGCGTGGTGCTATACCTGCGCAGCGATCTTCCCAGCGTCAACTCGGTTGATGCTGTCAGCTCAGTCACGGACTGACCAAGGTTGGGAGTTGTCTTGCGCCTGCCAATGCCAAGATTGGATCGGCTTTTTGTCAAGCCGGTTGTCTCGTCGTCGTCCTCATCGTCATCGCTGTCTTCCATGTTGCCATCAATAGATTCAGATCTTCTACCATTGGTACCTGGCATACCAGGTCGAGTCCCACTGCTGAAGGACTGTCTGGTCTCGCCGTTTTCCTCCTCTTCAGATGAAAAGTTACCGACGTCACCCAGGAGTTGGTTCACCTCGTCGAGAAGTTCGCCTTCCTTAGCTACGTAGAAGGAGCAGATCTTCTCCAGCTCTACGCCAAGCGCGCGACTGAAGACCTCTTCGGGTTCTTCATTCCTTATAAGAGGTCTAGACTCGGCGTCGCCTGAGGTTGTTTGGTGAACGGTCTTCTCGAGCTGGTAGATCCTGTGAGGTTGGATTAGTTGTTGGAAGATCTAAGTACGGTTTAGGGAGGCATTGGCGACTTACAGCTTCTTGAGATTGCTATAGGCAATGTAATGGCTGCTCCAGTCCGGAACAGCATTAAACTGGATGCTGTGTGAGAACTTCATGTCGTCTTGCTCGTCGAGCCACCGTCTCTTCCAAAGTCTCTTTTGTTCTCGGCGGGCCTCCCGGTCCTCCGCAGTCTTGCGCAAGGCAATGAGCTTGTAGTCCGCAAGCTCGTAACTCTCGCTGCTGGCGATCGCGTGGGTATCGCTGTCGGCGGAGCTCCCTCCCCGTTCCCGAAGGCCTGTTGATGGTCGATCAAGGTCAATGAGAAGTCCCGGATGTGCAGTGCCTGGTTGGTGGGTAGAGGAGGGATTGCGGGATGCTACTGGGGGCGGTATGGTGACAGTGGAGTCGTGTGCGGCTTCTTATCGGACAGTATCGTGATAGTCCGAGGCGTTCAAGATGGTGTTTAAGCTACTGGTATAGCATCCCGCGTTTCGTGGTGGCTGCAACACGTGGGAAAAGCGTTGGTTGTCCTGTCTCCCAGCTTGATAAATGAGCCGCCTCGTGACGATGCAATTGGCTTCATTTGGGATTAGCGCAATCCAGCTCCACGGGTGCCACGACCTAGGAATTAGTGTCGTTGTCATTGGCCGCTGATCACTAAAATGGAGAAAACTTGTCTAGTTTATGCATTTATCATATATATTATGTAATACGATGACGTGACATGATCTGATAAAGTGGTATTTGACATGTGGATACGGATACAGAGTTAAATGCTCCTACTGATGTCGGTCCGTCTGCCTCATTCCTACAACCGTCAAGTCCCTGTGTGAACCCATGTTAATGGACAACCACAGATACCGTAGTACTTCTTCGGTTCGATTTGCACATCCCCTTCAGATTCAGACGATTATTTGTATATTTTTTCATTTCACTTGTTAAGGCTATCCCTTTTTTTTTTTTTCTCTATGCCCGACCGACCATCTGTGTACTTTAGAAGGCTTTAATAATCGCACTCCATCGACCAAATCCGCATAACACTAACTACCTCGAACCTTAGAGCTCGTGCGTAGATGGGTATCAATCTAGAAATGCATCGGAACAATTCACAATTTACAACAATTCTTTGAGCCTTACTCGGAATCTCTCGCAGTTGTACTGAAGCCATACCACGAGTGGCACTGTCGAAGCAGCCGCGGCTGTTATGAGCCACTTCGCACTGCTGTTGCTTGTAGCACTCTCAAAGGCATGCTCTGCGAGGGGGAAAAGTGCCCCTGAGGGATATCTCAGAAGGGCAATCGAGGCGCCCGTCGCCACGGCATGCTGCGGTGAGAGGTCGATGACGTACACAGCCGATGTCATCTAAAACCCGAGTCAGCTGTCATCCGTTACGGAAACGCATGCGAAGTTCTCTATTCAAAGCCCAGGGGCCAACAGCTCTCTGTGTAATCATACGTGAAGGTGTCACTTACAGTTATAGCAAACAGTCCACTGCCGATGATATAGTTACCCAACAAAGGCAAAAGGTATGATACGCCCGATCGAGCGGCCATGTTATAGATGATGAGCCCAGAGATGACCAAGAAAGCTGCGCCGTTAAGCAGTGGAAGGCGGTGTTCAGGAAGCCTCTCTCCCCCTCGTGCGAGTCTTGACACTACAACATCGCTGAGAAAGCCGAATATAAGGAGACCAGTAAACATACCGACTCCCATTCCTGCGAAGGCCAGTCCTGCCTCTGCAGTGTCGAAGTCATACACCTTCTTGTAGGTCATTGGGACGTCGATATACAGCCAAACTTGAAGCCCATAGAAGAAGGATGTCACCATGATTGCCGGCAAGATGCTTGGCTCGAAGGCCAAAGTCAATGGCCGAATCGCTGCCTTGTAGAACAGCGACCTCAAAGGCTGGACGGCAGGGGGTTTCCCATCCCTCATCTCATCTTCGACCTCGCTAGCAACACCTACCGTAGCATATTTTCGCCGAAGTACAGGCAGATATGTCTCACACATCAGCCATTGGGTGAGGCAGATACTGACAAAACACTGTCATCTAGTTAACGCAATCCAGCAGAATTCATAGAAGGAAGGAAAAGACAAATGGAAGAAGGGTTCCTAATCCTTGCTGTATACTGTATATACCACCATGCAGCCTTTCGGCTCTATTTGGCGCATCATGGTCTGCAACGTATTGGGGACGCAGTCGAAAGCAGCAGAAAAACTTACCATGAAAGCCAGAAACCCAAAGCAACCTCTCCAACCCCAGATCTGGGCAATTCCGCCCCCGAGAGCGGAACCAACTGCAGGGCTACACACACTACCGAATGCCATTACCGACAGTGCGCGGGCACGTTCATGTTTCTTCATGACATCTGTCGCGGTCCCGGAACCCTGGGTGATTGGGCTGGCACCGGCGCAACCAGCCAGGAACCGAAAAAACACCAGCCATTTAGCAGAAGGCGCAAGCATACACCCCAGATTACACGCTAGCAGAAGCACATTGCTAGCTTGGTACACTGGCTTCTTTCCTAGCACTTCGCTCAGCGGAGCAATCAGCAGTGGACCGGCCGAGAATCCCAGCACGTAGGCCGACACGGTCATGTGCGCCAGCGAAGGGTTGTCTTCAATGTTGAAGTCGCGGATCACCTGGTCCAGGGCGGGTGTGTAGACGGCGGAGGCTAGGGGACTGCCGATACACATGGAGTCATTAGCGGTTGACCTAGTTTCGATGGCGCCAGAGCCTAGAGACATTGCAACCTCCTGGCAATGATTGACTTACGTGACGCAAGTTATGAAGGCAACCACCAGAATGTGAGCCCAACGCTTCCTAGAAGACCACAGAATTGGGTTGAAGGGTTCGGTGCCCTCCAACTCAGATAGGAATGTTTCTTGTTGCCTGGGGTGAAGATCGGCGGCAGCCTCTACATCATCCTTCCCGTCTTGATCCCCATTTTCTGAGTTTAGAAAGCGGGTAGCTTCTTCGGGGTTCCTGTCATCTGACGGGATCCATTCCGAAGTCTCGCTGTTGTTGGGCTCGCTCTTGTGCAGCAGTTGAGAAACGTCACCAATGATCTCTTTGTCATTGGTAAACATTGCTGAAATGTTCTGCCCAAGGTGTCGTTCTGTACACACTGATTTCAAAAAGCTTGCCAATGTTTTGCTTTCTTGACACCCGGGAATAAGAGAGGAATAAGACAAAGTATGATACTAGGGATACGGCCCTGACCAGGTATATACGACCGATAACAGGAATCTTTCTTCTACGAGTCTGGTGAGGCTGTATAGGCTTGCCTAAGAAACTGGCTTCCTTTGTCGCTATCGTGATTGAGGTAAAGAATGCGGGAGGGATGAAGCTGGCACAATACGAGGCGGTCGGTTTCCACAGGTTCAAGGGAGGTCCCGGCGCGAAGAAAATGTGTCAGAGTCATTCCGTTTGAGTTACAACTTGAACTTTAATTCAAGCTTGAAAAGTGGTTTTGATACTACATCAAATGAGTGAGAACCACTTTTTTTACTTTGCGGGAGCCGATACGGAATAACATAATGGACATGGCAGCATGACCTGGGCAACTTACGACAGCGTTACTGTGTAATAATAGCGTCGGTGTGCCGCCTTATCCGCCACCTCACCAGCCTTTTTGCACGCTCTATCATTTTCTAGAGCTAATAAACTTTGATCAAAGTGCCGGTTTGCTGAGTCTTGCTTGGCATTGTAAGCTACTACTAGTATTCTCGAGACATACTTCTGCTAAGTGGTAGGGTTTCTACGAACTTGTGAAGGGAAACCCCGTCAGCGATACACAAAGAATAACGGCAGTTGGAAGCTCTCCTCGAGTAATGAATGGATAAATATGATACGGATTCCCCGCTCTACAGGCGGATATGGCTGGGCGATTGATGCATCCCCAAGCGCCAAACATCTCGAGACCTTCTGTGTGCGACGTCGTGACGATAATAGCGTAATCAAAAAGTAGTCTCATTCTCCAAGTGTCCACGCGGACAGTAAACCGCACAGGCTATCCATTACTCGGCTCTAGGGCCCCGAGATCACGGCCCGCACCCTAGGGCTTTGGGATGCGAAGATGGATCCCGAAAAGGTGTTGCCCCCATCGGGGCCAGTTCTGGATGTTGTTAAAAGCCATGAGCACCCCGGCGTGGGTAAGTCTGTAAAAATTCCTGGTAGTGACGACAAGGCTGCAGCAGAAGACCAAGAAATGATGCGACCCAGGCTATTTGACGGGACGGCTACCCTCACAAGAGGAGACGGCGTGATACTCATTCCAAGCCCAAGTGCAGATCCGCGAGGTCAGTAGAAGTGCCCAGGCGCGAAAACAGTCTAAGCTCTCCAGCGGTATTCGAACATACGGCTTACAACTCTCCAAGATCCCCTTAATCTCCCGGAATGGCACAAGAAACTCATTGTGGGAATCATCGTACTCTGTAAGTCATTAGCAACTCCATTACTGGAGGTATCGGCTTACAGGTGGCCCACACAGACGCGATATCTGGGCTGTGCTTAATCACCGCCCTCTCTGCGCTGATAGTCTTCGTCATGCCTGATTACCAGCGCGATGGGATTACCCAGGGCCAGATCTCGAATCTCTTCACCTTCCCCAGTCTTTTTCTGGGGGTGGGCAACCTAGTTTCGATGCCAATCGCATTGGCCGTCGGCAGACGACCGGTGATTCTGGCTTCCAATGTCCTTCTGTTCCTTGCCGCCGTTCTATGCGCAACGAACCGCAATTACTACTGGCATCTCGGCGGGCGTATGATTGCGGCGTTTGCAGCGGCTCAATGTCAGGCCTTGGCTATGTTGATCATGCAGGTAAAGTCTCTGTATGACTTTAGTTTACGGAAGCCTCGTATTGACTTTCACTTTTTAGGATATCTATTTTCTTCATCAGCGTGCCCGAGTGTTTCAGGTATATGCGTCTGCGGAGGTTCTTCTCAACTCCAGTCTGGTAATTGCGTCCTCCTACATGGCTGATGCTCTGGGATGGCGATCTTGGTATTGGCTATTTGCTGGTCTTTCTGGCCTGGCCATGATTCTCACTTTTTTGTTTGTCCCTGAAACGGCGTATGATCGACCTGTGGAATCTTTCATGGGCACTCGCCCGAGTGATACAAGCAACCTTCTTTCACAACAGAGGGATGCCGGTGATGCTATCAGCCGGAGCCACTCACCAGGTGTACAGTACACCATGCCAGACGATCAGCCGATTTCCGACCTGAACCCTTTCCAGGAACGTACGTTCACCTCAAACTTGCAAGTATTCGTCCAAAAGACCACCTGGTCTCATTGCTGGCTCTGTCTTAAACAAATTGGGCAAGTGTTCCTTTTTCCCCACGTCCTATGGGTAGCCATCAACAACGGCCTCTTTCAGGGCATCGACGTCTCGATCCAGATGACGTACGCAGAGGTTCTCGTAAAGCCACCGTACAACTGGGCCAAGACGTCCGTTTCGCTCATTCAGCTGGGACAGATTGTCATTGCTCTGCTATGTGTTCCACTGATCGGCTGGCTTAGCGACTTTATCATCCGCTTCTCAGCTCGGCGTAACCATGGAGTGCACGAACCAGAACCGAGACTTATCGCCTGGATCTTCCCCATGGTGACGGCCTTGATTCTTACAGTCCTCTACGGATACGTTCTCAAAAAACCGGAAAGTTACCACTGGATGGCCATCGTGTCTGTTGTCGATGGATACCTCATCGTCCTTATGGGTGTGAGCACCGTTGGAACGGCTTATTTGATCGACAGTCATCCCAGCCATGCCGGCGCGATCCTGGTAGCGCTCCCCGTTACTCGTGGGCTTATGGGTTTTGGGCTTAGCAAGCATACGACCGAGTACATCAACAACCTAGGCCCAGTCCGGACTTTTGGAATTTATGCTGCCATTAGCGCGGCGTTCTGTCTCCTTGGAATAATTATGTACTTCACCGGTAAGAAAGTGAGAAGACTTTGCGCTCAAATGACCCAGTAAAGGATAATGGCGTTACAAAACACGAAGACATGAGAATGAAGCAGTTAGATGAAGATACTCAGAAACACAAGCTGCCTAAGCTTGTTCCACCAGGCTCTCTTGTGAACAGTTTGGCAAAGGACACTGTACATAAACAATCCGAATAGTTTAGTGCGGTTGTGCGCCTTGCCTTTGAAGTTTCAACGAGTGTTTCGAAAACCTGACGAAACTCGCGCATCTGGGACTTCACTCTGGAGTGAGTACTGATTTTGAGAGACTTGAAGTTGACATGCAGAAGTATGAGAAGCAAGACATTCCCGGCCCATATAAGCATAGCCATCGTAAGGTAGAGCGAAACGACTGGGCGATTGTTTGAGTTACCTTGTCATTACCATTGCTTTCGTTTTGGCTAAGCTCTGAGAGAAACCCAAGATGGAGTTACGACCCAGCGCGGCAGCTAAGAAACAAATGGGGGTGTTATTGAACAGCATTGATTTACTTCATTTTCGCTTGTTGGGCATTCAATACACTTTATCAACGAGGCGTCCATGATGCTTCCATATAACTGCGGCGATCCTCTCGTGTGTTGGATGGGGAACAGACGATATGTACAATCTATTCAAACCTACAGCGTCAAGGTCCAATGAATGATTGGGGGTGCACTGCCCGACCGCACAACCTCACTGTGCCAGAAGCGAGGCCATGTGGAAGGAAAGATTTAGGTTACTTGGTGGCCCAAACGATGGATATCATGTGACGGTAAACCTACCGTTTAACAAACTGTCAGCGTAGCGTATTATTCGCAAGCCTCGAAACCAGCTTGGGGGCCAAAGGCTGGTTCGGGGCAACAACCGGAGGAATGTGGGGCATGGTCGCCGATTTTTTCGGATTGGGCTCCGGAAACGCCGCTGACTGGTCGGCGAGCTACACGGTTCATTGAAAAATGGAGAGACTTTTTGAATGTAATTATGAAAACTGAAAACAACCTGCACGAATACAGAATGTCCAGTGGAATTCCCTTCTCTTTCAAGATGAGATTGAGTCTGGGCGCGTAATAACGGCCACAGTGGACCAGCTCACTGTCCCTGTTCCCTGTCTGACCCCTGAGCTCCGCGACCAGTCGGCGCGTCTCCTGCCGCACGTGCTGCACGTCCCCCCACACAAGCTTCAACATCTTCACTCACTTCTTGCCTCTCCCCTCGCTGTGCCACCATCACCGAGGTCTGATAAGTAACGACGGCGGATATTACTGCATATGCCAATATATGCCCCGCAGGATAACACGCTTACGACCCCTGAAGCTCTACGCGATAGCGTGCATCCTTCTTTGTCGTTGAACCTCCCTGCGGCGTGGAACCCACGTGGGATACGACCTGCGCCAGCTAGCCAGCCAGGTCCTTGTTTAATGATTGTTTAAAGAAAAGACAGGCCATATAAAGAATGGATGGCTTCCTCAACTTTTTTCCCGAGAAGGCCGTTAGCCTCACCGGCCGCCTGGATCAAGTCACTCGTTCTGATCGCTAGCTTCGTCATCTTTGTCGAGTTCTCGTTCTCTCAGATCATGGGTCCCAAGTCTGGTTCGTCAATGCTGGCCGCGCTGGCCATCCTCGGCAGCGGTTCCGATAGAGTCGTCAACGCAGTCGGCGCCGGCGGTGTTGACCTGAGTTGGCACGCCCCTTCGCAGACAGAGGTCAACAACCTTGCCGCCGTGATCAACGGTAAGGGCGTCTGGGGCTTCATCTACAACACCTCAGAAACGCCGGACGAGAAGTATGGACAGTACAACTGGTGCAACATGCCTCATGTCCGCAAGACGGAGTATAAGAAAGCGTCGGATGAGTATGAGCTCAAGTACGTGGAATTGGTAGGTATTTCAAAGAACTATTCGATCTGGTCCTAGAAGCTCACTCTCTCCAGGTCCACCGCCACCATAAGCGCACGCCGTACGCCTCCAATGCATTCCCAGTTGAATCATACCAGTGGAACTGTGATGAGCAGGGCCTCTTTTACTACGGCGAGCCCTTCGCCAGCCGTAACAAGCCGGCCAAGACCTACTGGAAGGTCTACATCTCCCCCGTCAATCCCTTTGTGCCGGCTGGCTGGATTGGAACTTGCCAGTTCCCGCAAATCACCGCCCAGGGCCTTGATGACTCCTGGGTCCACGGCGCGGACCTGTTTGGCGTCTACCACGACCTCCTTGGCTTTCTTCCTTCCAAGGAAACTGTCAACTCGGCCGAGTGGCTGCAAAAGGTCAAATACCGCGTCACGAACAACCAAATCACGAGCCAGGTCGCGGGCATGCTGGTTAACGGCATGTGGTCCACGCCAGACTCCACTGGTCTTAACATCCAGGCTGCGGGCGTTGATTCCCTGGAACCGCAGTACTCCTGCCCGGCGGGCTCCGCGCTCTTCAACAGGATCAAGTCATCGGCCAACGCGCCCTGGGCACAGCACCTCGCGGCCGCGAGACCTTTGTACGCCACCCTGGATGACATCTCCGGCGTTCCCACCGACGACTCCGGATTCCACGTGAGCCTGGACCACTACTACGACAACCTCTCCGCGAGGCAGTGCCACGACAAGCCCCTCCCCTGCAAGCTCGTCAACGGCGCCAACAGCACCACCTGCGTGACGCAGGATCTCGCGGACGCCGTGTACCGCCTGGGCAACTGGGAGTACTCGCAGATTTACCGCGATGCGCCCGACTCCCTTGCCGCCAGCGTCGCGACCTGGGGTGTGTGGGTGGCCGAGCTCGCCACGCATCTGCGTGCCGTCATCAAGGGCGAAAGTGAGACCATCTACTTCCACAACGTCGCGCACGACGGCTCCGTTTCGAGACTGCTGTCGATCCTGCAGCTTGACCACATGGTCTGGCCCGGCATGGGCTCCGAGGTGGTGTTTGAGCTGTACAAGAAGAAGGAGACGAGCGAACAGCCGCCCGCGCCGACGCCGACTATTGTTGCGCCGGGATGCAGCCGGAATAACTGCCTGCGCCAGCTGATTCGCGAGAGTGCGTCCGCATCGGCGTTCTGCCCGAGTCTCACCGCCACTGCGTCGTGGACCGATCCCCTGCCTACGTGGGCGGCGAACTGCAACGGTGATGTCGCTGCTGTGTCGTCTGCGTGCTCCTGCATCTACTCCCCTGCCACCACCACTGCGGCTGCGGCTGCAACGGCCACGGCCACGGCTGCGCCGGGCGCGGGAGCCGGGGAGAGCGGGTGGTACATTCGTGTCCTCTGGAGCGGACAGGTATTCAAGTCGTCCAACCCGTCGCTTGGTCTCATGGACATGATTCCAGTTGAGACTTTGCTGGCGTACTTTGACGGCCTTGTAGGGGAGAACGCTAGCCTGGTCAAGGGCAAGTGCAGCGCCTGAGTGCGTATGAGTCCATGATTTGTGATGAACGATGAGATTTGTCACCTGTGATGAGGGTGGCTGCCTAAGTACTTTATACATATAGACCCTCGCTGTAATAATAATGGTATTTGGTCAAAATTCGCTTGCCTACAATATGCACTGAACCAATGAGCCTAAACCAGCCCGCACTCCCTTTCCAGATCGCTCCACCGCCCTGAGCGCATGGGGTCCAACTGCCGCACTTTGGCCATCCACGTCTTAAGGTCTTCTGTTTCGTCGTCGCTAAGCTGTCGCCCCTCGATCTGGGGCAAGGCCCTGGTGTAGTCCAGGAGCGCCTTGTAAATACCCACAATGTCGTCGTAATCCTCGGCCAGCTCCTTGATGTCGTCTATTTCGCGCTTAACGTATGCTGCCTTTTCCTCCTGGGGAATATTTGGCGCGATCTTTGGCCGGCCGTCTGACTCGGTCAGGTCTAGAATAAGGAACTGGTGATAGTACCAGAGGGACTGGTCCTCAGGGCCGACGTTTAATGCTTCGCGGACGAGGTTTAATTCTGCACATGTTAGCATGGTATATGATTATCAGAGGTAGGCCAGGCGCCTTACCGTCATCCAAAAACTTCTGCCGCGCTTTATCGTCGGCTCTGCGCTCCTCCAGCAGGCGGGGTATCAAATTAGTGCGGTTATGCCATGCTGAAAAGTTGGACAAATCAACGTTGATCATTTTGGTGGTATACTCAAACTCGGGTTCCACCATGCTAGTTCCATCAAGCACCTGGCTCTCCAAGGTTGATACTACCGTTCGGCGGTAACCCCAGGCGTGGAAGTTGCGGCGATCCTTGGTTAACATCTTGGAGACCAGACCAAGCTCCTCTTCCCATATACGACGTGCCATCGGCTTCGGCAGGAGATCGATGGCTTGCTGGAGGAGCCAAGACCGGTACTTCCAGATCCAGTAGCTCTTGGGGAACTCGAGGAGGAGGGGTATGGTGAACATCAACTCGTTCTTGAGGGTTCCAATAATCTCTTCGGTCGAAGCTCCCTTCTTTGCTTCAACATCATGACTGGCAACATCCGACCCAACATCAGCTGTTGTACCACTCCTCCCATTCTCTTGGTCCGCTGGGGACGCGGGGTCGCGCTGGATCGTGGTCGAGGAAGATGGCAACGAGTCGGCGGAGGACAGAGACGGAGTGCATGCTGCTGATGAACTCGCGTGTGGCGCCGATGGCGACAGCCCAGGCGAGGGTTTTGATAATGATCCAGAGGTTAGGCAGCGTCTGCGGACGTTCCATGCCGTGTAATGCTCCGGGTTGAGCCGCAGGAGTTTGGTGGTCAGGGCAAGCGTTTCCGGGTCGGAAAGGTCGGGATTGGCGCGAAGGAGGGAGTCTTCAAGGGAACGAAGTGTTGCGATCTTGGCAAGGTCTGACTGCAGCTGGGCTTCGGTGCGTGGCTTGCGGGCTGTGCGGGCTACGCCGTGCTGGGATTGATATGTCAGTACTGTCGTCTATGAAGTTTTGGAGGGGTTTGGAGACGATTTGGGGAAAAGAGTGCAGAAGAGCAGAGTGGCATAAGACATAGGCTTAAGGGGTTGACTTGCAGTGTCCATGGGGAATCCAAGGGTGCTCTGAAAGAGCGAAATGAGCTTGAATGAACAAGGAAACGGCAAGGGCGTTGGTAGGTGCAAGAATCCGGGGAGACGGCCGGGTGAGGAAGCGGTTGGAAGCTCTGGGCAGGACTGAAGCTGATGCGGCACGGGTTGCGCCAGCAGGGATTCCCCACCACTCATTTGCTGTTGGGTGGATGAAACAGGTCCCTAGAGGTGCCTCGTTTAGGTATGTCATTTAGCCAGATGGCCCGGGCTCCCGGCGAAGATGCCGCCGACCCGCGTTATATCGCGCTTTGACGCGTGCTCTCATGCTGTCACCTTCAGCGACATTCAACGTCACCTGAATCACTGGTGTAGTTATCAAGAGGTTTGCGTCAAAACTCTTGAGGGCTTCTGAAAAAGATATACTTACTTTCGCTTATCTTTTAACATAGATGACGGCAAGTATGATCAAGATATTTACAAGGTGAAGCCAGGTATATACACATTCAGGTTCTGACATTCAGGTTCTGAAAGGCAATGTTTATATGTATGAAGGGCTTTCACTAGAGCCACCATGGCAGTCACAATTTGTCTTATTCGTCACTTCTAAGACTGCCCTTATGATTTCGTGTGGTATTAATAAGATGTTGCATCATTGACGCATTAAACCTGCCTTGCTTAAACAACGAAACTGAAATGGCAACCCCCTGAGGAGTTTCTGTGCCTTCCACCTGCCTTTGATCCTGCGAACTTGAAGGAGCAATGACAGGAAGGATGAGTCCTACAGAGCACCTCAACTGATACAGCTTCCCACCGACATTCTTATTCTTCCTCTCCACCTCCGTGCTCCTAGAATTCTTCTCTCCCTAAGTTATGTCGTCGGGTCGATATCACTAGTTCATCAGCCATCTGTCGACGTAGTGAGACAGCTTTAGTACCGTCTTCCCAGGGGGACTGTAGGCTGGACACATTCATCATTTCATATAGTGTTCTTCGCACCCATTCTCTTTGGTCCCAGAGCTTGCTTTGCTCTTCTTTTGCATCTTCAGTTACTAAACCACCCACGACACACTCGCTAGCACATCCCTTTCGCATTCTTCCACCGTCACTATTCTACGTTAGATCTTTGCCGGACCCGAGCTCATCGTTGGAACATGGGTCGATACCGCCGATTTCGATTTACGTCAAGAGCAACTGATTCCTGTCTCAACCCTCGGGATTCTGGATACCAGTCCAACGACACATCTGAAGACTTTCCATGGGACATCGAAACCGAGACACCTCCGAGGCGCAAACGGCATTTGGAGCCCTCCGACTATCACCTTTACTTGGACGGCTCTGGAGCAGAGGACAACAGAGACTCAGATGATGAGGAGAAGACTCTTCCACCACTGCCAAGCAAGTCACGTCCAGAGGTGAACTCTTCGCCCAGGGATCTCCCTAACCCATCTCTTGTAACGCCAATCAAGCGAGGACGGGACTCAGCAAGCTCGCCGCAATATGTCACCGGCTCTGTCAGGACTGCAGATCGATATGTACCCCATCGTGACCCAGAGACCCCTCCATCGGAGAGGCTACGGGTTACCAAGGAGGTAGAAGCATTGTCCCCTACCGAAAGACTGCTGAGGCACCAAAGCGCTGCACCAGACCCTTTCCAAAGACCTCAGCAGCAAGCCATATCTTTGGCGTCTAGCTTTCGTTCTATATCTGGTGCATCATTTGGTCGTGAGTGACAAGGTGCCCCTAAACCGCCATTATTCTAACCTAAACAGTTCCCTCGGTATTGTCAGTGAATCCCCGAAATCAAAATCAAAGACCAGCAAGCAGTGGTGTTATCTGGACCGTTGGTGGCTTAGCTCCTCCATCCCCTGGGACTGCTGTGGACGACGGCCGTGGCCACTATCTTCGGAGTGGCTCAAACGCTCGAATGATTACTACCAACTTTGCCACTGCTCGTATCAAGAAGAAAGAGGACCTTGAGCGATATGAAGGTATCCTTGCCGCCGCTTTACAAATAAATCAAGCTTCAAGGGTCCTGGACTTTACGCACATTACCTCTCCAAGTTGGAAGCGGGAACAAAAGAGCCAGGCATCACCACTGGAATCGAAGACGTACTGGAATGGGACCAAGTGGGTGAGTCCCGAAAAAGCTTCAGGTAAGACATGTTTCTATGAAGCGTGGGTTTACAAAGCTTATTATTTTTGTTCCACGTGCAGTCTCGCGGCCGGTGGAATGTAATCTGCCGACGACAGCATACAGAGTTCTTGACGCACCAGGACTTCAAGACGACTACTACAACTCGATACTAGCATTCTCACCAACATGTGATGCTCTAGCTGTCGGATTGGCCAGCTCAGTGTACATATGGTCAGAAAAGCTCGGTGCGTCACTCTTCGAGTATGCTCCACACAAAGGCTGCGTGACTTCTCTCTCCTTTTCTTCTACTCCAGGCGGCAAAGTTATTCTCGCAGTTGGTCGCTCTGGTGGCCATCTTTACCTCCGATCACTCTTTGAGACACTTCCACGACATCAAGCCAGACAAGCAACCTCAGTCACCTGTGTTTGCTAGAGACCGACGGTGACAATGAGACCATCCAAGAATCCCTACACTAGGGGCGGCTTAGTGCAGACTGAAGACCTTGTCGTAGGCGATATGCAAGGCAACATTCTCTATTACACTGTAGAATGGCCAGAATCTTGGGAGGTGGAAAGAAGCGGGTGGGCAGGCACCATGACGCTGGTGGCCAACATTGCTGTCCATACTCAGCAGATTTGTGCTCTCGTCTGGGCGCCCAACGGCCGGGACTTCATATCAGGAAGCAACGACAACACGGCATGCTACTTTGAGATTCAGCGAATGTTGCGAAGACGTACCAGAAAATCTCGCACTTCATCCGCAGATCTAGTTATCGAAAGTAGAGGGCCAACGGATCACTCTTCGGATAAGGATATTCGTTCCCAAGAGCAAGCTATCAGTCGAGATGGCTGGCTCAACGATACCTTGGAATCGTTGCTTTATGGCACACAAGTAGAACAGGAGCCGACGAAAGTGGATGCCCAAGGAAACAGCACACAGCTGGTTAGAGCGCCCGAAGACAAAATCATAAAATTTATCCCCGGGTCAGAAAAACACTGCTAGAGGCACGGTGCCGCAGTCAAGGCAATTTCATTTTGCCCCTGGCAGAACAATCTCATCGCAACGGGCGGAGGGTCAAGCGACAAGTGCATTCACTTCTGGCACGCCACAACAGGCGTGCCATTGGCAACCATCGCCGTGTCGGCGCAGGTCACATCGTTGATTTGGTCAAAGACGCGGCCCGAAATAGCGGCAACATTTGGTTTTGCAACGCCAGATCATCCCTATCGTATTGCCGTCTTCAGCTGGCCGTCATGTAAGCAGGTTGGAGCTATCGCGTGGGAAAATGGGCCGCGAGCTCTGCATGCCATTGCCTACCCTGGAGTACCCAGCGATGTACGGAGAGGAAGTCGGACGTGGAAAGAAGGAGTCATCGTCGTGGCCACAAGCGACGAGAACATCCGATTCCACGAAATATGGCAGGGAGAGCCGAGGAGAACGATGGGTGGTGTTGGCATGTTGGGTTACAGCGATATTCTTGAAGGGCTTGACGGCATTGATAAAGAGGGGGGTGTCATTCGCTAGCGCTCATGAAGAGTTATAAGCGCAGAAGGTCAGAGTAGAATCATAGACAGAATGCTACGATATATCTCCTACATTGCTCGAAGTGGTGATTGGTGTGAGTGTTGGATAGCATGGAGCCAGCCGAGTAGCTGGTGAAAGGTTTCCTGCACTGCGAGCAAACTCTTTCTGTGTGTAAGTCTACCTCTCCTCCTTCGCTCAGTTCGTCTTGGTAGTCCGTGACGAGACACGGCGCAAGCTGAAGACCGGTCAGTCAAGCCAAAGCCAACGTCAAGGCGAGAAGGTCGGTTAACATAACCATGGCCACGCCACGGCTGAAACAGAATCTCAGTTTTAAGCTCGGTTTTGAGAGGTGAGGACAGCGAGCTCATTGCAACTCAGAAGTAGGACATAGTCTATTGCAACTTGGGCTCCATCTTCATGTTGCATGAGGCATGTCCAAAATAGGCAGCACGGATCCCAGAACGACGCATCCGAAGTTGACAGACGGAAAAGAGCTGGGAGCTAGGATATGTCTGAGAGACTAGAGTGAGAGCAAGTTCCATGCCTCCCGTTTAGCGTGGCCAACCCGCTGGATGGTCTACCCCAGGGCCCAGGCTCCCCCCCTAGTTTAGCCCACCCAGTCCCCTGTAAGGGAACCGCAGCCGCTGCCTGTATCGTAAACGTAATCCACCTTGCTGGGCACATCCTCCACATGGCCTCTTAGCGCTTGGTGTCTCACCCGGTCGGGCGCATGAACACCGCCAAACCCCGAATCTTCAACCTTCCGGTCTATCCACGTTTCTTTGTGTTATTCGTCGTCCAGATTGAACCACTATATCGTTGAGTTACCAGGTCGCAGATTCTGCATCCAATTGGTACGCAAGTCGCTAGACAACAATTCGTTTCTATCCGCTTCAAAAAGAGAGACCTGGTCACCATGTCCAACTTGAACCAGCTCTACCTCCTTGCCGACCACATCAAGCTCTCCCTCCTCGAGCGCCAGCGCGCCCAGTCCCTGGACCTCGATGCAGACACGCAAGACGGCCACATTTCACGCTCGCTGGATCAGTTCCGCGATGGTTTGGAGTCTCTAGACTCTGAGGCCAAGCGTCTCCAGGACGCTGGCGATGAGAGGTGAGTTTCTTGCTCCTTTCTTTAAGACCTTCCCTCCCCATATCTTCAAAACGCCGTGCGACGTCATGTCGGACCTCCCCCAGCCTCAACGTCTAGAGGTATCGACCACCCCCACAAAGAAACAAACATGCTGACAGCTAGGATTGGCAGTGCCGCACAAAACATCACCGACTCCCTTCCCGCCCTGCAGAAGCAGTTCTCGGACCTCACTTCCCAATTCCACGGTTTCTCCAACCCATCTACTTCGACGACCACCACTACCCCGAACGACCCGTCGCTCTCTCCCGACTTTTCGGCAGCGCAGTCTACCAAGCCCCTTAAAGGCTCTCTTCGCGGCCTCCCTGGCTCTGCCGCCGGGGGTAACAAAACAGTCCGCTTCACTGACTCCCCTGCCCCAGCAGGCGAGGATCCCAATGCTGCAGCCCTCTTTGGCGAAGGCCGCTACCGCGATGACCCAACCGACACGGCGGGATACCGCGACCAGGCCGAGGGGCTGGATAATCAGCAGCTGCACGCATACCACACGCAAATTATGCGCGACCAAGACGACCACTTGGACCGGTTGGGCGAGTCTATCGGACGCCAGCGGGAGCTGAGCATGCAGATCGGTGATGAGCTTGATTCACACGTTGCTATGCTTGACGAGGTCGACGACGTGGTCGATCGTCACCAAGGGAGGTTGGACCGCGCGCGCAGGCAACTGGGTCGGGTTGCTCGGGATGCTGGGGAGAGCAAGCAAATGATTGCGATCATCGTGCTCATTATTATTCTGATTTTGTTGATTGCTATTCTGAAATGAGCGAGGAGAGGAGGTTAGAAGCGCAACGAATTTATCTTACTCGTCCCCCTTGGAAAGGGAATGTACGATGTATCCCGGTCATCACCGAAGTTTCTAGTTAGGGGGCGCATAGCATGGTTTGGCGTTCAGGAGTTTCTTCTGTAGGATCTCTGGTACTCGGCCTCAAGCCGAAGAGTTCAATGGCCGTTTTAAGGATTTCAAGTGTTGGTTCGCTGTAGATACCGCAACTTGGCAGTCGAAAAGAAAGCATTCGTTCATGACCGACAGGCTGAGGTTCATTTGTCGCAACGGTCTGTAACATGGGGACACTGCGACTGTCTTTAGATACCCACCATCGCAAGAGTTAGTGTGCTGTTCTCATATGCTCATTGCTGAGAGAAAACGTGTATCTTTTATGAATTGCAATTGCTCCTGCCAAACCCCAACAGATGGGGCCGAGCTCCATCACAGCCACCAACGGTCTATTAGTCTAGTTGGTTAGGACGTCGGATTCTGATTCAAACCCAGATTTTCCGTAAGCCCAGGTTCGAATCCTGGATGGACCTACTCTTTTACTTTTGCAAGCATTTGGAGATTAATCAGTTTTATTTTTGCTCTTATCGTTAACTGTAGTTAACTGAGTATGACTAGGCTAGGTAGAACTCATATACGTCGGGTGTTTAAAGCACCCTTGTTTCTCAGCTAATAAATAAATGTAGATGATGTAAAATAGTAACATGGAACATAATGTAATTTTACTATCATCAAAGCTAGACAGCAGTAGAACACAGCCTTGTCTTGCAGTAATCAGTTTGGTCAGATCGGCAACGCTGACATCTCCCAAGACTCCTTTGTGCCCCTGCAAACCTGGTGATTTGTCACAATCATGTCATTGGACATCACGCGGTTGTAGGTGAGCGGACTAACCTCACCACCCTTCAAAGTCATTCTCCCGCTTCAAAATTTCTCTGCAGAATCACCGGTTTGCGTTGCGAAGTATAGCCACATCGCAATGATCTGAGGTGATTGTAAAAGTCATTAGCTGGCAGTGAATTGTGTTTGCCAGACATCTTTGGTTCACGCATCTCGCCATGAATCGTCGTCACCCTTATGAATCCACGTATCATTAAATAGCACATTGATCTCTTTTTCCGCTATGGGAGGAACACCTCTACTCCGTAGACATAAACCATACTCTGGCCACTCGTAAAATGCGCTTCCCCACGCCTTCGCTATCGGGCTTCGATGCCATCCTCAACCAGCCACAAGAAACAACTTGGGATCGTCTGTTTTCATCGCCCCTCACGACCATCGCGAGGATACTCTACAATTTCTTCCCTGTATCTTTCCCCATACCTCCGTACACCAACAACAGCGACGAAGCTGTGACGGTGGTCTGCGTCTCCGACACGCATAACACCCAACCACACTTACCACCCGGCGATATCCTAGTTCACGCAGGCGACCTCACGGCGTCGGGTACTAGGGTAGAGTTGCAGGAGACATTGAATTGGCTGAACAGACAGCCCCATCGGCACAAGGTCGTGATAGCAGGGAACCACGACCTCTGCCTCGACGGCAACCTCCAGGACACCCGAGAAGATGGTGACGAGGAGCCGGACTGGGGGGATGTAATCTACCTAGACCGCACCTCCGTCACGCTCAAAATCCCAATATCGTCCCTCGACAAGCCCCGTACCAGAGAAATCCGCGTCTACGGCAGCCCATGCACACCCCAACACGGCAACTGGGCGTTCCAATACCCACGTTCATCACCCTCAGATCCCTGGGCTGGCTCTGTCCCCGAAGGAACGGATATCTTGGTGACGCATGCCCCGCCAAAGGGACATATGGATGATCCGCGGGGCCACTGGGGCTGTGAGCTTTTGCTAAAGGAAGTGTGGCGCGTGAGGCCAAGGTTGCATGTCTTCGGGCACGTTCATTGCGGACACGGGGTCGAGGTGGTACCGTTTGATGAGTTGCAGAGCGCGTATGAAGATGTGGTATTTGAAGAGGCGAAAGCTGTTGCTGCTGGTGGGAGTGGAGGGCTGAAGGCGTTGGCGCGGGTTGTGAAGGCTTGGGTTGGCGTTTGGTGGAGGGGCGGGAGGAGGGGGAAGGGGCAGACGATACTTGTTAATGCTGCTAGTATTGGGGGCATCAGGGATCGGTTAATTAGGGAGGCTGTTGTTGTTAGGATATAGATATCGGGTAGCCGGATGGGTTAGAGTTGTAGTCCTGATTACGACAGAGCTTTATAGATAGACAAGTAAATAGTAATAGTTTAAGATGAAGGAGAGAAACAGACTATAGTAAAGCCGCGTTTCAAATGATGTTAAAAAAGCACTCGAGATGTTTAAGATCTAATAAACAATTACCCACATCTTTATAAGAAAGCTAAGTTCGAGTAATACAGATGACTTTCTGAACTTGGGAATACACGACTGTAACCCTTAGACAACGGAACAGACGACGACAGCGACGGGGATGGAGACCGATTAGGCTGATGGTAGCGGAATTTCAAAATAGTCAGAGATTTGTTATATACTCTTACTACAACTGCCAGACCCAGGCGATGATCGCGACTGTTCGGCGGCCGCCATTGTCGCTTGGGAAGTTTAGAATTGATTTGTTGACTGCGTTTTGATGCCTATAAATGAAGGCTTCCAGTAGCTCGAACGGGTAGGAAAGAATTATTCATGCTCCTTCTTAATTTGTTTATATAATTGGGCAAGAGCCATCTTTGATAAATAGCAGACGCCTTAACGTCGCAATGTTGTATTGATACTTCGCCATGCTCATTAAGATTCTCACAGCGTAGTTGACGCTTTGGATCCCATACCTTCTCGTTTAACTCGACAAGTACACTGGCGAAAGATAAATAACAACTCCTCATGCGATATGCCAGACTGGTGCATCTGAACCCCAGATAGCCAAGACGCTTGTCAATCTAGCCGCACCCTTGGCATATCTATTCACCCCACGCTGGTTCCAATCAGTTGCCCGACACCCTTTTTCGCTGATCAAGTTAAGGATTTGCTAGGGACTTCGAAAGTGGGAGAGTAAAGCAATTGGCATCTTGCACGTCTACAGACCCGGCTTTACAACTAACAAAAGGTGCACGGGGAGATGAACGAAGGTGTCAAAAGAAGAAATACTCAACTGATTAGCATGAACTATGACGTTGCTGAGATCGAGGACACTATTTGTGAGGTTTTGTGCGTTAGCCATCAGAGCAGGCAAAAGATACAGGGACCACATTGGATTCATCGTAAAAAAAACAAGTGCCGGCGCAAGCAGCTTCTCAATCGTAACCCAGCACCTAGGCCTCATCACAACTGACCGTGTCACAACAAGCATTATACCCGAAAGCGTCTTGAACTGGATCTATTCCGACCCGACCTAACATGCATACGAATACATTCTCCGGGCCTCAATCCCTAACCCAGACCCGTCCGGATGCAATCTATCCAACCCCAAAGCCCGAATTAAACTCCAAGTCGCGACTCTGTGTGTGTTTCATGCGCCCGTCCTGTTTTAATGTTACGTGTTTCTGCTTCGAAGCCCCAACAGACTAATTCAACCTGGATTTTTTAAAAAAAAAACAATCATAAGCAAAGCCGAGCGATACAATATGACGGACGCCCCCTTTACAACCCATCTTTCATGCTCGTACCGGCCTTGCTCTGCTCCTCAGCAGCGCCCTTGGTCCGTTCTTGCAACGTCTTGGGGTCGGCCTTCTCGGAGCGGTCTGCCTTGACGGCTTCTTCACTGTCAGAGGCAAGCTCAGGCTTCCAGTGACCCTTGCCCTGCTTCTGCTTGGAGAGGGAGTCTTGCTTGTGTCTCTCGTGGATCGTCTCGTCGGCATCTGGTATGGTTAGCCAACTGATTCTTTATCTCTAGCTCATCAATTGGAGTGATGATGCAAAATGCGGTAGGTCAAGAAGGTTGCTCTTCAAGTAGAAAGACAAATAATGTATTATTTTAGGGTGGTAGTGAACGGGTGGGGTAGCTAGCTTCGTCATCATGAAGCTTGACGAGCTCTGTTCACAATTGCCGAGGAAGTGGTTGAGCAGGAAAAAATAAAAACAAAAAACAAGAAATAAACTCACGTCCAGCAGTCTCCTTCAAGCCAACCATTCTCGACGTCGAGATGCTGAATCCACGGCCGAGGAGGGAGGTCTGGCGTCCGACAACAAAGGCGCCGCGCGCGATGGGGGTGGAAGAGAGGACGATGCGGGAAGCCATGTTTGCTGTGATGTAGGTCTTTGCTTCTGTACTTGCAGGCTTAATTCCGTTTCAATGCAACAATTCAGAGAGATGAAAGATCAATTGGATGATTGGCGGTAGAAGAATAATGGAAATAAACAGGTGAGGGAGATATTTAAAAGGGGAATGTGACGATGATGCTCGAGTTTGGAAAGAGCCGAATCGCCTACATCAAGTCGCTCGTTTACCATGGCGTGACGTCACTATCATTGCAGCTGCTTGTGCCGAAAGTGGTGGTGAGTGACATATTCAGAACCGAGCTCCTGCTTTCTCCCTATCCCCGGTACCAGCAGTAGCACTAGCACCACAGCACCACAGCACCACAGCACCACAGCACCACAGCACCACAACAGCAGGTGCAGCTCTCCCAAGGTAGCATTTTCCGGGAATGAACCTGGACGGATGCGGTGATTTTGTGGGCTCGGCATTCTTTTTTACCATTTAATGGCAGTGGAGTTTGGCCAACTGCCATCGAGCAATTTACAAGCGGCCCTAGACCGTGCAGTATCAGATGCTGCCAGCTGTCAGCAAAGCAGAGACGTCAGCCCCTCCAACCTTGCGTGTCTTCAGCTACAGAGAGTGGGGCGCTTTCTTCAGCTGAATCGTCATCATATCACGTGATACCAGTTTCCCCCCATCCCCTATGCACAGACACAGGCAATGCTCACCGGAAAGCCCACTCGCCTCATCATTCTTTTGGCCCCTTGACCACCCGTCCGGCCCCTGTTGGTAGCTCGGAGGAATGAGGCCAAAGGGAGCATGCAGGCCGGCCGCCCGATGGCCAATCTGTCTCACCCCGGCGGCTATCTCATTAGAGGGGGACGAGTCGAATATGAAGGGTAGTACGAAGTTGAAGGTAGGGATGGATAATGGAAGAGAGACCCTTAACATCTGTCTGCACTCCCCAACGTTGGAAGGTTCGCCCGCTGGTCTGGTCGCTCCAATGCTACCCCTCATTCTACCTGCTCAACTCAGCCCCTCCAGAGCACTACTCTACCATATGGGAAAAAGGGGTTGAAGCATCGACCACTAGATAGTTAAACGTATTATAGCTGCATACCTTGCATTGCATCAACAAGTGTCAGATTTCAGGGGCAAGATAATAAGCGCGGGGCCGTGGGGGAATCCTCATCTCAGCGATGCTCTGTCTGTACCACTGCATGCGGCAGGGGGATGCGGGCCTGACCAACGGAGGCCCTTGGTCAGCGAACGTTGTGATGTGATGTCCGTGGACAGATCGACTCTTTCAAGTCTGTTCGCTGTTCGTCGTTCTAGATCATTATCGTAATCGTTCACTATGCACAACTAAATTCACAATTGGAACACCGATTTTGAGATGAACGTATCGTATATTGCATTGCGCCTTGCTGGCTTCGCGCCACAAGATCGGACAACTCAGGTCCGATCTCCTTGAACACCTTTCACGTCTTGAGCATTTCCTTTACAACCACCCAAAAGAGGTATCCCTTTCTCCGACCCAGTAAACCACAAGAGCCATTTATCGTGTCATACCGCTGCTCCCAGAAACAACATACAGCTGCTCCGAATATGCTCGCGAAAGTGCTCCCCAGACAAGGTGAGATTTCACCACCCAACATTCCCCAGTAGTCCCCGAGATGCCGAACCCGTTGTAATAAGAAGCCCGTCCCAGGAACACCAAGTAATAGTAAGAATGGTCCATCTTCGAATAATGAAATAATGAGAGAAGAGGCACAAGAAAGCAAACGGTACTGCCCGACCCTTCGACAAAAAGAAGGGGAAACCGCCAGCAGACCACCCGAACCAAAATCATGACCAACTCCACCTTTCCCAAAGGTATTTCCCGGACCCCATTTCCAAGCTTTGGAGATTTACCGCAAAACAATAGCAACGCATGTCTTTGCCCGCCACCACCCATTTGATATTTCCCAATGTTTGAGCCCATAACAGAAACACCCGTTGCCCCCGCTCCGAATAAGTTGCTGTAAAAAGACACTCATTCTATATGTCGAGATATTCTTTTTCGGAATGACTTCGTGACCCGTCGAGCACCATGATGAGCAACAGAATTTTTTTTTTGAATCATCTTGGAAAATCAAAAGTCGTCCCGCTGTCCGTGAAAAAAAGATGCCGAGAATTAATTATATCCGAGAACTCCGCCGAGGTGCGATAAAGCACCGATGCAATGTCGTGAAAATGCAAAACCACCCGTGTGGCAACGCCATTCGTGCAAAGTCCAGCCTCATCTTACGAGGTAGGAACACCGAAATGATTTTTGTCGATTTTTTTATAGTCGAAGGATCCCAAAAGGAAAATGGTATCGATAACTTCTCGAGTCGCGCCAGTAGAAAGCCTCAAAGGGGAATTTGTCGGTTTAAACAGGGGGGTATGTCGAGTCAGGTTGTTTATACAGGAGTGTCGTTTAAAGCCGACAGGACCAGACCACACCAGCAGCCTAGTCAGAGCCTTGAGCTACCCGGCTCGCAAAAGAAAAATCATCGATGCCATTATTTTTTTGTTCGGTGCCCGCCAAGATGATCAGCTAAAAATGCCGAATGAGTAAAGTAATTTTACACATCAGCTTGCATCGGCGCAGACGACAGGGAGCGCCAACCCCGGCCCTCTATCACGAGAGCGGGATGCGACTCCCTTACCACCTGCGGCCCATACCCTGCTGCATCCTGGCGGGGGAAACCGAAGGCGGCGGGCTAGACATGGTGATGCCCGTGGCAGGGTTGACAATGGGGATGGCGTTGCGGGCGCGGGTAGCGGAAGGCTGGTGGAGCTTCATGCTCTGCTGGTAGGCGGGAGGAATGAAGGCAGGAGAGGAAGAGTTGAGAGAAAATCCGGGAGCGACAGTCTGGGGCTGCTGCGTCGGCGACGACTCCGGAGAGTTGCTTGCCAGCGAAGAGCGTTCAGAAGCGCTGTGGATCGAGTTCATCTGCAATCATCGACCGTAATTAGTCACCGGATCAGGAGACTTTCAGATCCATGTCTCTGAGTCACTTACGTCGCTGTCAGTCAACAGACCAGGGCAGAACTCCATGTCGTCTTCCAGATCGAACGAGCGACCAGCCTCGAACTTGGAACGGAAAGCATTGATGGAAGCGGACTCGGTCAACTCCTTCATGCTGCGAACACCACGGAACTGCTTGTGGGCGTTCTGGGAGACGGAGAGCCTGGGCTGCCTGCGATTCCGGCCGCCATGGTGGTTGTGAGAAGCGCCAGGGACGGCGGGGGTAGGATGCGCGTGCTGGTTGAATTGGTAGTATGAAGACATTATCTATGAATCTGACAGGGCGTGCAGCGGAATCGTAGAGATGTCGTTGTTGGTGGTTGGAGTAGGTGTGCCGTTTTGTTGGTTGGGAGGCGCAGAGTGCTTGTGTGGTGTGTGGCGGAAGTGCGGTAGTCTTATGTGGGTGAGCCGAGCTTTGCGGTATTATTGTAGTATGAAACACAAAACAATGAAACCTGCCGAGTCGACGACGTTGTGCGAGGAAGAAGAGTATATGTTGAGTCGGATGGTGAGATAATAAGTCGTGGTATAAAGCAATGCTTAATTCTGTTTGATTGTTGGAGGATGGAGTAGTTGGTTGTGTGCGTTTGAAAAAAAGGTACGTCTGGATGAGGGGGGAGAAAGATGTTGAAAAGTATCGGTTGGAAGGAATCCGGAGAAAGCGATGGTTTTGTTGGATCGAGCAGGTGGTGGGAAGGGGTGGGAAGAGGTGGAAAGGTGAGCGGGCAGGCGAGCGGAGCGAGGAGGGCATGGAGGGCAAGGAGAGGAAGGCATGGGGGGCGGTGGCCGACCCACTAAGCCCAATGGGAGATGATCAGTGGACAGTGCAATATGAAAGAACACTGTAGTCCCACTACTTGACGCCATATGTGAGTTCGCCACCCCGTTTTAATTGGGTGGTAGATCTTGCGCTAGAGCAGTCCAGGACTAGTGTCGCTTAAGGCGCTGGTGTAAATTTGGGGCGTGGCGCCGGCTGCCGTCAACCCTACCAGTGCGGCGGACAGTATTGGTGGGGCGTGGGCAGGCTCTGGCTGTATTTGGATGAAGGATGGAGCCTTGAACGGTGAATGCGAAGCAGGAAGCAGCGACAACATTGTGTGCAGGTGTGGTGCAAAGGCAGGGAAGTAGGAGAGATCAAGCCGGGAAGAACCACGTACGTACCTCACCGTCCTTCGTACCTACCTTACCCACCATAAACCCAGCAGGTTGAGAAGCGTATCCGTACCGCACATACACACACACACACACAGGCAGTAAGTGCTACTAGACACTGGGTGCCTGGCAGTGGTGTGCCAGCCCAGCATCAGGACCCTCTTCAGGCACTCTCAGGTCGTAACATCGATGCAGGGCAAGCTGAGGCGTGGCATGCAGGTACTGCGTCTGCGAGGTGCAGGCGCACTGTGGGCCTGCTGTTGTTCTTCACAGTGTTGTTGTGAGAAGTATTGTTATGAACTAGCATGAGCCCAAAACCCCCCCAGGTCTTGTCGCCCGCCTGTCGCTTGTCATTGTTTACACACCACACACACATACACGTTTGCGGCCAGCGAGAAATTGGCTGCCCACACCTGTCATTCCAGAACCCCAGTGTGGGCAACCACGATGGGGAATCAAATCAGCACAGAGCGAGGTGGTAATGTGCGGTACGAGACAGCGAGAGGAGCGCGGTAAAATGAGAGACAGGGCGCTGAGGGCGCAGCGCCTCTTTTTTTGGGGGGTGAGAGAGAGAGAAGGATGGAGGGCTCCTCTCCTCTCCTCTGGTACTGCTTGTCTCGCTTCTCTTCCCACCGTCCGGCGTCAAATCCCACCATCGGCCGGTTCTGGTACTGGCCTTGTCGTTGTCGGTGCGCTCCTTTGCTCCCGCGTTGGAACTGCTTCTCCCTGCCACTGTGCTGATTGTTGATGACTGTCTCAGTGTCTTGTTGCCTATTCTTACTATCTCTTCCCCGTCTTTCTCATAATCCATCCCACCCACTCATGCCATTTTTGTGAACCTTCGACAGCCCATCGAGATGTCTCTCCTTTGTGATCAACTGACCATGCGCCTTTTGCTCTCGGCCCCGTGGGTGGTCCGACCAACGGATGTCTTGCTCTCTCGTCCAGTCTTCGCTGTTCTGTGTCGGGGTCTAAATTCTTTCTTCTTTTCCATCCCTCTGGGGGCCACGACGGATACAGAGCGTGAGAGCCCAGCGGGAAAGAGGGAGAGAGCCAGGACCATTAAGGCACCCTGAGCCACACACTCTCCGACCTCGTCCGGAATCCAGGGGAGACGCTAAAGAACCCCGGGAGGGGCTTTGTTATTGTTCCCATGTTGGTCCGTCTGCTCCATGTTCGGCAAACTTGTTCGATGCTTTGGCTTTGGCTTTTCGGACACTTCGTGTGCAGTAAAGTGCAGTAGGACCGCCGCGCACATTCGTTCTCGAACTCGAGATCAGAGTCCAAACTTCCGTCAACGGGGCCAGCATAGGGGGGCATTAACCGGTGTAGTCTGATGTTCGGAAACACGAGAGGCCCGGTCTAGTGTTTCCCATTCGAAAGCTGGTTGGAGTCTCTTCTGGGCCCTCATACTCGGCTGGCTTCAAGTCGTCCGCCCACAGTGTATGCCGATCCAGTTGAAACCCTTCCCGACCCTCTCTCGCCTGGGTAGCCCCGGTCCGTCGAATCTCAACCTTTGGGGACAAGGGGGGAGAAAAAGGCAGGCTGACTGACTGATGATGGGAACAAAACAGTGATTGCCCAGGCGGACGAGCCATACTGTGTGCAGTGAGCTGTGGGCAGATGGCACAGCTGGGACAGGACAGGAGACTGCGGTAGGTGCTCCAACCTACCCTGTAGTGTGTGTATTATGAGGATGCATCTGGAACAGCGTAGCGGTAAAGAGGCAGGTAGCGTAGAATGCCAGCCACGGCCACCACCCGAACGTGCCCATGGACACTGTCCACCCTCGCACCTCGCTCACACTGGGACCCTCATCGGGTACGTACACATATGTGCCCTGTCTGTACCACTGCTGCAGGTGGTTAGAGGCCAGGGGGGTGCTGCATATCGAACAGCGAGGCAGTGGCCCAAGGAGAGGCTGCAAGCCATTGACATCCAGGTACTGGGTGGAGATCGGGTTGCCGCTATGACTGGCTGCTGGACCCTAGTCGCACTTGCCAGAGGGAAGAAGAACAAATCTTGAGAGAGATGACCTGGCCCGTGGATGGCCAATAGCCTGGATTCGGAAACGTGGCGGCTGGCACGCTTCAAGCGACAATGCCCCGGTCCACGACTGGCTGCCGCCTGCGGACCTCATCCCTTAGGCATCAAAACCCTCACAGTGCGCGCTTGCCACCTGCACCCCACCCGACGAGGAAACCGCCGTCGACATTGGACATTGACACACCCGTAATCAGAGAGAGAAATGGGTACGTACCTGATCTTATCAACCTATCGCCTTGTGGGAGCCTTCTGGGATCTAGCCACAAACCTGCCGGTACTAACAGTGGAGCAGCTGTTGAAATGTCACTCTGCTGGTCACACACACTCTCTCTCTCACACGCACACACTCTTTTCTCGTCTGGCCATCTCACTCACTCTTTCTCAACTCACTCATCATTCACGCAGATCTCACCTGAGGTTTGTCGCCCCGCTATCGTCACTCGTACATCCGACTGGTGCCTCCCCCCTCCCTTCCCCCCTCTCTCTCACCCCAGCATCACTCGTCAGTGGCCAACTGATGAACATGCGATGATGGAAGTCCCAGACCTGTTTATCGATCCATGTCTTCCACTCCCCATTCTCGGCATCCATCACGGACGGCCAAGCAACGGTTGAATGCAGCTGCCGATCGATGCGATTACACTGTGATAAGCGTACGCAGTGGGGAGAAACAAAAAGAGACAGAGTTAGCCTCGACATGTGTTGCCTCACACACACACACATCAACTCAATGTTCCATTGTTCAGCAGCTTCCCGGCCCGTGACACTAACGCCCTTCTAGACCTAGAGGAGAGTCCCAATCCAAATACTAGTACACACACAGCCTGGGATTGCTGTGGTACCCGTTCTTTCCATTGCATCGAGCTTAAGCTGCATGAAGGCGGACGGGCCTCCTGGGCGACCACGCCAGCCGCCACCCGGGGCGGACCTGGCACCGCTGTCTCTCTCGCTGTCTCCCACTGTGGCACAGCATATCTCTCTCCCTGTCGCTTCCCCCGTCGATGGGCTGTGAAGCCTTCCTTGCCCCTGTTGTGGAGGCAATCTGCCAAGGTTAATCGGGCAGGGCAGCACGGCTGGGGCATGAAGATGGGAAACCATCTTGAGACAGCTGACGATGCCTTCGTGATCTCTACAGTGGAGCTGAGAGAGGGGTTTGGGGATTCCAGGTGACGAAAGGGGGCGACATTCTCATTTCTCTCCCTATCTGTCGGGTCGTCTTGTCACCCCACGCACGGCGGTCGCCTTTTGCCGCCGTCACAGTCACCGTCTCACCCTGCTGTCTCTGCTTTACCCCCATCCTCCCCTCAATCTATTGTCTACACCTGTTGTTCGGCGTCAGTGTCGGTGTTGGTACACAAATGGGACACGTCCATGCGACGTAACGAGTGTCTGGTTCCGTTCCCCCACCGTTTCTGGGCCATTCGCCAATGGCTCGGTTTCTGGCTTCCGGGACGGCGGGAGGCTGGTGCTTTTTTTTTTTTGGTGGCACAGCCGGTGCGGGTGCTACGGTCCTTGCCAGTTACTGAGAGGCAGACGGTCGGTTTTCCCCAGGGGCCCAAAGGCTCCTGGATTCTGACTCCTCGTGCCTGGGTAGGCGAAGGACCCTTCCAGCAGATAGGTATGGTTGACGGGCTCCATTCAGGGCAGTCCGGGGCTTCCTTTCCCTAATCAGGCAGGATTGACACTTCGTCCACGTCTTCGAAGGAGCGGAGCCGTTCGCCTTTCACAGCCAGCCAATGCCTGCAGCAGGGCAAGACCAACAGGTCCAGCTCTTTCTTCTGGCAGGGTCTGGACGCCAGGAAAAGAAAGTTGGTGGTGTGGGGTTTTTGCACCATTGAGTTCAACCGTCGCTGTCATACAGTTCACAATGTGCTGGAACAGGCACCCAATCCCATTTCGCAGCCCTACACCTAAATGTTCAAGCTTGGCTTGGAAGGAAGAACACACGATGAAAACGTCGAGTAACCTTCTTTTGTTTCCAGCCTCTTGGGGAGGTCCCAGCCTTCTAGCTCCATCAACCGTGCCCTTCGGCCACCCACCACTACTACCATTCAAACTTCCGCTACTTGCAGTACAACGCCCGCGTGAAACTACCAGAGTACCGTGTGCGGGCGGGCGGACACCAACATGCTTGTGTGTGCCTAGGCGGTGGCAGTTGTGCGGGAATCGCTGTCATCGTGGTCTTCAGTGAGGTAAGACGAGACAGGGCAGGCTCACCCCCACGACAAAGATCTCATGGATCAGTGTCTTCTCGTCGTCTGGTCCGGAGAACGGACTCGGAGTATTGTCTACCCATTGACACTGCATCAGAGCCCAGAAGTGGGGAGCGGGATAGTCAGAGAGTTGTGGGTGGGAGACAGCCACATGTGTTGCCGGCGAGCCAACAAGATCACTGGAGCTTTGGGAGATCTACCGTCCACTTCACTGCCACACCGCCATTTTAGCATCAAGGTTGGACCAGACTCGATCAAGACCCGCGAGATTTTGTGCATCGCCAGCTGCGGCGGACGGGGATTTATTTCGCTTGGTGGGTTGTCTCACCACAATCTGACCCCGGGTTCCTAATGTCTATGCTCTGCCGTCTGTCTCCCCGGTGGGGGAAAAGCTTCGGCCTCTGCCGCACCGTTCTCGCCGTTGCCCCCTCCCTTCGAATCGAGTTCAAGACATCAAGCTCCAGCTGTCGTGGAGGAGCCACAGTGTGGTACTAGACTGGCTGACAGACAAAGGGCTTGTTACTAGGCAGCTGGGTGCAGCTGCCGGGGAAGCAGATGCCGAAGAGAGTTTGAGTGCTGGGCGAGGAAGAAGCAAAGAAACAAGGGAATGCGTACGATTCATTCGGCGCCGCCAGCCAGCCGACCAGCCCAGCCCGGCGACGCATCTGGCATGCCGGCAGCAAGCAAGCACTGGTGCATGTGGCAGCCATGCTATGCAGTGCCACACCTCCCAGTCCCCCCCCAGTGTGCCAGTACAGATGGTGGGGCAACCTGCCAACTGCACAGTGCTCGCTTGGCGGTCTGGTTTGATTTGCTTGCGTGCTGGCGGGTGCATGTACTTGTAGTAGTTTGTAAAGAGGTACCAGGTCTGCCATGGCGGCAGCGGCAGAATGTCTGGCTGTCCGACTGGCAGTGGCTGGGTTGGGGTTCTGTCATCAACCCCCTCATCCGCCTCCATCCGATGCATCCATGTCCAGCGGAAGCGCAGTGCAGCGCAGTGCGCCGCTGCAGCAGTTCGGGAGCGGTGTCGCCTAGGTTCGCATCTTTGGCGATGCGTGATGCTATTTCGGAATTCGACAGATTTGCTGCGCTTGCAAGCGTGAGTTTGTTTTGGATTTTCTTTACATCTACCGCGCCGCGCATAGCCTCTCCAGCCGAAAGCAGATCTGGAGGCTTGCATCGTCCGAGTCCCGTACGGGCAGAGTCCTTTTCGTACGAGTGAGAGAGACAGCAGCCTGCAAGGGGTAAAGGGACCTGGACGACGTCACACCTCTCGGAGGGGCACGGGATGCGATGCCTTTGAGCGGCGACGCCGACCAGTCTAGGAAGAAGCCGTTCGTCTTCTAGATTGCGGGTTTTCCCTCCCTCCCTTGTTTACAAACGCATGATCTGTTTTTCTTTTCTTATTGAGGGTTCGGTAATATCGAGTTCATCTAGTAATGTTGGGGTCTTCGTGGTAGACGCAGCCCAGTGTGACTGACTGGGTCTGCTGGTCTGGTTTTGGGAGGGAAATGAAATTGCCCGTCCTCTGCCGAGGTTGGGGACCCCGTACCTCCGTGCGGCGACGGGACCCGACCTACCGCACCGGCGCAACCGCACATTTGACGTTCCATGTCGTAAATTCGTGAATATTCCCGCAACCGCCAGCCTTGTACATCCCAGTACGTAGCCTTACAGAGCATTGCATACGCACCGCTGCGTCTGCGCAGGAGGCCAAGGCAGGCACTTTTAAAACCAAGAGAAACAAAATATGCAAGACAAATTCCTTGAGACGCACCTCCCGCACCTGGGCATCGGCCTAGCCGCCTTCGCGGCCCTAGCAACCTCGTCGTACCTTCTTCTCGGGCCGACGACGACGGTAACACCGTCACCGGGGAAAGATAGACGCAAGACGGTGAAATCCCCGAAATGGACTGTCTTGCCGACCTTGTCGACGTTGGGCCGGGACGAGCTGCCGTACCCACCCGACATACTTCCCGGCGCGAGGGATGTTGCAACGCCGTACGGCAACCTGAGAGTATATGAGTGGGGACCGGATGACGGAGAGAGAGTGCTACTGTTGCACGGTATCGGGACGCCTGGTCTTGCGCTGGAGGGTACGGCGATTGAGTTTGTGAATAGGGGTTGGAGGGTTATGACCTTCGGTGAGTGCTTCTCGATTGGATGAGTGAGTTGTCACTCACTCACTCACCCACCCATACAACTTCAAATGATCTCAACACGACTAACGAAAAACGCAGACTTCTTCGGCAGGGGTTACTCGGACGCACCCGCAGACCTACCATACGATTCCCGCCTCTACGCAACACAAATCCTCCTCGCGCTGGCATCCTCACCCCTCCGAGGCTGGACAGGCAACGACGCATTCCACCTGCTCGGCTACTCCCTAGGCGGCGCCGTCGCGGCATCGTTCGCCTCGTCGCACCCTCACCTCATCCGTTCGCTCACGCTCGTCGCTCCGGGCGGGCTAGTTCGCTCCGCGGCGCACGTAGGCTGGCGCAGCAGGCTCCTGTACAACTCGTCCGTCCTCCCTGAATTCTTTAGACGATGGGTCGTCACTCGACGGCTTACACCGGCTGGCCCGACCAAGACCGGCGACGTTCCTGAGAAAGAGACTGTGGACGACGGCGTGGACGTGGAGTGGGACGACATCCGTCTTGTGGGGGGCGCGAGAATCGGCGATGTCGTGGCGTGGCAGATTTCGAATCACCCTGGTTATGTGAGGAGTTACATGTCCACCATCCGCAATGCGCCGATCTACGATCGGGGCGGGGAGGAGTGGAGCGTATTGTCGGAGGTGTTGGAGGCGAGGAGGGAAGGCAAGGAGCCCGGGCTGCGGAAGGGTCGCGTGCTGTTTGTGCTTGGCGAGAGGGATGAGATTGTTGTTCCTGGGGAGACGGTATGGGATGCGAGGAGGGTGCTGGGGGAGGACGCGGTTGAGGTGTTGGTTTTGAAGGCCGGGCATGAGGTTGGTGTCACGAGGGGGAGGGATATCGTTGGGGGTGTGATTGGCGCTTGGGAGAGGGAGTAGGGTGACTGAGCTGTGTTGGGTGTTTGATTGCCGGGGTGAGGATGTGAAAAGTTGCAGAGTTGGAGATGCTTTAGAAACCTACTAGTAGACCACCTTAGACATAGATTCTGCGGCGTGGTTAAAGCGAGACTCATACATTCGATTGGAATGCGGGCCTAGACAGCGTGGTTGCCCAAGAAAGCCTCGCAATGTGTCGGGTGTCTCGGTTGTGAGATCCGGCTTGTCTCATCCGGCCGGAACGGGTCGCCTGAGAGATCTAGTCGCCTGGGAACTGGGACGAGTACAGAGCCGCATGGGGGGATTAAGTGATGAGTTATGGCGCGGCTCGGTATGCGGGACTGTCCATCTAGCAGATATATCTCACTTTAGATAGTCTCAAATTGGCTAGGTAACTTTCTTGTTGCCTCGTTAGTTCTCACCTGTTGACACTTGTCTCAAGTCGATTTATAGTTCAGAGTGGTGGGTTAGTGCTGCTGGGTGGATGACGGAGGCCAGGCGAAGATATGTTAAGTCTGATGTTTGAAAGATGATGTGAGCAATGAGTCGTATGACACCGCGGTGAATCATCGACGGCGGTACTCAACATTCCATTACTTTCCAGGTATGAAGATGTTTGGGAATATGAGGCTGGTATTCAGAGGTCCCCAAGCGCCGATACTATTGGGTTTTGCGAAATCATAGTACCGTTTCTGATCTCATGCCCGGTTTGATGAGGTGTTGTTTTTACTTTGAACCTGGACGACGCTCAAGTCTACGGCCATCGCAGGAGTAAGCTATATCTGGGACCGAAGGCCACTCTTGTGGGACCACACCATTTCCTTTTAACCCGGAGTTGCACCGTCACCTTCCTTTTGTGCCCGATTAAAGTATGGGCTAGATGTAATTCTATTAGGACCTGTTACTGCCGAGGCGATACAGATTTGCTGTCATAGTATCGATATTGGCAGCATCAAACTTGCATATGGCCCTTATGAGTACTCTGAAACTTCACAAGAGCTTTCAATAAAGCTTTCTGATTATTTTCCATACATGATGAACTTGTTCGAGTTGCAAACAAAACGTTAGGCAAGGGCGCGTGAAGTGTTGGCCATCTTGTTGATGATCAGAGTTGGAGACAGGATACACTTACACTCGAATGCTATAAAGCAGGCAGCAACAACACTGTTAACCAAAACATACTACTGAATAGGATGTCTCGGCATCTGAGCTATCCTCTTATTAACTTTCGACCGGCATTCATATGCGGACATCATGTCCTGTGATGGGTCCAAGAAACGGGCCCTGAGGCTTAGCACAAGTTTAACGCAACCTTAAATTTACCACACCTCACAGCTTAACGGGGCTACGTTGAATTTGTTCACAAACTGTCCAACAGATTCAGAATGTGGCTAACAAGGCACTAGTATTTATCAAAATGTATCGAGCTTCCCGTATATTCACTTGTACGGCCACCAACTCCTGCCCCGGGTGAGTTCGCCCTAGAGTGAGCTGAGCTTAAGAAGAGCCTCTTAAATAAAGATCCTGAAGACCGCAATGGCTATTCTGAGAGATGGCTTAATACTTCAGGAGCTTCCTTATCCAGCAGCTAAAATGCCAAAAATACATGCAACACCGGGCATTCGCCGGTCGTCACCGACCCGACTACTACTCCGGCCCTCACTGGTTTATCGATGGGAGAGCGGACGGGATCCCGAGTTCTCCAGTGGGTATGGTCGCATGTGAGAGTCGTGTTCAAAAGTGTGACCATAATACCTGTAGTGGTGCTGGTAGATGTTCAACCTCCAATAAGCCCCTGAGTAAACAGCTGGGGCTGATGGGTGTGGATGAGGACATGAGCAACCGAGGATGGAGGACACCCTACTTTGTGGCGGTCGTTGTCTACACTATTATTGCGTTGTCGAGAGTTACAAAATTGAGGAGAATGCTTCGTGTAAAGCTAGGGGCTTCGAGTCGTCCTGCGGAACCAGTCCCGCCCGCGCTATGTCAAGCAGGGCGGCCTGTGATTAACATTAACAGAATCCTTCAAAATAGACAGGAAATCACTTAATAAGAGACCGGTCCCTGCTATCTAGTTTTGTGTGAGGGTTTTGTCTGACCATGGGTCATCATTTAACTAGCACAAGTCCAAGGACTTCCAACATGACCCAGATTTTGTCACTCAAAGGAAAACTTTTGGCCGAGAAGATTCACGAAAAAAAGCCGAGCGAATATTTGTCTTTATTGTTCATTTCTCATTGGCTCATGGATATCGTTGTCGCAATTTTAACAGGACTCCTTTCAGCGAGGGATAGAGCGCCCTCTGTTACAACGAGGACATACTTGTTGTTCACAAGCCCGCGACAGCACCCCTGAATCGGAAGCGGCGCTCATCATTGCCCGAGATCAGCAATGCATGACTCTGACACTACTGTGAGCCCGTCCATTTTTGGTTATAGGTGCAGAACAGCCAGCTCTGTTTACGCGGCCAAGCTCAATGATCGGCTCAAGGCTGACGTCCAATGACATATCGCCCAAGGTTTGGCATGGCAGCGTAGTCTTCGGCAATGCATAAATCAAACCTAGTGTTAACCATGCAGCATATCCGGTAGCTTGGTGAAGTTCCCTAGGTTTGGTGCTCCTGATGATTGGGGAAAATCCTCTAGACACTTCTTGGCTGCCGATACAAGACGATGTGATATATCGCCTTTACAGAAATGGGGGAACATCTGCTACGTTTGTCGCCGCCAAAGGCTGTTTAATACTGTTAAATAAATGCCAGCATTGCTGGGGAGTGCTGGGGAGCTGAGCAGGCTGAAGCCTTTTCATTTCACTTGTCGAGCCCTCGGGCCTTGACGAAGCGGTTGATCTGCTCCCGGGTGAGCTTGTCGTTGTACTGCTCATGACATTCATAGAATGAAATAAGCTCCTGTGTACAATCAACCATGGCAGCAATATCCACGTTGCTTTCCGCCAGCCAGGCGCCGTAACGCTGGACCCGGCCGAACCTAGCTTCCGGTTGCTTCTCCTTATCGGCGGGATTCGGTGTGCCTGGGGTTGGAGGCAGTCCTGGGGCTCTACCTTGGGCCTGAGCTAGCGCCGCACTCGCGGCAGCAATGCCGGCCGCCGTCGGCTGCGTTGACCCCGACATACTAGAGGACGGCCTAAGAACCAGCACAAGCAGGATGGCCGTCAACGCAATGGTGTGAGGCGGATGTAACAAGGGCAAGTCCGTCATGTAATGGTCGTTGATGATGGACCAACCCAGCGCAACATCCTCTTGGGTCAGATTCAGCTCCTGCTGGTAATTGGTGAGGGTACGATATGGTTGGTACACAATGAGCTGGGAGCTCATTTCGGATATCATAAAGAACTCGCACTCGCCGAGCTTGGACGTATCGAGACCTAGGAAGTCGGGCCACAGCGAACGAGCCTCGCTGACGATCAACCGGATATGCTGGGGACATTCCTCCATCTTGCAGGCCAGATAAAGAGCGGTCGCTACAACAAGGTAAGGGTTCGTTCGGCGGATCTCGACCTTGGTATAAAAGCGCTTGATGTAGACTTGAGCAGTGGCCATGGCTTGCTGGCGGACGACCATGCGCTTGCCGAGGCGGTTAACCTCTGTATATGCGTAGGTTAGCAGATCAGCATCGGAGGTAGAAACTCAGTAGTACAAACGCTGGTTGAAGTAAATCCCCAGGTGCCGCTGCTGCGGGAGGGGAAACATTTGAACGAGATCGGCATTATCGTCTTCAAGCTTCTGTCGCACTGCGTGGAGGTCTTCCTTAGAGAACAACCAGAAGCGACGCTGGGTCGACTCCCAGTAATTGGCAGCCATGACGACCTAAGAAGGAGTTTCAACGAAGGCCTAGGTCATTGTTCGTGTCGGAGTATCTGCCCAGAGTCGGCCGTGAGTAAAGTGTTGGAGCGGAGGAAGGAGCGCGGCGTGAGGTCGAAACAAGTGGCTAGAGGCTGGTGAGGTAAAGGGTTGTGGCTGGTGCTATCGATCTGTCTGCTATTCAGTCGGATTACCCGCGCCGCCCGATAACGATAAGACGGAACAATACCGGGCAGACAAGGAAAAAGGAATCCACTATTCAGAAAGCTCCAGAGCACTAGAAGCTCGGGAAAGACTGCTAATTGGTGGCTGCTGATTGCCTCGCTTGTCTCGCTTGTGGGCCCCCAGCGTCCCCATGTTGCCGAGCTTTTGACGCTGTGGCTTCGGCGCGAACCACTTGCGGCAGGCGGGTTCTACTTTTTCTTGGTCGACGCACCTCACGATCCATCCTACGTCAGTCCTTGTGACTTGCAGCATGCAAGTGTTGCGACAACACCTTTTCCGTCCCGCCATGTCTTTATGAGACAAAATATTCATACCGAATCCCGCCATAAACGTTAACGAGCCCTGTCGCCCATGAATACCGCGTCGAAACCGAAGCCCCGACTCTACTGCCCTGCATCCTGATGCCGCCGCCGCCATGGGGGTAACAGAATGGGTTACCGAGCTCGAGATGGGCGTGGAGGAGTCACAGAACCAGCGTGATAAGCGTGTGGAGGACCTCTGGAGGCAATTGGACGTTCAGGGTACTGGACACCTGGACTTCAAGGGCTTGCAGAAGGGTCTGAACAGGATCGATCACCGTTAGCATCATTCCTTGTCCGGCGATCCCGCGGTTGGTACTGATGTTGCTCTGCAGCCATGAAGAATGCGGAAGATATGTTGAAGAGAATCATGACCGTCGTCGACACCAACGGCGACGGTAAAATTCAGTACGAAGGTAAGCTATGCGTGGGAGTCAAGCTACAGCAGGAGCTATCGCCTGGGTTCCCCTGTCTTGGGGGTCGAGGAGAGGTGCTAACGACGCCTTGCCGCCAGAGTTCCGCTTCTTCGTTGAGCAAACCGAGAAGCAGCTCATGCTCCTATTTCAGTCAATAGATAAAGACAACGATGGAAGACTTGACAAGACTGAGCTGCAGGAGGCCTTCAGACGGGCTGGGCTCGTTGTGCCCATGCGCAAACTCAGCGCCTTCTTTGGCGATATCGACATGAACAACGACGGCTACATTAGTTTCGAGGAATGGAGGTAAGCGTGTTTCTTTTTCTTCCACAGCATTACTCTCTTTCGTCGAAGACTACAGCTCGAAATGCTCGAGTTTTGACCCCATGTGACGGCGGGGCCTCAGGGGCTGTGATGCTCTTGGGATGGCTCCGTATAGTGTGGGGGCCTACATCTTGAAATGGTTTGGCGATACCAAGCCTCTTCCTAACTGTACTTGGGATGCTATAGTTGAATCATCACTGACAGTCATCGCTAATAGGGACTTCCTTCTGTTTATGCCGCATAATGGCCATGCGCCCCTCAAAGCTGTGCTAGATTTTTACTCTTCCATAGTCACTCTTTCAGCGGAGGGTGATTCGATGGTCTCGGAGGAGACACTTGAAGGTTTAGGTACGACCGGCTTCCTTCTGCAAACTCTCTTTGGATCTATTTTGAGGATCGCATCCCCTCCGGATCGTGAGACTGGCCCTGCCGAGACCTTCACCGGCGAAGCCGACCAAACGGCGCCTTTTCGGGAAGAAGGATCCCTTCCTGGTATTGCACAGCTTCCTACCTCATCAAAACCAGCACAACAGACTTCACCAAGCAGTTTTACAGATCCCACACAAACACCTCCAGTGAGGCCGTCATTGCCAGAATCAAAACACCCGAAAATCAACGGCCCCATGGCCAATATGGAGGCAGCAACGGTACTTCAAGCTGGCGTGACGGCCGCAGACGAGCAGCACACAGGCATTGCGACCATCCGACACATTCCCGGCGTCGGCACCTCCCAAGCGAAACCGGTCACAGGCTCCGAGCAAGGCTCCAGCTCAGATGCAACTGCTGAACCCAAGACCAAGAGACTGACTGACTTCGCTCCTGATCCAGGTTATTTTATCGCGGGTGCCGTCGCCGGAGGACTGTCGCGAACTGCCACCGCTCCTCTCGATCGTCTCAAGGTGTACCTACTTGTGAACACACGCGCCACTACCGAGACTGCTGCTACTGCCTTGAAACAAGGGCGCCCGATCGACGCCCTTCGCAACGCTTTCCGGCCTTTTGGGGATGGCGTCAAGTATCTCTGGAAGGCTGGGGGTATACGGAGTCTTTTTGCAGGTGTGTTTTATCCATATTTCAACCTTTGAGTTCCTTGTGACGTATCAGTCTTGTGATCAAAGGGATGTTGTGAATATTGCTTTGAGCATTTGCTGACCAAGTCAAGGCAATGGACTCAATGTTATCAAAATCATGCCCGAGAGCGCAATTAAATTCGGATCTTATGAGGCCGCAAAGCGAACTCTCGCTAGATTCGAGGGCCACAACGACCCCAAACAAATCAACGGATACTCGAAGTTTGTCTCGGGTGGCGTTGCTGGCATGGTTGCCCAGTAAGTCTTGCTGTGCTTCAATATTCCGAGCCTCCATAATTGCCTTAACCCCCTTCGCTCTGTTATGGTTCAAAAGGCCGTTGCTTACTTTGCGTCGCCATCTGGTTTGGAGACAGTCTCTAACACTGTAGCTAACGCCATTACAGATTCTGTGTGTACCCACTCGATACATTGAAGTTTCGTCTCCAAACGTCAACCGTTGAAGGTGGCCTCACTGGAAATGCCCTTGTTCTTGATACTGCCAAGAAGATGTGGCAGGCCGGTGGACTGCGTAGTGCCTACCGTGGTGTCACCATGGGCCTCATGGGCATGTTCCCCTATAGCGCCATCGATATGGGCACTTTCGAGCTACTCAAAACCTCATACAAGAGGTACATGTCAAAATACAAAGGCATACACGAGGAAGACGTCAAGCCAGGCAACATCATGACTGGAATCATCGGAGCCAGTAGTGGTGCCTTTGGTGCATCGGTAGTGTACCCGCTCAATGTCCTCCGCACCCGCCTACAGACGCAAGGTACGGCTATGCACCCAGCCACATATACCGGCATATGGGATGTCGCGCACAAGACACTCAAGAACGAGGGTGTGCGGGGCATGTACAAGGGCCTCACCCCTAATCTTCTCAAGGTTGCTCCAGCACTAAGCATCACTTGGGTTGTGTATGAAAATTCAAAGAAGCTCCTTGGCTTGGAGTGAGGAAGAAAGAGAGGATTGGAAACAAGGGGTTGGTTTATTGCAAAGGTTTCGATTGTCTTGCGTGGGTCAGAAAGGCCCGGAAATCGAGATCCCAGATGTGTTGAAGAAAAACTAGGGACGGCGTAGGAGGGATCGCCTGCCACCGCCAAGAGAGCGGCTCATCATCATACATTGTTTTAGGAACATGGCGTGTGCCATGGCGTTTGGAAGACCTGGGAGGAGAGATACCAGAAGAACTTTTATTGCTCCAGCAGACGAGGGAGCCGGGCTGGCGGTAGCGATAGTGCCGTAGTCGGTAATCCCAGGAATTTGCTCTCAATGCGGACGAATGCTGTCGTGCTACTGGTCGCTAGCGACATGGTTGCAATGTGCTTCGTGAGGACTATATAAATTGCGAGACTATCATGTTCACCATGTCTCTTTATGTAATGCCTGTCACCGCCGGCTGCTGTATGGACACCTCGGCTGGGCTCCCCTTCTTCAAAACTTTCAGATCTTCAGATGGCAGGATGGGGTGATGTGGCCAGGGCACACAAACAGGGACGTCGTCTGCCCTACGAGGCGGCCCAGAGGTGCAAACAAACTCTAGAGCAAAGTTATTTAGCTCGACAGAGAGCTTACGTGCGATCGTCGTCACCCCGCGTGCATGTCTCCAACCAAGAGGAAGCTTGAATGATGACGGACCCCATCGGCGTGCAGAGCGACGTGCGTGATTCGTAACCCTCAAGACCCCGGTCCGGAGTGACAACCGAAGCTGGTGGAGTTGCTGGGAACTTTTGTGAGCGCAATATCGGCCATATGAGGTCCACTGAAGCTTGTCTGCGTCTTTACTGCGAAAGTTAATGGTTAATCGGCATTTCATGATAAGAGGGGAAAAAAAAAAGAGAGTTAGCAAAAAAAAAAAAAAAAAAAATTGTACAAGGATGGTGACGGTAGGCTCTGGCGGTAGACATCCCATCCTGGTCGGGAGTGAACTCATCCGCAGCGCTGAGGGACAGAGAGAGATAGGGAGAGAAAAGTATCTGTATACAACATTGGTTGTAGTGTAGGGATAGAGAACCCTTCAACCTTGCGCAGTAATTCTACTAGCGCTCTAGGTACTAGTAGCTGTTGGTCCTGTGCTCCACACCACCGTCCCCATCCAATTGACTTTGGTGATGGTGCTGCATCGTTCGTACCTTCCAGCTTCCTGTTTCGTTTGGCGCACAAGCGTGTGTGTCATACAACCTGGAAAAGTCAGGAAACAGGCACAGGCTCACTGTAGCTTATCACACGCGATATGACCAGGCCCTGGGAACCTTGGTAGAGCCTGATGTACACACTACCGCTCTCTGCCGCTGAATCAGTACTTGGCCTCATATCTCAATCTCTCTCACTCTCGTTCTGTCTGATCTGCAGGCTTACGAGTCGCCCCTCTTTTGCGATGTCGAATCCTCTGACCGTATCGGGTACAGTCGCCGCGGAGCGTCTTACTTTTGTACTTTTCACTAGTATTGCGTCTTCGGTGACTTGAGTGATTGACCGGGGTTTCATTCCTTACTCCAAAATTCGTAATTCCACAAGTGGTTGGGGAGACCGATGTTCAAGCCGAAAGACTCAATTCAATCTCGCGCCCTTTTCTCCTTCATCCAACCAACCCCGACTCTAATCTTTCTCCTTCCCGCATCAACCGAGTGAACGCGCAACTATCTGTCGTCGCCCATTGAATCCTCCTTCCTATTATCCTCTACCGTGTCTGTGTCTTACGACGAGTGGAATATTCTCTAGCTGCGCTTCGCACATGCTATCGTAAGCTAAACTTCCGGCCTGCATTCCGGGGAAGCGAGGCCCGTCACCGAAACTGTTTGACACCGTTTCTTGGCATCCGGTTTACCCTTCCTCGACACTGCACGTATCAGCCAAGCCCGTAACGATTCATTGTCTTCGCGCTGTCAAAGCTGTCTACCGTCTGAGTGTCTGCTCAAGGGGCAAAAGCTGTAACAATAGCTGCACAGCATTAAGAAACTGAGAGTGGAATTTTCAAAACGGTACCACCAGTGGACTGAAATAGAAACCAACCGCCGTCATGCCGGCCCCGTATTCCGATAACTTGTATTCCGTCGACGACTCCGACTTTGAGGCCCCGGACAACGACAACCTCGACGCCCACCTCTCGCCTACTGATGGGTACTTTCAGAACTCTTCGTCGTCAGCTGGTAATCTCTACCCCCCGCAACAGGAGCAAGACGACGACCTTGAAGACAGGGACAACGTCACCTCCACGACGCTGCCCACGTCCGCTGGCGTCCCGCATGTACCAAACGTCCTCGTCCAGGATCCGTCTCTACAGAAGGGCGCCCCATCGTCCAAGGACCGCGAAGCCAGGGAAGAGACAAGGTTGAACACATCTGCCGCCCCTCCCCAAAGTACCTCGTCGGTTGACGACTACTACGACGGGGCCTCGACCATCGCCGACAGTGAGGCGACGCCATCACATACGACATACACTTCTCACCCCCAGAGCTCGTCGTCTTATACGCCCTACTTGCCATCCGTCGATACTCCCCTGCGCACACCTCAAACTCACCCAAGAAGGAGTTTGTATTCTCGCTCGTCTTCCCTGTTCCGTATCCCCAGAGAAGCACCGCCCGCTTACACGCCGTCGCCCACGTCCCCATTATCGGCATCGTCACCAACACAGTTTAGGAATTATCAGACATTCCCTTCGACGATGGGGGCCCCAGAGGAAGAGCGGCGCCTGCTGGGCCGCGACCCTGAGAGCATGGGCGATGAGCCCTACGACGAGGACCCTAGGCCTTTGCCATGGAAGGACAGAATCCTTAAGAAATATTCTTGGGCGTCGAGACGTACATTGAAGATGGTCCTCTTTGCTCTGTTAATGTTTTCAATCTTCGTTGGCTTCTTGACCATGCTAAGCGGAACTGTCAACCAGACGGTATGTGGCCTACCCTTCATATCGTCTACCTTATGTCTAACATGCGCAGCCCAACAAACCTCCCTCCAAAGACCCCGCCAATAACTTTGACCCTGTTACTGGTCTTCCCATCAAGGACGGCCCAGAAGCTCCTTCCGACCCCTCCACGCCCACTAACCCCTCAAGGCCTGCTCAACCTGGCACACCCGACTCACCTGATCAGCCCGCCCGGCCCCTGCCATGGGAACCTCAGAACATTTGTGCCCCGAATGAGCACCGCTTCGGGACTCGCGTCTTCGACCTGTCTTTCAAGCCCGACAAGACCATTAGTGTGCTCCAAACAGTCGAGTCTGACACGCCTTCTCGCGGTTACCAACCTCACATCACGGGTGACGTGGTTGTTCGCCGTCAACTCACCGACTCACCAGGTGCCTCTATCGAACTCGAAGTGGTGGCCAATGACGAACGCCTCAACGTCGAAGTCGAGTGGGATTCGGACCTGCAGCAGCTCAAGTTCAAGACCCCTCAGAAGCTCGAGTGGGATCAGCGACTGAGGCCCTGCATGACCATCCGCGCTACCGTCTGGGTTCCCGAAAATGCCGAGATCAAAGTCCTCAAGCTTGCGGCCCTGCATCTTGGCGTGAATTTGATCGATGACCTTTCTATTTCTATTCAAGATAACTTGGAGATCCGCACCTTTAGTGGCGACGTTCGCTCTCCAGTGAACCCACCCTCATCGTACCGTTTGGATTCGCGCAACATCGTGGTGCAGACCATTTCAGGTGACATCAGCGGCAGTTGGCCCTTGTACGACTCGCTCAAGCTCGGATCCGACTCTGGTGACATTGCCGCCAACGTCGACCCGCAGGATGTTCTCGAATCCCGGCCCCTGCCTGCGGTACTCGAGGTTACCTCTATCTCTGGCGACGTTGTCGTCAAGGAGCCCCTGGACGATGCCAAGAAGAGCAGCAAACCCGACACCATCATTCCGGCGCGTGATTACATCACCAACATCGACACAAAGTCTGGCCTGATTCGCGCCTGGGTTACGTTCAGCACTGTGATCACCATAACGAGCATCAGTGGCGATATTGGCGCGACCATCCTCCCGGTCTACAACGTGAGCCTGCTCCAGAACATCCCCGAACCCGAACTCCACACCAAGACGAAGAGCGGCAACATCCTCGTTACAGTCCTCGAGCCAATATGGGTTGAGATTGGCAAGACACTCTCCAGGGACGACAAAGCGCCCAAGGTGAACCCCAACGAACCAGTCGACATCCCTACCAACCCCCTACCAGTACCAAACATCCCCGGCAAGATTCCCCGCATCCCCAACATCCCCAACGTCCCGTCCTTCCCCATCGGCTCCCGTGACCCATTCAGGAACCTGCCGGGCTCCCGCCGCCGCTGGAGCGACCTCATTCCGCATAAGGATGCCGTCGCCTCCGAATGGAAGACCAAGCGCCAGGTATCGGCCAACGACCAGCCGCCCCTGCGCCACCTCAAGTCGTCGCACAACACCATCAGCGGCAACATGAAGATCTGGTACCCGGCCTCTTGGGAGGGTACAATCAACGCCGAGGCCATCAGCGGCAACATTGACATTGGCGGCAAGGGCGTCAAGATCGAAAGCAGGACCAAGTGGCCCAAGGCCGTCCGCGCCGTCAAGGGCCAGCGCTGGGCTTGCGAAGCCACGCTCAGCAGCGTTTCGGGCAACGAGCGGTTGACTGTTGGTGAGGACGCCTAAGCCTTGACCACATATACTCGAAAAAAAAAGGTCATCCATATATGCGGGAAATATATGGATGAGAGAGAGAGAGAGAACACGCGCCGAGAGCGGATCGCACAGTGAGAGAGAGGAAGACGTGCAAGAATGGAGACGGATATACCTGTCGTTACGAGACTCTGAAACTTGAGGGGATTTTACGGCGTTATGAAGGTACTACCAGCACCGGCGCGATCACCTGCTGGTTTTTGTTTTATTTTATTTTGTTTATTTTGTTGTTTTTCTTTCTTCTTCCCCCTTTCCAAATGTGAAATACCGACGAGGCAAAGCGGCCTTGACTCCTTTTAACTTAGTCCATAAATATATATCTATATATACAAATACTCAAAAATACTTTAAAACACTTGATCATCCACGTACCGATACATGTTCCCTCGTCATGTATATAAGCCGGCTTAATTTGTACAATTGGGGGGAGGGGGGGTATCTTTTTTTTTCCCCCATTTGGGGGTTGGGGAGGCAGGGGGGGGGGGGACATGTAGATATTGACATTGTCAAAGACTCGCTTCAACTCCATTCGAACCTTTTCCAACGCCTATTATGCATGGGAATAGAACCGTTGAACATGACTTCGTGACGATGAGGATTCAGATCCAACAAGTCCCAGTCCACTTTCCTGTAACGCGCCTCACAGAGGACCCACCTCTCGAGACCAGGAAGCTGGATACCGAGCGTGGGGAGCGCGAGCATCCGTAGTATCTCCTGCCCCGTCTCCTCGTCGCGGTTGACGGCGTACAGCGCGGGGAGCGTATACCGCACTTTTCCCGGCGCGAAGCGTTTGAGGATGCCCTCGAAACGGATCCTGGCGTCGTCCGCGGGCACTTCCTTGTTGCTGCTGTTGCTGCCACTGCTGCTGCCGCCACCGAGACCCTCACGGAACGCCTTCGCGTGCTGCGGGGAGAACGGCGCTATGCGGAAGACGGACCTCGCGCGCCCGCGCAGACGGATCCAGAAACGGCCGTCCCAGAGCTGGAACCGCTTCCACGAGTACCAGTTCCGTGACGACGGTTCGGGAAAGTTGCGAAGGGGTTCGTGCTGGAGACGATGTAGCCATTCCATACTGCTGATTTGCTTCGTGGGATCGTCGGTGAGACTCTGCCCGTCTTTCAATTCCGTGTCTGGACGAGCCGGGGGGAATTGGGGGTGGCGGCGTTGGAATCCGCTTGCGTTTGTATTGAAGGTCGTCTCTGGAACGGGGTGGATTGAGGGGTATGGCTCGCGGACGAGGTACCATTTGTTAGGGTCAGATAGGGGTAGGAAGAGGACGGAGGCCTGGTTGAATGGTTTCCGCGGGACGACGGGAGGGTCGGACGGGTCGGAAAGGGAGGGGAACAGGCGGGCCACGACGGTTTGGAGGGAGGAGAGCTGGGCGTGGTGTTTTTCGGGGGATACGAAGGAGAGTAGCTTCCGGACCACAATGGCGGCGATGGTACGTTTCTGTGCCAGCCGCAGCTCCCTCCTCTTCTTCCCCGACCTGTGCCTCGTTTTGCCATGGGTAGTCGCCATGGAGGGCAGCGTGACAATGAGGGTGCCGACGTTGGGCTCGAATTCGGCCTTGACGCCGCGTCGGATCCAGCGTTCCGCTTCCCACTCCTCCGCCTTCACCCTGGCGTCGCAGCGCGCCGACATGCGCAGCACGCTCTCCTTCCTCAGCGCCTCGGGCAGCTGGTGGTTGCGCACCATGTGTCGCACCGCATTCCGCATCGTCAGCGTACGGTCCGCGTTTGTCCTGTCCTCGAACCATGGCACATTATTCTTTTCGCATGTCGCGATCAACCGGTCTTTGCTGAACTCCAACAACGGACGGTAAATCATGACACCCGCGTCCTCCGTCACTATCCTCTGAACGCTCCTAGCTGCCGCTGCCGCCGCCGCCAACTTGGCCTTCGCGGTAGCCGATGCGGTCGCGGCGAATAGCGAGTCGACCTCGTCGTCCACATACGGGCCTTCATGCCATCCCATCTGCAAGCCCGCCCTCAGCTCCGCCGAGTACAATTCCCAGTCCATGTCGGCGGACAGCTCTCGTCGGACGTACTTCCAGTCGCGTTTGGGCGGGCGGAAAGAGACCATGGGCATCCGGAGCGCCTGGTCGTCCACATGGCCGGACTCGTACACGCCGTGCATGTCGTAACATTCAGGGATGCTGCCATGGGGCATCATGCCCCGCAGCCCACGGCTGCCGTGACCTGCGAGGAGGCGCATGAGGACCGTTTCGTACTGGTCATCTTGGTGGTGGGCCAGGAAGATGCTCTCGACGTTCAAGTTGCGAGAGATGAGGCCCAGACGCCTGTACCTCGCTCGTCGTGCGATGCTTTCCAGGTTGGGGCTCAACGCAGGATCCCCTTCGATGCCCTCCTTCTTCCAATTGATCTTGTCGACGATCGGGACTATATATTTGAACTTCCGCAGCTCTTTCGACACGGCAAACGCCTCCTCTGCGCTTTCCTGTCGCAGACCATGGTCGATCACGTACGCTGTGATTCTGGCTAACGGGTTGTCGGCAATCTTCATGAGGGGGTTGATCTCGCGGAGCTGGTTGAAGAGAAAGGCGAGGGCCATGGAGTCGACGCCGCCCGACACGGCGAGAGCGATTCGCCGGGGCTGCGAGACACGGGCATGAGGGAAGCGAGGAGGGGTTGTGGCGCGGACGGCGTTGAAGAACTCGAGAAAGGTTATCGGCTTCGGCACCGGGTGCAGGAATTGCGCCTGGGGGGTGAGGGGCGGCATTCCATTGCTTGTTGTATCTGGCTGGGTTCGGTCGACGAAGCCAGGAGATGTGTACTATGTAAGTGTGTGAGTGGTTGAGTGGTCGTGGGGAAAAGCAATCGGCGACGTTAAGATGTGGTGAATCAATTGGCGAATCAACTGTATCTGCACGATGGAGCTAGAGGAGAAGCTTCTGTTTTTCTGGGGGGTGACAGGAGCTGGGGGGGGGGGGAGGGCCGCCAGGGGGGAAGCTCGGGCCCTCCGGAGGAGAAGTATTTTCCAGGTACAGGTAGTAAGTAGTGTGTCTACTGCTCGGGTGCTGCTCCGAGCTCACTATAACCCCTGCCCGCCAATATTTTTTTTTCCCCTTACGTACAGAAGGACCAGACCGATCGAGCTCCGATACCACGGATATCTGCCGGGCTGTGCTAGAGATATATACATACATCATCTCTGCAAACCCACATCAGCTACCACCACCACCACGATATGCTCCCGCTGCGATCGTGACGCAAAACAAAAGGGGCCTCGAGCCTTTCTTCCAATTGAACTACCTCCAACCTGAATTTCTCACCCAACCGAGACCTCAATCTCTAGTACTCGAGCACGCGACACCCCTCCCATACTAGGGAATCTGAGGAAAAAAAAAAAAAAGAGAGAGAGAGAGAGAGACGAACGACGATAAAAGACGAATCAAAATGTCCTCCGCAAGCCCCCCCTTCACAACAGCCCTCCTCGCCGGCGCCCTGGCAGGCACGACAGTAGACCTCTCCCTCTTCCCCCTCGACACCCTCAAAACCCGTCTCCAGTCCTCCGCGGGCTTCTTCGCGTCGGGCGGTTTCACAGGTATATACCGCGGCATCGGCTCGGCGGTGGTCGGCTCGGCGCCGGGCGCAGCCTTCTTCTTCTGCACCTACGAGGCATCCAAGTCCGTCATCGCGCAGAGACTGGCTTCCGGGGCCGACGGAAAGAAGAGGGCGTGGGCGGATCCGCTGAGCCACATGCTCGCGGCGTCGCTGGGCGAGATCGCCGCCTGCGCGATCCGCGTGCCGACCGAGGTCGTCAAGCAGCGCGCGCAGGCGGGCCAGCACGGCGGCTCCTCTGCGGCCGCGCTGCGCTCCATCCTGGGACAGTACTCCGCCGTCGGGCTGTCGGGCGTGTGGAGGGAGCTGTACCGCGGCTGGGGCATCACCGTGCTCCGCGAGGTGCCCTTTACAATCATCCAGTTCCCGCTGTGGGAGCGCCTCAAGAGGTGGGGCAGGGAGCGCAAACAGAACAAGAACTGGAAGCTGGATGCGCCCCAGACCGAGTATGAGGTCTCTGCTGTCGAGAGCGCGTTGTACGGAAGCGTGGCCGGTGCGGCTGCTGCCGGCATCACGACGCCGCTGGACGTCTTGAAGACGAGGGTTATGCTGAGCAAAGAGAAGGCCAAGGTGGGCGATGTCCTGAGGGGTATCTACAGGGAACATGGCATCCGGCCCTTCTTTGCGGGAGTAGGCCCGAGAGTCATGTGGATCAGTATCGGAGGTGCCATTTTCTTGGGCAGTTACCAGTTTGCGGCGAATACCCTTACTGGAGCAGCCCTATGATGCAATCTCATGAGCACACGTCATCTTACATCAGAAAGGACCTAGGGATACGCTGTGATGATGGCACGGCGCGATGCGAGGAGGGGCGGATCAGAAGGAAAGAATATGCATTAGAGGCTATACAACATGCCTCCCGCTCTGTATAACACGATGCAAGCACCTGGCCCGGAAGGGCCGCGCTTGACAACTTTTCCGCTATGTACATTACTAGAAACGCCATAATACCCGTGCAGATAGAAGCTATAGAGACGTCGAGGTCTGCTCGCGACCTTGATGAACGATTAAGCCTCCCAGCCTGTCCGCTTCCTGCCGGCTGTTCAAGCCTGCGCCGTAGCGGCTGGAGGCGTGTTGGTGCCTTGTGAGGGAGTCGGCTCGGGCTCAGGGGCCGTGACTTGAGACGGCATCGGGTTGGGGATCTCTTTCCGTCCGTTGGCCTTGTAGTAGAGCTGAACGTCGTTACCGCCCTTCCAGATGTGGGCTCGTAGTGTCGCCAGGGTCATGGTGATGGGTAGCAACTGTCAAACGTTAGCAATGCGTGTCAGGGGGGGAGGGTCAGTGTAAAGTGAGCTGCTTACCTGGTCGTTGCAGTACAGCTCCAGGTATTCGTGCGGCAAAAGTGCATCTGGCTCTGGGTTTTCAACAGGCACCTCGATGCGCTCCGCAACATAGGCTAGAATCTTCTTGACACGGAGCATCCTATTGGCGTTCAGCCGATTGTTGCCGTCTGTCGTCGCGATGTCCGGCAAGCTGTTCTGCCACGGCTGCAGCACAAAGGAGACCTTGACAGGTTCCTTCTGGGGAATCTGGTTTAGAAGCAGGACCTCGCCCAGCCACATTGGGCCGCGCTGTTCAATAATGTCGGCGCCCTGGCTCACGGTGTCCACTGTCCCTTGGTAGATGTTGGCGCTACCTCCCGTCGTCTCCTCCTGTAGAACAACCCTAGTTCCGGAGGGCAACTTGAGGACAGGCGTATCGTTGGCCAGGCTTGGCGTGATCTTGGTCTCGATGATCTTCTCAGGGTTTTCGGTCAACGACTTGTCATAATCATTGCGAATCTTCTGAATCGCGCCCAAGAAACTGTCGTCAACCTCCTTCTCATGCGTCGATGATGCCTCGGACTCTTCCGCCTTCTCGTCGACAACAGCAGGCTTCTCCGGTGCGGTTGTTGAGGCAGACCGCCCAATCTTTTTACTGCCGAACGACATGCCCATGGGCATGCGGAATTTCTTGCCAAATGGCGTGCTCGGAGACTTTCCATTCGTGGGGTCCTTCTCCTTTTCCTTGTCCTTGTCCTTGGCGGTGTCTGCGTTGGACTTGGAATCGACTGCTGCTGGTGGTTGCTCAGTTGCCGGCGTTGCAGGCGCTGCGGTTGGCTTCGACGCGCCCTCGATGGGCCCAATAGCGCTGGTGAAGTAGTCTTCCTTCTCGGTCGACGGACGGCTGAACTGAGATGACTTGTTATCGAGGGGACTGGCCGGGGTTGCGCCGCCCTCCGGCACATCCTGAAGCTTGCCACCAGGACCTGGTGTTGCAAGGCCAATAGCCATACCGGGGGTCATGGGGTACTGCGAACCGTTGGCTCGAGGAGTGCCTGAGGTTTCATCCCAGCCAGGCGTACCGGCCGGGATAGATATTGATGCCGGCGGGTTTGCACGACTTGCTGCCACCCTCCGCTCTACTGCCTCGTTGAGAGTCTGGCGGTAGGCCTCATCGCGCTTGATCTCCTCGTCGATCAAGCCGGCGAACAAATATCGGAGCACCCATTTTCCGAGATTGACTGCGACCTGTCAGCACATGCTTCCTGCTTTTCGTTGCTATTGACTCACTTCTTTGATCTTCCCGGAAGTCGATAGGTTCTTCCAACACCAGTTCATCAGCATACATCTCGGCATCGAAGCAGTTGAATGGCTCCAGCACCACTGTGAGACTACCAGAGCTGATGTCAATGGAGCACCACGGAGCAACCGCCTCAGTGGTATTGATCTCCGGCTCAACATCCTCAAGATGCCTCTTGCCAAAGCTCTTGATCGGCTCGCACTGCTAAAGTCAGCTTTTGCTATGACAGTCAACCCAACCGACGTACCTTGATGAGATCCCACAGGAGAACATCGCCGGCCGTATCTAGCGTCAAGACTCTCCTCCTATCGTTCAAGAGCTTATGCTTCACCAGACCAAACTGACCCTCAATCGTTTCCTCCGGGTTTTGATGGATGGGCTCAATTCCCTGAGGCACGTGAGCTCCAACAGCAGGTGGAGACTCGGGGGCGGCGTTGGTCTGAATCGGGAAAGCTGCAGTGTTGGATATTCTCAAGATTGACCTGGCGGATATCTCCTTCTTTGGTGCGTTGGCAGGTGGGGGGTTCGAAGACTGCCTGGGTCTTGAAGCTGTGGATGCCGCCCGTTGCCGTCTGAAAGCCTCGGGAAGCTGCAGATCCGGTCCGGTATTCACGTTAGACCACCTGTTGATGGACGAAGTGTTTGTCGCCGTCCAGATGTAGTCGCCTGCTGCCACGACCTTGCTAATAGAGTGTGACTCGTGTGCAACTGCAACAGACAGCCCCTCGTCCAGGTCCTCGAGGCTTCCCCGCACATCCGTCTTGACAACAAAACCGGACCTATCACTGCTGTAGAAGGTGCCAAGCTCAGGGTCGTCCGAGAACAACGACCAGACGCTGTCCTCATGCATAGTGAAGGTGTACATACAGCGTCCAGCGGTGACACTCCAAAGCTTGACGGTGTGATCGGAACTGGCAGTCAAGACCTTGTCGCCAGCCTCGTTGAGAAGAACGCCGCGCACGTTGTCCGTATGGCCGACGAACTTGGTGACCCTCTTACCAGAGCGGGGATCCCACAAGCGCACGACAGATTCAGGGCCACCGTTGGCCATGATGTTGTGGCCGACACTCAGGGCGTAAATAGAGCCCTTCTCGGCAACTTCATCTCCCTTGGTATCAACCTCGAGCGTTTTCCCACCGCCGTTAAGGTCCCACAAGTATATCTTGCGATCGAAGCCGCCTGAAGCGACCCAGTTGACGGAGCCACCCGGGGGCGTGGCAACACACTTGACGTAGTCTGCATGCTCACCAATCTTGGCTGCGATCTCGTTCGCCTCGGAATGCGGGCGCCAGACTTTGACTGTCAGATCGTTGGAGGCGGTGACGACGGCGGTGTTGTTGTTCGCGAGGACGATGTCGTTGATCCAGGCCATGTGCGCCTGTGTCTGGGAGCGGAAGGTGGTCTTGGGCTTCTTCTCGGGGGCGGGCGCGCCGCCGGTGAGGTTGAGGTTGAGATCCCATGCACAGATAAAGCCATCACGGGCACCGGAGTATCTGTTATGGCAAGGTAGATCGTTAGCGACTGTCGGGGAGAAAATGCGCTTCGATTGGGGAGTTGGGTTCTGCGATCTTACAGGATGGCGTTGTCCTTGTCGACGGCGAGACCATTTACGCCGAGTCTGTGACCACCGCCTTGGGAACCGGCCGGGAGCTCGAGGACTGCGACGGCAATATGATTAGCATGATCAGCATTTTGACCGCACTGCAGGGACCAGAGCAGAGTCTTGCGATTGCGAGGCTCGATGCGATGCGCTCGACCGTGTGGACGTGCGGGGTTGCGTCATGGGCCTCAGCCCAGATGGGACGCAAACGCAGAGGCACACGACCAGCGACTACGAGCAGCACAAGCACTGATGATGTGCAGATAGACAGACGTACCATAGCTGATCCTCTGGCGCGCCTTTTTAGCCATTTGGAGCGATAGCGCGGGATTCGATTACTGATTACGCATACAAGAACAGAACAATGCAACTGGACAAGGACGATGCCATACGGGTGGGGGGGAATACAGGACAAGAAGACAGGCGATTGTATGTGTATGAGGGTGTTTGGGGGTTGGAGGATTGTTGGTGATGTTGCGAAGTTGGCGCTGCGGCGGTTAAGGGTATGATGTATGGGTGGATGAACAGACGGGGCAGTGAGATGGGGGTGGGCAAGGCTAACGGGTGTCGGTGTCTGCCATGTTGGTGTTGGTGCATGTCGAATATTGGGAAAGGATCCATTGCTACGACGTGAGGTCGGGGTAGGTGCAACAGGGCGTGGAGCAAGTGGGTTTGGGCCAGGTGGGCAGGTGGACAGGGGGACTGAATAGGCAAGGAATCATCCTAGGTACTGAGGACCACAAACATCGGCAGGAGAGATACTTCTCCGAGGCAATTGAGTTCGCAATCCCTCCACCCCTTCCCCGGAATTTTAATACAGCTACTACGTGGTAAGCATGAGTTAACAATTATTGGACCCTTTAAATCACATATGACTGCTGTTTCCTCTGGGCATGAAACTTGGACGGGATGAACAGATCAAATCAGCAGCCCCCCCGGACCCAAAAGCTTGCATCCTCTTTCATGCAAGTCAGGTCAGGTTGTTGGCAGACCAGACCAGACTACCTATATCCGAATGTATACTACACCACATCAACCAACCGAACGGATGATTTTTGGGGGTGTCACCCACCAATGGATCGAACTTTTAGCGCCTCAACTGTCAGCTGCAGCAGACCCTCCTTTGTCACCCCCTCTGAAGAAGATGCTTGGCGACTAAAGACATGGCGCTGGGAACTAAGGTATGACGCCTAGCTGACGAACCACTGCACGGGTCTGGAGACCAGATTCCGGCCTTTTCCAGAATAACGGACGCATTTTAGTCTGCAAAACCCTATTAGTCGGTAGCAGCCCCAGGAACTTCTGGAAGGTCGAAATGACAGTGGCTGGGAAGGCCACCAATAATGCATTGGAGAGACAGACTACGTACTACATACCAGTACACAGTACGTAGCACCTCGCAAAATAAAAAAAAAAAAAAAACGTAGAAAGAACCAACGACAAAAGAGCATGGACTGCCGATCCCCCTCCTTTCCTTTTCCTCTGCTGTTTGTCCAGCTGCCCTCGTTTGTGCCTGCCCGAAAGGCTGGCTCTACAACTGGAAATGTGGAGCCACCCCTGCCTCCCCCAAAAAGCCCAGCCCATCCTGCCCTGAAAGTCCATGTCACATCCACATCTGGCAACCTGCATGGTGAAATCCAATTTGTGCCTCTTTCCATATCTAGTGTCACCACTGCCTTTTTCCAGTAATGATTGACTGATGTGTTGACACCTCCATGGCTTCCCCCCCCCCCCCCCCCCCCAAATGTTCTCTCTTAATCCGTAATGCGAGTGAGAATTTTTTGAAACATGTGGTAGCACTATCATGGCGAGGTCCCTACTCTTCCAGATCTAGAGGCTTCGTTGCCTCAACAAGTTTCTGTAGACCAAGGATACTTGTTCGGACGCCTGTCGCCGTATTCGTACCATCTCGAACTTGCCGGGCACCTTCTATAACGTTATTCATCATCAGCACCCTTCTTGATATCTTCTCTGCGTCTCATGGTATCCATCGAGACTGAGAAGTGCTTTTACTTACCAAGTAGCTGCTTCATCTCCCTGTCTTCACGAATACAAGTACGGCAACGGCCAGGGACTGGACGAATCGCTTTCTTAATCTGTCCATCGCACAGTGCATGCGGGATCTGTTTCGGTGCTTGGTCGGGAAGGTGGATGGTGTGCTCCAAAGTGAGGTTCCACGGCGACTGCAAAAGGGCGCTGCCACGGGCTGAGGGGCATTTGAAGGTGTTTTGATACTGTTTGTGCGAGCAGTCATTGTGACGGGTATAAATGTAGGTGCACATCTTGAGGTTGTGAGTATTCCAAGGTTGCTATCGAAAAGACAAGATGAGGCTAAGTCAATGTCGTGATGACCTGTTTTGTTCTCTTTCCTCTGAAGCCAGTCTCTTGGAAAGCTTTAGGTGAGGTTGTGGTGATGATTTTCCTCTACTTAATTACAGGCTGTTAGTCAACTCGGAAAGCGCGACCTGGTAGGCAGGAGCTCGAGGTGAAGGCAAGGTGAATTAGTATGCCATGCTGAACACATCTTTGTGTTTTCACCTGCACTCTGACTGACAAGGCTTTGCTGCCTGCCAGCACCTTTCTTGAGTTCAACTGTATGAGCCACGGCAGGAACACAAAGGGTGAGATGCCAGACATGGTGACTGTGCTTAAAGCACTGATATGTGAATATGACTCCTCAGAACTCATGATCTAGACCCTTCTTTCTCTGGAACAATGTCTGTTGTGTTTCTCCCCTTGAACATTCAACTCTTATATCTGATATATGCTCAATTTTCTCTACTAAGGTACCGTTAAGCTTCGGTAATGCAAATTCTGAAATTGCGTGGACTACTCCTACCATCGCCCAGAGGCATGCAGCATATCTGGCTTCGGAGTCAAGGAACTGTTTTCTCATATCTTAATGACTCAACTGTCTTTCAATGTGTTGAAACTACAAAAATTCGCGAGACGCACAAATAGGACTCACCGTGACTGACGCAGTTACTTCTACAAGTCAGTCTCTCCCACAAAAGCTCCTGGGGAACAGCATAGCTCATATGACGACAGTTGAAATAGCCACCAACTCTGAAGGAAAACAAATGTGCCACCGGCTCGTTCATATGAAGCTTACGGCCCAACAGCCACTATGGACTGTTTGTGCAAATCAAACTTATCCCATCGACTGCCACTGGGCTGCAGGACATTGCCAGCCACACCTCAGTCCATATTTGCAAAATCTGTTGGAAATAGCTATGGGACTGGAATGAAACCCACACTATTTGTTTCTGGTTGGCTATAACCTTAGCCTAATGGCAGCTGCTAGTATTGATAACCCAGAAACCGAAGCACCTGGCGTGGGTACGAAAGTCTTCAGGTGGACTAGTATCTGAAAGCGGTATCTGCAGCTTTTTACGACGTGCATAAAATATTTTTGGCACTAGATCTTGCAATAGCATATCTTCAGTATTATGTTATAGTCCTAAAGACGATCCTAGAGGAAACAACCTCATTCTTGGTTAGGGTAATCGCGTATTTCATGGAAATGACAACATTCCATTGCTCTACGTTCTTCTTTTCCTGCACTTAGTAGCTACATAATCTGGCCAACGTTATTTCGTTTTAGTAAGCGGCAAGCCGTGCAAGACATTATCTCAATGATCTAGCTAGTGACGGAGCCTAAAGCTGCGTAGAGCCAGGCAAGGTAGAAACCAGTGGAAATATCAAAGAGGTCACACCACTCTTTATTGCGAATTCATAATAGCTTGTATTGAGCCATCGATAATAATAGGAATAATAATACTCCATGAAACGTCCTTTCTTCGTTCCCGGTTCATGGATGCCAAGCGCCAAAGCTAATACTTTTCATAACTACAGCATCCGGGGGTATAAGTATGCAAAAGGAAAAAAAAAAAAGAAAGAGAAAAAAAAGACATGTACAGTACCGAAAGTCTGATGTAAGACCTTCTCGACTCAAAGAATATATAATACAACGAAAGAAAAGGCAAAGATGGAGGCGAGATACGCCATTCCACTTTGTTGCCGAGACCGCTGCGCACCCGCTACGGAGACAACATTCGGCCTGGAAGACGTTGATTGGCTGTTAGGCACTCCCACAAGAGTCTGCGTAGGGACCGCAGCCGGAACGGCATTGTTGGTCGGGACAATGGTAGGGTTCGCAGCATTGTTAGGTTGGGCCTGTGGAATGCTGTTGGCGCCAGGGGCTCCGGTAGCTTGCCTGGTACCGCCCAACGAATTGTGCGGGTTGACACCCGCTGGAACGGTGAGCGTGACGATACTCTCTCCGTGTTCGCCACATCTGTTGCAGTCCATCCTGATGGTGGCCATGGGAACTGTGGGAAGGATTTGGTTCGGGCAGCCGCAGTCCTCGTAGTATAGTGTGGTGCAAAGCTCGGCGGACACTAGCATGTTTGGCCTCGCAGAATCGATAGTCGCGTACGGTATGGTGGTAACCAAGGATCTGAGGGCGGGGTTCTGTTGCCCTGTGGAAGATGGTCGTCCTAGGAAGCTTTGCGCTTGCGCTATGCCGCCGGTTTCTGCAGGCGAAGCAGCATTGGTAGTACCAGCGCGTGGACCAGTAGGAGCAATAACGTTGGGTAGAACAATGTCATTCGATGCAGCGCCGGGAGGAACAGGAGCGACGGGTGCACCGGGGACACCAGGGGCACCAGGATTGCCGGGGACAGGGTTCAGAATATTGGGATTGGCGATGTCAGTAGGTGATCCCGGAACAGGCACACCAGGCCCAGCAGGACCGGGTCCAGCAACAGCAGAAGAACCAGGCTGGCGGTTTCCAAGTTCAAAGATTGTAAGGAGAACGTTTGGCGGAGCAGCGCGCTTAGATAGTTGCTGCTTGGGCTGCCTTCGTGCTCGGAGTCTCGTGGAGTTCGTCGCGGCTGCATTGCCACCGCAAACTTGCGTGTTGTCGCCTGGGCAAGGGACATTGCAAGAGTTTCCGGGCACAAAGACCGTCTCGTCAAGGTTCTCAGAACCGTAACAAGTACTACAGAGAACAATTAGTGCTACAAGTCAGGTGACCATGGCGAGGTGCACTTACTCAAAGACCACTCCCGCATATCTCCGACCCTGGGCGAGGGCGATGCACCTCTGCTGGGTCATTGCTGCATCTCTCCCGACTTCACTAAAAGAGGGATAACCAGGTGGGGAACCAATGCAGCCGAGGTAGGCATAGTTACCAATTACGGGAAGATTAGAGGGGTTTGACTGTGATGATATTGTTGGATTTGGTGGCTGGGGTGAAGCTGAAGGAATAGAAATGGGGGGGATAGTGCCAGTCGGGGAAACTCCTGGGGTTATGGATGGGTTGATTATAGTATTAGACAAAGTGGAGCCTGAGTTGATAGAAGCCGTGGATGGGTTCGACGGTGTTGTAGTCGGAGGTGGGGGAGGCCCAGGGGGAGGGGTATCCCCGGAAGAGCTAGTAGGGTTTGTAACAAAGGAAGATGGCGTAGAGCCCGGGTTGGAGTTCGTGGGAACCGTGTTTACAGTATTACTATTGGTTGTTGTTGGTGCTGTTGTTGCTGTTGTCGTTGGTGTTGTCGTTGTTGTTGAAGTGATCAATGTTGGTAAAGTAGGTGTTATGGTACTGGTAGAATCCGTGGCTGACGTTGCAAGGCTTGTAGACGTAGTCGAGGTTACCGTAGAGCCCGTACTTGTCAAGGTGCTGGAACTTGAAGTTGTCGCAACGGAACTTGAACTGGTTGTAGTAACGGAACTTGAACTGCTTGCAGACGATGACGTTTGAGTTGACGATGTAGTAGATGTCGACGTGACTGACGTGATTGTCCAAGTATCATCAAGAGCATGAATATCAAGAAGAATCGCAGAGTCAACATTGCCGTTGTCAGCATCACAGAGCACAAAGTCCAAGTGTTGCAGACTACCGGGTTCAACGGGAAAGTCAACAGTAATAACTGATGAGGTGCGAGCGTAGGAGAGACCAAATGTAGAACCCGCGTTGGGCAATGCCTGTGTGGCACTAAACGCTGTAGGGTCTTGTGCAATCTCGTTCAGATAGATGACAAACGAGTCTGGGTTTCCTCCGGTAATTCTGATGATTTGTTTTTGTTAAACAGAAACTTTTTTAAGATTTGACAAAGATTTTACGTACGGTTCCTGGGTTGCGAACAAGTACCTGATTCTGAGGCCTTTAATGGTGGGTGGAATGGTGATGAACATTCCAAAGTAGTTGTGCTCCTCGCTGTATATGCCGTAAGCACACTCTTTTAAAGGTGACCCCTGCGCGAAGCCAAAATTTGTATTTGGAGTGAATCCGGTCGGTGCATCTGCCACTCTACCAGTGCTCATAATAACTCCTGAGTCGAGGCCTCCAGGGCCGTTTGTAAATGTTCCCAGACATTGTAAGTCTGGGGGGAAGGAGTGAGGACTAGTGGCTGCCAGAATGATTGGGTCTTTTACTGCTGCTGCTGCCAGTGCAGAGTCAGGTTGAGAGGGAATGACATTAATACTTGTCGCAAGAGCGACGAAAGATGCCGAGGCAAAGAGCCTCGAAGTTTCGAACTTCATGTTGCGCTAAAGTGAAGATGACGCCCAGTGGCTTGACCCATCGAATTAAGTGCGCGGCGCAAGCTCTGATATAGAACTTCCTACTGCGCATAGAGACTCAATGTATCATAGGAGATAATACTATACTTCCACTAACGATCCCAGGTCCAGCTCTTGGGCCCCTTTCTCCGCGGAAATTAGGCATTCCTAGATAGGTTTGTTCGTCCATACCGCATGTCTGCTAAGATTAAGCATTCCTAACAGAACCCTTTCACTGTCACCTTTCGCAGTGGAGATTGGGCATTCCTGCTCACAATCCATTCGCCGACAATAAGGCTGTCATGGAGGCAAGATTAGATCACAGGAAAAGAAAAAGGTCGAGATATCTCTCTGTCGCAGATTCGCTTTTCCGGCGAAGCAAGTGTACTTGTATGGACAAAAGCCGAGAATATGCACGAGAGCAAGCTGTGAGACACAAACACAGAGGATCATCATCGACCTGCACGAGCGGCATTGATTGGACCCGAGAGGAGAGTGCATTTCTAGGGAGGCATTTTCACCAGCCTTCCGGAGCCGACGATGCGGAGATCGGGGCTTAGACTTCCCTCTCATTCACATGATGACGGTGAGTTTCGCCCTGCCATGCTCACTCGGAAGACCCCTTTTTCTTTTTCCCTCCCTTATTATACTTCATCTCATGCATAAACTGTGGGCGACCGCTTCTGTTTGTACTATGTAAGTGAAAGTTTCGCCGACCCAAATCTGCAGAGACCTGCCATCTCGTTTTGCTCTTATTGTAAGATATGACATTAGTAACAAGTCAACACAATGGGAGAGCCCTGCGATGAACAATGCTAATGTAAGGACACACACGTGGCACGCTTGACCCATACGAAAGAACACGACAATCGGCGGGGCCACCAAAGAACGCGCCAAGCAGCCCCCCGATCCAGGTTTACAATGCACAAGGGATGGCTTGTGACCGCAGTCGGAACGGGCTCGCCGTGCCCGGCCCGAACAACACCCTGTGTGGATTTTCCCGCTTGGCAGATCTGGCACCGACATGACATGGAGCATTCGGTAATATGACAGAACAGACTGTAAGCACAGGGATCCGAAAATCTAAGACACAGTCTCAGATCGCAGTCCATGGGCCATGTGTTGGACCGTTTCATCGATCCACCGCCGATGGCCTTTCCCTCGTTATAAGGAATAGCGATCTGATCTGATGGAATGAAGTCCAAAAAGGGGCACATTCTGGCCAGCAAGGTGAGGAATGTTCATCATGCGAGTCGAGCGCCCGACATCACAATGGATGCTTAATAGACTTCTCCCTCCACATAATTACTTCACTGCTGCTGAGTAAAACGGAGTGAAAAGGAATAACGGAGGCGGTCCGTTTTCGGCCCGTGGTGAGAGACCACGGAAAGGGGCCGTGGCAGCTTTATACTGAGGACCGGGCGACCCGGGCTGTACATTTGCTTGCCATGAAGTGACTTTTGTCTTTGGGTAGTTGTTGTGTTCCATGCATATGACCGAAAGTCTTTTAGTTGTGGAAAATTAAACAGTTGAGTCAATGATGACTTGCGAATGCTTAATGTCGTATGTTTATGTTGTTGTAAACATATGTAACATGTAATTGAACTGTCAGCGTTATCTTCGAATTGCTGTGTGCATGTCGAGAGCTTGCATTAGGCATTGGTTGTTTAGGTAAACAATAAAACTACATGGTGGTGTTGCAGTTGATGGAATTGCACTCAAAGCCTTTGTAGGCGGCCACCTGGTGGCGTCGTGAACTTTGTCTCATACTTCTACAAACAACTCTAGGTTGTGTCACCTGTGCTATGATCGGGAAATACACGGGCATCGTCTGCCACAATCGGGAACCACGATTTTAACTACCTTGGACTCTGCTGCTTGTCGATCGTGGTGCTTTAGTTATCAGAAATATTTTACTGTTTCACGGAAACTGATCGCAATCTATCAATGCATTTTGGGGTTACGATTTGCCAAACGAAACTCTCCATGAAGTTCTCTCTTATCATCAAAGGTCTCTTATGCGCCCGCAGAGTTAATTAACTCCGAACAAAGCAAGACACGAAGAGATTCTAAAACCATTCTCATCTCTGATTAAGGTACTACACAAATAAAAGACTGTTACATCACCAATTAGAGAAGAGTTTTTGTTTGCCGCAAGGGGAACTCCTATGCTGTACCTAAGTATAGCAACAAAAGAGAGATAGGCGAATACATAGAATACACTATGGAATAGGCGTGGCCGAGTGTCTCCCCTCTCTTCATACTGTGGCCTTGCTGACGTGAGCCATACAGCGCCTATTGCGGCAACGACTTCGTGAGAATATTGTTTCAGTTGTTGGAATTCATTGTGGCTTGCCGGTGAGGTCTGGTCTGGGGATAAGTGGCGGCGGCTACCCGGTCAACTGGCCAAGGGTCTCTCAAAATGTCTTGGCCCATTGTTTCTATTTTGTCTGCGACCAAATCTCAGACTCAATGGCTCTCAAAGTCGTCTTCGTCCGCGTGTTCCTTTTCGAGAACACTGTTGCTGGCTTTCTGTTGACATTTGTCTCATGTTTGCAAGCGAGGTTCAACTGCTAGATCAGGCGAAGCAAACACTTTGCATAACTGACCGCTAGTATCAAAACAACGACTGCTACGTAGTTTGGCAAGTAGAAAATAATTAGTATCAGGATGATATGAAGCTGGATCGGCAAGTTCACCTTCCGAGCTTGACTCCCCTTGGCTGATGCCAGCTGCGTCGAACAAGGCACGCTTTGATGTTGGACTCTGCTACACCATTCTGATAGGGCTCATTAATGGAATGCGAGCGCCAATAAAGATAACTCGAATAGCTGTTAAGTAACTCCATATCAGGCTCGTAAGAAGTTCGTACGTCTCTCCGCTGCCTCGTGTTGTGAACTTGATCACACTTGATGATTGTCTTAGGACCCCGCGTCATGTGACACAGAACGAACTCAGGCCCAGGCCTCGGCGTGTCTTAAAGGCGCAGTATGCAGGCTAAGTCAAATCAATGACAGAATCGGAATAAGTAGTACTCTGGTGATTTAATCTGATCCGGGTTTTCCGCGCCTTTCTCTGGACCCTGTCTAAGCGTCTCAAAAATGCGTCCTGCATCTAAAACAGTGGAAGCAAGAGATGCCTGGGGGCTGAATTATGTGAACTAGCAGTCTACTAGCTGTAAGACAGCGAGCATCGTATTAACTAGTTACAATCGATAAGTGGTGTTCTTCAGTATCGAGATGTAGGGATGTCGTACATGTCTTGCCCGTCTTATCAGAATACAATAGGGGGCTTACCGATTTAGCGAATATCTTGATCGTGCTTTTGAGTCGTGAAAACAGCAATGGCATTGCAAACCCAACCGAAAGAGCACAAATCAGTCTTTTACATATCTCGTGCATAGCGGAGCAAAACCCCCGTGACATTCGTAAGACAGCCTTCATCGCTTCCACACCGAAGCATCACAAGCTCAGGACCTCGTTCTTCTGAGATTTTGAGGCGTTGTCTCGGCCCGAGCCCCAGACATATTGATCCAGAGCTCGGCGAGCGTCTATTCGATGTTTATGATAGCCTTACGATGGAACGGCAGCTAATATCTAGCCCAGAAAACATCGGCTAGGTCGTAGTATAGACGCTAAACCTTCCCGCCCGCAAAACCAACGAAAAGAGCATGGCTCATATCCTGCCACGACCTAAATGCCCTAAAAGTGCAATAAAACACACCGCCGAAGGCGCCGAACACACCGAAGATTCCATCAATGTAGAATGGTTCTGGGCCGTAATGGGAATGCATCGCGGCCAGGTCGTCGACGGAAATGGCCTGTGGCGTCATCAATCGACAACGTCACCTCGATAGCCCTCATCAACATTTACATTCCATCCAGAACCACACACCCAAAATGGGGCTAGTTGCTTTCAAACAATGGGAAAAATTCCTCCTGTGAAATAAGAATCCCACTATCCCGGATTTCTAGTTTCGAAATTGTTTACTCGTTCCTGTCTCAGAGGGCTGGAGGGGCGAGAGGAGATTAACTTGATTCCTCTTTGTTTTTTTGGTCGAGGTTCTGAAGATTATCCAAGACATCCCCAATCTTCAGCCAAAAAGTACCTGCTGCAACTGGCCGTGTTTGTTGTTGCAGCCATCCATGCGTAGCCGTATTTGTAGTGACTTTGTTTGTTATTTGTAAAGACCTACCGAATGCGATACCGAAAAGCTGGGATTTCCGTCACTTATCAAATTCCAGCAATCTCGGTGATCTCGAAGTTCGTGTGTCATCGTAGTGAGACAATATCATGAGATTGAGGCCATCATGCCGGCCGACGTCCATGTCTTCATTTGCCTGCCGGGAAGACCACGCTTGGGGAGAGATGGATTGCGACAGAAGTGTAGCTTCCAATACCGATGTTTGTGTTTTGTAAACGCAACATTTCGACCCGGGCCGAGCCCATCGTGCTCCTCTACCCACCCGGCCAACACTCTCACACAAGTCACATTCGATTCTCATCGCGCTCGGCACATCGATCGACTCAAGGATGCATCTTGCTAAAAAAGCCCAGTCCCAATTACCATTTTTTACTAATCATTTTTGAAAAACTCGACGCCGTGCTGACCAAATCTATTCTCACAGACCATGGATGCCATTGGATTTTTTCCCCCTCCCCCTCGCTCTTCGCTCTCCCACATTCTTTTTACCTCTTCTTGTAGTTGTTTCCGCCCTGTCTAGGCTGGCTACCATACGTCCTCCGTCCCTGAATCTTCTTGTCTCTGCTCATACTCGCGCCGACGGTGATGTCGACGCGCGGCGGCGTCGAGAAGCCGAAGCTCTTGGCGACCTTGGCCAGGTCCAGCTTGTTCACGTCGAAGACGGTGCGCAGCGAGTGCGACGCGTACGCGTGCAGGTAGGACCTGTAGCCGTCCTTGGCGGACTTGTTGAGGTAGTAGTTCTGGTTGATGAGCTTCTCGAGCAGGGACTGGATGTTGGCGACCTTGTTGGCGGGGAAGTCGAACTCGACGACGGGCACGCGGGCCTCCTTGAGGTGGGTGAGGAAGCCGACTTCGGACGGCTGGAGGAACATGAGGGAGCGGCCCTTGGAGTTTGCGCCACGAGCCGTACGACCGACGCGGTGGATGTAGTCGCGCGGGTCATCGGGGGGGTCGACCTGGACGATCCAGTCTACGGCGGGGATCTGATCATGTCTGTCAGTAACTAGTCTTTTGGGTGGAAACGTGGTGATTAATTCCAGATAGAAAGAAAACAAAACTCACATCCAATCCACGAGCGGCAACGTCAGTGCAGATGAGGGTACCCTGCTTGGCATTACAGAACTCAAAAAAGGTGTTTGTCCGCTTCTGCTGCTTCTGCTTGCCGTGCAGGTCGAGCACGGGCAGGTCGATATAGTTGAGCAGCTCGGCGTGGTACTTGACCGAGTTGCAACTGCTGAAGAAGACAATGACCTTCTTCTTCAGGTTCCTCTTCAGGAAGGAAAAGAGCAGCAGGAACCGCTTATCCGCGTCGCAGATCACGTAGCCCTGCTCCAGGTTCGCCACGGTGCTGTGCTCCTGCTTCTCGTCGACGTTCACGTACAGCGGGCCGGGACGCAGCGAGATTCTGGCAAGGTCCTCGACCTTGGTCGTCTGTGTGGCGGAGAAGAGCATGGTCTGGCGGTCGTTCTTGGGCAGGATCTTGACGATCTGGCGCATTTCGTCCTCGAAACCAATCTCCAATATCCGGTCCGCCTCGTCGATGATGAGGGACTTGAGGTTCTTGAAGACGAAGGGCGTGTTCTGGAGGTGATCCAGCAGACGTCCGGGGGTGGCGATGAGCAGGTTGACGCCCTTTTGGAGCTTGTCCGCCTCGGCGCGGCGGTTGGCGCCGCCGATGACGATGCCGTAAGTCTGGGAGTGGTGCGCCATGAGCTCTCTGGCGACGCCGAAGATCTGCAGCGCCAGCTCGCGGGTGGGCGAGACGACGATGACACCGGTGCCGTTGCGCGGCTTGAAGCGCAGGGCGCTGAGCATCTCGATGGCGGGGATCAGGAATGCGAGCGTCTTGCCGGAACCCGTCTTTGCGGCGCCCAGAACATCCTTGCCGCTGAGCAGGGGCGGGATACCCCGCCTCTGGATCTCGGTCATCTTGGTGAAGCCCATCTCCTTGATCGCCTTCATGGTCTTTTCGGAGAGGTTGAGCTGGGAAAAGTCGTGGGCTTCGGCGCCGACGGAGGGCAGCGAGAGGGAATCGGCGTTGGGGATGTCTGCTGTCGCGGCGGCGTTATCCTTTGCGGCGGGAGCCTTGACGTCCTCGTCCAGATCGGAACCGTCGCCCTCGTCCTCGTTGTCGGCGTCCTTGAAGTTCTCCGCCGTCTCGTTCTCGTCCTCCTCCTCCTCGTCGCTACCGGAATCGTTCTCAGACTCGGGTTCCGACTCGGGCTCCTTGCTGCGCTTCACCTTCTTCGACTTCTGGGGGGCCGCAGCGGCCACAGGAGCAGCGGAGCGCTTGCCATTGGCGGGCTTTGCGCCATTGGCATCGCGGAACTTGCGCTTCTTGTTCGTGGCGGCGTCCATCTTCGCGGTTATAGTGACCTTTTTCTTTCGAGAAGTTGACGGTGGAAGGGCTGTCCGACTTTTTGGTCCTGGCGGCGGTCGGGTTGGGTCCCATTGGGGAATTTTTTCTTATCGGGGAAAAAATTAACTGGACCTGACTGATAACGGAGATGGTTGATCCGATCCGAGAGACCCGATGCGGGGCAGAGGTACGTACCGCGACAAAGAAAGGAGCTTGGGCGGCCTAGAAGCTTGACATCTCTCATCCATGCCACTAAGCTAGTCGTCAGCTGCTTGGCTTGGTTCGCATGCTTTCATGAGATGCCCTCTGTGGGGTTCATGACATGAAACTGAGATGATGTAAACAACCTGCAAGCAACGAAGTATCTGCGAGTCACTCATGTATGCCTCAGATAATTCTCACATCACGCATATGGGTGACAGTCACCCCCGCCAGGCTAGTGAAGACTGATGAAAGCCTCTCATTTGACACGACCGCTACTCAGACATGGAGCGGTCAAAAAAAACTCATTAGTGCTAGGGTACAACTTGCACTCAAAATACAAACTGATGAAGATGAAAGGGAAAGACAGTAAAGACAATCTTCCCACCGTCTTCAAAGACGATCCTGACGGTCCTCGGCCCGATAAGAGCCTTTATGACTGCGTCCATCACCGCCGCCGCTACCGCCATAAAATAAACACCCCCATGGAATGATGCATTTTAGTCCTTTGTGCCTGAGACCACAAACCTTCCAAACATCCTAGAGTCATCATAGGATATCTAGCAAGAGAAGAAAGAAAAAAGCAAGTTTGTTTTGATTCAGGATCAATGCCGAGACAGTAACATGAGACCTTGCCTCCTTACCGAAGGGGAAGACCTACGTGGACTATCCGACCAAAAGTCCTCTGGTAAAAAAAAAAAAAGTTTCATATTTCCATTTGTGAGAATGATTGTTGGACACGCCCGCCTTGATATGCCCACCTCCGACCCCCTTGCGTTTTGCCGCCGAAAATTTCCCTGGTGCGCGCGTCTTCTTTTTGTTTTCGTCGTTCCTGAAACGCCATGTGGTGTAAACCGGGATGAAAATGCCGAGTTGTAGTTGGTTGGTTGAGAGTAAGAAAGACATTGTCGTCGTCAGACAGAAAAGGAAAATTAAAAGAAATCCCCTCGCTCGGGTATCCGATCGATCTCAAGCTTCCGCACGCCGCAATTCGTAATCGCCTCATGATTTTTCTTTTCCTATGCACATCCTTCAGTAAAAACGTTCTCATCTCTCATAGCAGCAACATTTCTGTTCATAATCACATACACTCCGCCGTGGGGTTCTCGTGCTTTGCCGTGGATCCCTTGCCGCGCCAGGTGCTAACGGCGGGGATGTTAGCCTCGTAGCGCACCTCCTCGGTTCCGTAGGCGCGGGGGGTGAGCTTGATGAGGGTGTGCAGAGGCACGTTCATCCATGGGCTGTCGGCCTGGCTCTTGTTCATGAAGTAGGCGTAGATGCATCGGAGGACGGCCTGGTGAGTAACAATGAGAATGTCTTCGCTGCGCTCGAGCTCCATAATGATGGGCTCAAGGCGGATAACAACGTCGCGGTACGACTCGCCACCGCGGTAGCGGTAGTTGTACTTGTCCTCATCGCGGGCAGCAAAGTCCTCAGGGAAGCGATCCTTGATCTCTTGGTAGGTCAGGCCGTCGCAGACACCAGAATCGAGCTCATCAAGTGCCTTCCATTGCAGCTGGTTGTAGTCGGGGGGAAGGAAGCGGGAGGTGGCGATGGTTCGCTTGAGCGTCGAGGTCCAGACAGTAAGAGGGCGGTCATCCTGCCAAAAGTGAGAAGGAATGAGAGTTTACAGGAGTGAGCAATCACTTACGCCGACTGACTTCCTGACAAGCTCAGGGAGCTTTCTGGCGTACTGCTCACCGCGGGGTGAGAGCATAGTATCACCACCAATACGGCCATCAAGGTTGTACATGGACTCTCCGTGCTGTATATTCAGTCAGTGAGGCGCTTCATTATATGAGTAAGAGTGAGCAACTCACTCTCGACAGCCAAATAGAGCGAGGCCGGATGTGAAGGTTCATGAGGTAGTAAACGACACGACTTTGGAGATAGTCCTGGATGCGGTTGATGATAACCTGCTTGCCGACGTCCATGATCTTGAGGTAAGTGTACTCGTTCTCATCGCCATCCTCGTCGAGCGACTTGTAGACCTTCTCATAGTTGCGAATGCGGTTGCGAAAGTCGAGAGCAGCCTCCTCAGGGTCTTGGCCCTGGTAGTCGGGCGAGGTAAGCTTGACATCGCGAATGTTGGCCATGATCATGCTTTCATCGTCACATTTGCTCTCGACGAAGAGGACCTCGATGCCCTCCTTGTTGCAGATGTCAAGAACCCACTTGCGGCGCTCCTTGGTGGAGTTAGTGGCATCCAGGATGCCAATGACACCGCCCTGGCGGAACCAGGCCAGCATGTCTTCGATGGCCTTCTCAGCAGCGGCGCGGCGTCTCCGCTCACCCTCGGTGTTGTGGAAGTCAAAAAAGTCAGCAGAGGGGTGGGCATCCTCCTGGCGGCGGTAGCTGCCGACATTGAAGGTCTTGGCTTTGATTGAGAGCCATCCCAGATACCGTTGCGCTATAGAAGGGGGAAAAAGTCAGCACTGAAATTATTGGAGCATAGACCCTGATTTCTTGCTACAGGGGCCTGGGCATGAAGCCTGAGTAGTAATGTTGCATGATCATTACCTTTCTGGGCGATGAAGCTCTTGCCTCTGGCAGGCAAACCGACCATGACGACACATATCTTGGTGTCCTCCACCTGAATGCCGATGCCGTTAGTTTTGCCGGGCATCTTGACGGTTTCACTACGAATGTCCGAGGATGGTTGTTTTGCTATGATGAAAGAAAAGAAGAGATGCGGCGCGTAATAGTAATCATAAGTAGAAGAAGTGGACAGAGAAGAAGAATAAAAGTGAGGTTGTGGCAGAAGTGGAAGGCAGCTCGCGTGATGCTTCCAGCAGGAGAAAGAGAGAAAGAGAGCGAGAGGTAGCAGCAGCTCTATGCCCAAAAAGGCGGGACCCCCCGGTGTGAGTTTCGGGGGCGGGTGCGGTGACTTGGAGCCGGGGTGGAGGCACTTCTCGACCCGGCTACGCCCTGACAAAAGGGTAAATCTCTTGGTAGGTCTTAGAAAGGGCTTTGTGTGAAGAGCCGCTAGCAGGGGGAGGGATGTTTAAGGCAGAATAGAAGAAGGATGGACAACGGGTAGGCCCCCAAACGGCTTGATGAGGCTGATTCTCTGTTTGCGTATGTATGTGTAGAGGATATGTGTTGAGGGAACGAGAAAGGCCGGTTGTTGTTTTTTTGTGGTAGAAACTAGAATTTGAAGGGAAGTGGATGAGGTGGGGAAGAGGGGGGGGCGAGGAGAGAAGTAGAAGAAGGAGTAGGAGACTGAGGGTGATCTGATGCGAGTGATATGATGTGAGGGTGGAGGGAATAGAGTAATGAGTGGGCGAACGGCGTGCACGAGTAACTGAGAGAAAGAAAGGGGATTGTGAGAGAGGTACGTAAAAGGAAGCAGGGGAAAAGAAGCGCCGAGAGGATATACCGAGGACAAGACATTTCCCATTTACTCATTCACACTGGCCCTAGAGAACTATACTGTGAATCGTTCTCTGACTGGACTGGGCTTGCTGGACCCCAAACAATCGGGTAAGAGTCTAGAAGACTGAGGGACAGGGCGAGGGAGCAACTAGCTCATCTCACCCGCCTCATCAAGTCAGACAAGATCGTGGAAACCCACTGGGGCGGACTCATATGACTTAGGCGCACCACCTACAACTGTCGCGGCTTGCAGAATAGCTGCTTGCATGCTGCCATTTGTCGTGGCCTAGCAGTCGGAATTCCCAGGAGCACAAGACGCACTAGATCACCGCCGGTGTGTAGGCCCAACTGGCAACATCATTGGCCTAATCCCGGTACAAGCCATCTTGGGGGTACATGGCAAGTAATCCGTAGGGCAGTAGACTGACTGACTGACTGCATCGTCAAACTGTCTAGTGAAATGCGATTGGTCCCATAGATGCAAGGAAAGAGATGAAAATGACAAAAATAAGAATAAAAAGGTAGTCACCTTGTCACTCCCTTTTTTGGATTGCCGTCCGCCCGCCCGTGGCTACAACCACTGCTGGGCATTACAGGCCACCTTCAGGCGCTGCACTGCAGGCACTGGAGGCAGGCCATTAGTGGTCCATGTATTATGGCAGATGCTGTCTTTTCCACCCCTCTCAGCACACTGGTGGTGAAGCTCGGCGTGGCCTGCCCGCCCCTCCATGACACTCGCTGCTCCCCCCCAGTCCAATGCCCCTCATTTTACGTGTATCCCCCCTGTGTCCGCTTCTCTCCGGTCCCTGATTTTGCTAGCTGCGGGCCTGGCCCAGCTAGAGGAGCATCTCTCTCGGCCTAGCTCATGCACCTCTACTCTAGCAGAAAAAAAAATGATGCAGGAATCCAGGGCCAGCGCCACGGCCACCCCCGCATTGACGGGATATCTCGCAGCACCTTCACTCAGCATGCCCAACCAATCTTTGCCCATCCAGCGGCGTCTTCACCGAACACAACCGAGGGTGGGGATCAGACCACGCCGAACACCTCATCCGACTTGCCAGACTTAGCCGGCTCGTCATAAGAGATGCCGGAATCGACCAAGCTCTTTCATGATGACGAGCGAATGCAGACGCAGACGAGAAGGGGAATAAAAAAAAAAAAGAACCATCCTTAGACATAACAAAGCAGAACAAATAACAAGTCAAACCCCTCCATGTCTCTCTTGCGTAAAACACCAAAATTCCAGTGGCCGCCGAAACATCGACAATCCCATGAATAAAAAGGTCTGCGAGCCCCCCAACTTCTCATTCGGCAGCCTTTTGACTTTTTGGGTGCTTTTTTTTTTCTTTTGGTCCCGGCCAACATGCATCTTCAGTCCGGTCATTCCCGGCCACTACCGAGACTTGCCCACCATGCGGAGCCGGCCACACGCATACCCGGCTGCTGTCATTCACCAGACAGGAATGTCTTTCTACCCCCCAATTCCCCATTTCTCTTCTCCTCTGCAGAGACGGAAAACGTTGTGTGAAAGAGCCGGCTCTCGATTCTCACCACCAAAAGTCCCCATACTCATGGCACATGGCTCAATTGCAATGGAAAGTCAATACCCACTCTGGCTGGCCACTAGCACCTGACCCCCACGGCAACTCGCCAGGGGAAATGGTCATCCGGTCAGAGGTCTCCTGACTTGAGAGATATGGGCATTGGCATAGACATTACACCGCTGCTGCATTTACTGGTAAATGCTCACCACGCGTTCAGGGGGGAGGGGGGTTTTCCTTTTACCCCCCCATGCTGCCCACCTCACCTCCGAACCAGCAAGTCCAGCCGTCCGGGACCTGGAGGCCCAGCAAATCGGCACGATTGCCAGCCAGATCGTATCAAACCCAGCACAGCTTTTTCCCAGCTGCCCAATTTACCAGGGGGTGGTTCACTCGAATATCAACACCCCCTGCGTGATTATTCACACCGCCAGAGCAATTGCAAAGAAAAACACATTTGTCCTGGTTGGCTGACGGAGGGAGCCAAAGGGAAGTGCGTAATAGAGAGAGAGAGAGGAAGAGGGACAGAGAAAGAGAGAAAAAAAATCACTTGACGCTGCCATGATGCTGCAAAATCCATACTGGACCACAGCCGCACTCCGCACCTGCAGCTACCCTTGGGGCCGGATAACGCACCAGTAACAAACAGGCAAAAGCACCCAAGACAAAAAAAAGAACAAAAAAAGGCTTTGAAAAAGACAGGTTGGCGCACTAGGGACAAAAAGCACAAACGTACCTTACTGAAGCTCCAAGTGTGCTGTCGTCGAGGCTGACGTCTCCCCTCTGAACCTGCCGGGATTACTCCGATACCCATGGTTGCTGGCTCCTTTTCAAAAGTGATCAAATCCAAGGTCTGGAACTCTCGCTTGCTATGAATAGCCTTGTCGTTGTCGATTTCACAAAGGTCGGGACGAATGAGCTTTTCCTTTTCTTTTTCTTTTCTTTTTTTTACCCTTCGCTGAGGAGAATGCCGACCGCGGGGGATCTCGGGGAGATGAGGGAGAAAGGTCGGTGCAGCGAATGCCGAATAACCGCAGCACACCGGGGCGATTTGAAGCGATCGTGACAACAAAGAGGTATGCGATGCAGAAGGTGCCCTGAGCCAAAGAAGACGGAAATATTCAACTGAGAGATTTTGTGAGTATTGAATGTCCTTGGATGGATTCAGTTGTCACTGCGAAGCGAGTCGGTAAGGGCGAGGGTTGCAACAGGCCTGGATCACGAAACGAACTGGTGAGTAAAGTGGCAGAAATCAATGTGAGGCATGACGGTGAGGTCACAGCTCTCTCTTTCTTATCGATAAGACCTGCGATAAGCCCTCCTGTTGCCACTCCACCCCGATAAGTCCCGACACGGCCCTTCAGTTTCAACACTATCCACTGTGGATAGTGTTTCCACATAAGCCTTGCCTGTCATTGTTTCTACCGAGTATGGGAGTACCGCTTTGGCTCTCGCCTGGAATAATACTGGGCCAAAGAAAGCTCCGTTGAGGTCAGAGTGCCTTCATAAAGCGTACACCATTCGTCAAGGGGAGTAATGAGGCGAGTGACATGCTTCAGGCTGAATTCTGGTCAATTCGTCTAGCTACTAACGCTTATTTTCTTGACAAGACGACTATTCTGATCCCACTGCTTCAGTGCTTCCCAGAAGGATCTTGAACAAATCAATCTTTCACACTTTTCAGCCACAGTATGGCAAAGCTGAAGGATATCATCTCCATTCATTCCTGCTGCCTCCAAAAGTTGGAAAGCTGAATCTATACATCATTGAACAACTTCCTCGGATCCGAAACCTCGGGCGTCGGGCCATAGTCTTCACGGCCATAGAAACGCATCTGGCCACCGCCCACGTCGAAGTAAGCTTCGACATTGTGAAGAAAGACGGCCCCGAGGACATAAGGACCGGTGCCCCCGGTGGAGATGCCAAGTTGACAGTAGCCCGAGACCTCGTCTTTCATGTTGCGGTAGATGAGGTCCACGGGGTTGATCCAGAAGCTTGCACCCTCGATGATGACCGCAACTCGAGGAGCAATGGCATTACAGGGTGCAAAGTATGATCCATACTGAAACATGTAGATGCCGCTGGGAGAAAACGATCTGGCAATGGACTCGGCCACAGGCGGAGGCACGTACATCATCGTGGTGCCAGTGTCAACGATGTAGGGGTGCTTCTTCTCGTCCATCGTACTTCCCCACCGAATACCATCAACAAGAATGGTGTAGTACGAATACTGCCATGATGACTCTGGCCGCTGCTGGTTGATAGCTGTCTTTTGCGAATGTCAGCTGGATTTGAAGTATGGGAAAGACAACAACTTACGATGATTAGGTCGGTATAGGCCGTAGGACCGGTAACTGGCAGGCCTGTTCTGCCACCCCATGCAATCACCCCAGAGGAATTACGGACAAGAGATACGCTGAAAGAATCGGCAGACAGTCCTTGTTGAACCATACTGGTGAAGAAGGGCTGGTATGGGACCTGGAAGGCGGGACGCTTTTCGGTCGGGTCGCCAGTAAAGGCGCTCGTGAGAGATGGATATGCCATACCTATGATTCCATTGGTGTAGTTATTGCCGTACCAGTAGGTCAAGTTGGCAAGACCAACTTGCTGCTGGCGGACGACGATGCCGGCAACCTCGATGTCGCTGTATCCCATGGGGCCGGAAACCTTTTCCCCAGAACCATAACTCAGAGCAAAGTGTATGTCTTCGACTGGGCCATGCTTGAACCCGTCGATGAGGTTCGGACCGAATCCGCAAGCCTCCTGAGGATAGACTGCGGTGCCCGTCATACTGACGCAGGAAAGATTGGAGCTGGCTGCCCAAGTGTCGCTGCTGCCCGTATCGAACAGCATGTTGATGGGTTTACCATCCCAGATGACCTCGATGGAGTACTGAGTGCCATAAGGGCTCAGAGCCGTGATGTTTTGGTAGTTTCCCGAAATATCGCGAGGCTGAGCGGCTCCTAGGGCAGTAGCAGCGTTGTGACCGGCGACCTTGCCGCGGAAGGCCTTCAGGTCCTGGACTCGACCGACGACATCATCAGAGACTGGGTCCCGGTGAGCCTTGATGCGCTGAAAGCTGACACCCTTGAGTGGGGTCTTGATGTCGACACTGACTCTGTGTCTATCGATCACGGCGGCCTGGGTAGTTAGCAGGCCAACTCCCATGAAGGAGAAGAGAATGCTGGTGATCTTCATTCTAGGGTGTCAGAGACAGCGATGAAATGAGTCTGTTGGATGAAAAAGAATGGTCAGACGATGTAACGAAGGGGAAAAGAGAGGCTTTACAGCTTGGGGTCTGATTTGAAGAATTGAAGAAAAGTTGCGGGTTATTCTCGAAATATAGACCGAGAGAAGGATCTACAAACAAACACAGAAGTAGGTGAGGTGTCCAGGACACAAGGCCAGCCGTAGGACGCACTAGATTACTGTATGGGCAGATGGCAGCAGGGTAGCTGCTTCCTCCTGGATGGTTTGTGGCTCCAGGAAGATATTACTTATTGAGACGGGAAGGAACCGATGGAATGCCTGATATTGTGGAAGCGACAATAATGTGAACTTCCGCCTGCCTCGTTTGCAACAATGTGCCTTCCCGTAAGGCCCATACTCAGGTGGTATCATCACATCGATTGCCATTTGGCATGTCTTCACTGCTTTCAGCCCACCCGAACCAGATATCCGTTCGTGTCTGCTCAACCTCTTTTTTCCCCTTGAACATTTCAGTCTAGTTAGGGGGGCTTTTGCCTTGGAGCTTGTTCAAGTCTTCATTTCAGATGTTCCGGAGACTGAAGGCTGCTTCCAAACCCATGGGTGATCATAGCTTCGTTTGCTATGCGCTCATCCTCCCGTCCCGTCATTTGGACTGGATTCAACAGTTGAATGTGCCTCGGCCATTCGGTCCTTTGGACTTGATACTCGGTCATACACTGCAGTTTCTTCAATCATTTCACATGAACTGCGAGGCCAGCCATGGATATATTAATCAACACGCCCGCTTAGCATCCTTGAGTCAGGATTTGATCAAATACTAGTCTTCCTTTTATGGTCCCCCTACAATTATGCATCATGGAGTTTTGGTGTGGTGCTCAGTATGGAGGCAACTAAGGCATATGCTTAAAGACTAGAGACGACTTGAGATTTCAATACCGCATACGAGCCTCGAAACAGCCTCGGATGGTTCAAAACTGAAAACGCAGCTCTCAATCTCGCTAAGATTTCCGTGTCAAACGTTTAATCATGGTGTCAAAATTAACGGGCACCTGCAGTCGCCTCTAGTGTGCCACTTGGACGCCAGTAACACGAGACCATGTTATCAAAGTCCCTGTTATCAGGGTGTCCATGCTGACGAGGCACAGAGAGTTTGTTATTTTATTTTGAATTCCGGGTATATCGTCATCACAATACCCAGCACATGTTAGAAACCACGGATCGGCCCAGAAGCAGGAACAGTTGAAAAGAAATTAGTAACAGAGTACTATGTACGCGTGGATCTGTTGGACGTCTGCCTGCAAGACCCATTTGCTTGTCGTGAAGGATGGGGGTGGTACTTGGTGCACACCCATCCGATATTATACCGGCCGAATATTCACGACCACTAGCCTACCAGTAACATCTCACGTCAGCCGAACATTCTAGTGAGAATAATAAAACTGGTTGATGATATCGCCCAACTTACGTGGCTAAACGCTGCTATTGGCATTTGTTCACAAAAGATCAGCCAAGAGTTAGTGTACTAGCATCGGCCCCGTCGGAATCTCAATTAACCCGCTGAACCGGAGTTGTTATTAAGCCGCCCATCCGCTCATGATGACAGACCTAGGACCCTTCCAATGATCTCTAGGAACCTTGGACATGTGTTGAATATGTCCCTGTCTTCGTCTCAACAGAAATCCTTCGAGCAACTTCTTATAAGCCCCTCAGCAGTCCCGCAGGGGATAATTTAACCTCCATCTCCAATTGCCCAGCTCACATGGGTACAGCCCAAACTAGGTACCTCTGTTAGACAGCTCACATTAGATTTCGTATCTTGAACCGCACTACATCAATTTCTTGAACGTCCATCGAGAATTTCTACAGATCACCATGGCCTCAAATCAGCAAGTTAGGTCCGAGAGACCCCTAGCGAACATGAAGCCCCTCTCCCAAAACACGTTACTCTACGAGCCTTCGCCCACAGCCCAGGACCCAAACGCTCCGAAGCTCATCGCCCTTTTCAGCTGGAGTTTCGCACAAGACGTCCACATCGCAAAATACACTTCTCATTACATGGCTCTCTACCCGACAGCAAGAATCCTCCTCGTCAGAGGTGGTTACCCCCACGCAGTCTCCATTCACTTCGCCAGGCGTGAAATCAAACCTGCTGTTTCCGTAGTGCGGGCTCTCGCCGACACTGTCTCGACTTCCGAGACCAAACCCCAACTGCTGATCCACGTCTTTTCGCAAGGTGGCGCGAGGAACCTTGATAATTTCTACGATCTCTACACCGCGGCCAGCCCTGAAGGGAAGCTGGACCTTCCACCGCACGTCACCGTATACGACTCCTGTCCCAACAAATTCTACTGGATGCTGACGGCCCGCGCGTTCTCGGCGCCGATGCCCTGGTTCCTCCGGCCGCTAGCACATCTTGTAATGGCTTGGGCATGGCTCGTTACGATCCCGTGGGGGTATCCGAATCCCATGGACAAGATGCGGGCGTCTCTAAACCAACCGAACCTGCTGCAGAATGAGCTGAGGAGGGTGTATGTGTATAGCAAAGAGGACAGAATGGTTGATTGGGAGGATGTTGAGAGACATGCTGAAGAGGCCAGCAAGATTGGTTTTAAAGTCGAGAAGGAAAGGTTTGAAGGCAGTCCGCATGTTGCGCATGCGAGACTTGACAGTGTGCGATACTGGGGTGCTGTCCGGGGGCTGTGGGAAGGAGAAGAAGACACTGTGACGTTGTAAAGCTTAGTATGAGGATAAGTTGATCAGATCAACGTGCAGAAACAGAAGAACGTGCGGGTCCTGCTGGAAATTTTTGGTAAGATATCTGCCCAAATTGTTTTGTATTTCTTATGCGGATTTACATGCTTCACTTATCGGTCACTTTCGATGGACGCAACTCAGATAGACAGAGAAGTTTTAAACACTAGAACAGCCGGAAAGAAATAATGGCCATTGTCAGACGCCTTTAGCTTACAAAGCAGAGTTTCCCATATACTCAAGTGGAACAGTATTATCAAGGAGTGACTCTGTTCTTTCCACTTTCACAACCTATGCTAATGCCTTGTTCAATATGGCAGCAGTCTGGGCTGATACTCAATTCTAAGCATTTAGTTCGAAAGCTACTAATGACTGATTGGTTGGCTTTTTATTCTTCATTGGTATAGCCAAGTGTTAGCTTCATCCTAGAAAGCATTCAGCGTCATCGAATCAAAAGCGTTCACAGTGGCAGTGTGATGCATGAGGCTGCAAGTTGGGTGGCCACAGGTGGCTTAGACCCCTGGCAGCCCTCAAGGCGTTCTTGAGACTGGTAGTATCTTCATAAGCGCGCGTGTCCCCCGCCTCGACGGTTCTCTTCAGCTCAATTATACCTGTCCTTCAGCCTGATTTTATGATACCAAAATACTCGTGGGACGACCCAACAAACTTAGATCCTGAACAAACCAGTGCTCGGTTTCGAGATTTCACAAAAGTTGCCTTGCGATGATTGAGTAACGAAACTGGGAAGATGGCAGAAGTATTCGGCACCGTCGCGAGTGCACTCGCCGTGGCGGAGCTCCTAGTCAAAAGCGTGTTCAAGATCAAAAAGTTGTGGGACGAAGTGCAGGATGTACCCGAGGAAATCAACCGGCTCATAAAAGAACTTGAGCTCCTCAGCCCGGTTATAGGAGCGGTGGAGGCAGTATATGAACAGCAGAAACACCTCCCCTTAGGCAGCATCGCAGGTCCAATAATATTGGCTTGTCGCGAAGTAGTCGGGCATTTGGAGACTCTGTCAGCCGAACTTCAAGATCAGATATTCACCGCGAGAAGGCCCTTGAGAAACATTACAAAACTCAAAGTGACCTTTAGGAAAGACTGGATCCGAGTTCACCAGGAAAAGCTCAAGTCTATAGTCAAGGCGTTGTCTCTTTCTCTGCAGGCACACTCAGTTTCCCAGCAGACACATATCATGTAAGTGCGACAGGCACCTTTTTGTTCTGGGTGTCGCCCTGACAAGCTTAAGCACCCTGTTAGAGTCTAGGCCACCGGTACAACTTACTCAAATCGTTCATGTTCCTCAACCAGGTCTACCTGGGGCATCTACGGAGTCTCATGGCACTGGCGATAAGGGAGCGGCAAGAAAGACATCAGACCAGGATCTCATGGTTCAATATGACCCATCACAGCCCAAGCCCAAACCGGTCGCATGGCAGCCAGCGTCTCTCTTCGGTAACTTTATTTATCAGACATCTACTCAACCAGAACATGCGAACACACAAAGTCCGTAAATCAAGATCTCCATAAAAGAAAATCCATAACTAATATCAGAAAGTACACCAGCTTCGAGTCCAGCTTCCATGGTGGATGTCAAAGAAGGCATGGGATTTTGATGCCTACAGGATTAATACAGGTTGGACAATGTCACTCAACCCTTGGGCCACGCGCCCAGACGACGCCCCGATATTTCGACTAATAGCGGATGGCTCGTGGACTGAAATTTTGCAGCACATGAAAGAGAATCATGCCTCTTTCTGGGATCGCAGAGAGGACGGAAGCACACTGTTACATGTAAAGTCTACCCATACGTGGCAGAGCTTCACTTCCCAACGAACGCAGAGCTAATTGATGCTGACGTATCCAGGAAGCATTACGCTGGGGCCGCGTTGATATAGCCGCAAACCTGGCTAGAGTGGGCCTAAGTGTCGAAGATTTACGTATTCGAGAGCGCGGCCCCTTGTTGGAAGCGATGAAGCCGTGGAGAAACTTGCCAACAAACGACCCAAAGGTGATGGAACTATTCAGGTTCATCGCTTCCCGCGGATGTCTAGATGATGCAGTTCAGCACGCAATGGCTCCCAGACGCAGCATTTTTTTCAACCCGCTAGTGGACTACATCTGGTGCATTCCCGGTCTGTTTTCCCTCTTAGTCCAAGAAGGGCTACCGGAAGGCCACCGACTTTCACTACAGGACCGATTTGCTTCTCTCCAATGGATAATCGTCGACCCTCAAGTCCTTTCCTACGAGCTACGCTGCGGACCAGGCGTAGATCCGGCTGCTTTTAGAGCAACGGTCATGTCTAGAATGAATTGGGCTTCTCTGATTGAGTTCGCCATCCAATACTTTCGTCACTCTTTCGATGACACTTACAACGCATATCCCTCCGAGAAGTTTGAAAAGTTTGTGGACAATCACAAGTTCCGGTACTGGAGAGAACTGGCACGATGGATCTTTACAGATATAACGATCGAGCAACTTAGCCAGGAGCATGCCGTGGGCTTCAGGGGTCTGATTGCTACACCCCTTTTGGTGGGACTGATGGAGTATTATTCCGACTACGAGTCGCCCCGAGAGAAACGTCTCATGTTGCGTCGTATGTCACGAGCTATGACGATGTGGCTTGAAGATGTTCAATCTTCAGGCGTAAATTTGTTAGAATACAGCAGGCATGAGCTCTGGTTATACGAGACGAATCATCCGCTAAAGGATATCCGATGGGGAGGAAATGGCCTGGAAGACTGGGTAGATATTCACCTCGCCAGCCTTCAACCCTGGGGACCCCAACTGGCGTCTTTCGGTTTTGGGCCCCGGCCAGAAGACTGGAAACTACAATGGGATCTTGCTGCCGAGGAATGTGCGGGGGACTTTTGGCACCTGATTGATAACCCGCATCTGCATGTTCCTGGAGAATGGGTGGATGATGATGGAGAAATAGCGGGAAGTGAAGCAGAGGAGGATGATTGGGTCAAGTATAAGTGGATGTGGGATGATGAGTAGACAAGTTATGACGTGGACTGAATCCTAACAGGGTCTTGGAAGACCGAAGCCGCCAGGGTCTTATTATGATCATTATAATTATAACGAGTACATTACTGTGTATAGCATAGACAAATTCAGGTTGTCGTAGTTGTTAAGATCGTGTTTACTTGTTCCTTGTCGAGGGTCCTAGGTCAATAGAGGCCTCAGAGCAAAGTGCTGCGCACATTACCTTTAATTACAAATGGACAAAGCTGTGCCTCGGAGGGCGAGAAGGCTTGGATACCGGCAAAGCACATGTGCTGGCAGCTCACTCGATGCTTAAGCATCATCAGCTTATTCGACTGCTTACCTCGACATAGCCGCTTCCGCTTTGGCTTATTCGCACCTAGGTGCACAGTGATCAGACAGAGCGAGATAAGTAAGAAAGTGTGTAGGAGATATGTTAGAGTACTGTGCTAGAAGGATTAGAGGATATGCTTTGGGCTAGGGCTAGATTGTTTGTCTGGGACGCACGAAGGCTGGCTTCCTGTTGCGGCTATTCTTACTGGAATATCTGCACAAAATGAGTAAACGTGCTACTTCTGAGGAGGATTTGACCTATTGATATTTACCACCGTTACTCCTATTTTATAGTTGAACTTATATAACTACAATCTAATCCGGAAAGGTTTTCATTCACAAAGACCGGGATACCATTTGTCGCTGAAAAGAACGGGGCTTGGCTGCAGGAGAACCTTGTCCTCCCACTTAGCTTACCTTAGTATGCTTCGTTCTGCAACAAAAGGCGCAAAGAAAAGCCGGGTGCCTATAGGGCTCTAAAACGGCGAGATGGATTGCGCCATTAGTTTTCACAGCTGTGAGGGACGAAAAAGGGTGGGAAAGTTGACAAAGGTACTCCTGGCAAGTACTTCGCATCGAGGTTAACAAAGTACAAAAGTTCTCTTATACAGTCCGTTGCACTGACAGCGTCCAAAAATCGAGTTTTTACCCCCCTAGGGTGGGGTTAATGCAAACCCATGCTAAACTCCGTTTTTTTCGCTGGGAAAATTACAACGGTCGCATTCAGCTGCATTTAGCCACCGTATCGTCAAATCTACTCATTTCAACGCGTCAGTATGGCGCCACGTCTCTCAAAACTCCAGCTGAGGAAAGTTAACCTACTTCTTCCCTCTGTTATTCAAACCGACGAAGAAATCGCAGAGGCGGTTGGCTGTAGCCAACGAACGATTCGACGATGGCGTCGTCGATTCGACATAACTGGCGAGGTAGAACAATACCCTCGAAGGCGTGAAAGCCAGCAGAAGATGGAAATACAGCATCGGAACGAACTTCTCGAATTATTAAAGTATCGTAACGACCTCCTATTCGAAGAGATGCAAGAATTCCTATACGAACAGTTCAACCTCGAAGTCAGCAAATCAACGTTGAGCCGCCACCTCCACGCAGCTGGCTGGACGAGAAAGAAAGCCCACATAATTGCTTCACAACGAAACCCAGAATTACGGTACGATTGGTTATATCGTATACGTCGATACCACCCAGAACAATTAATATTCGTAGACGAATCAGGCGTTGATAAAAACACTGGAAGAAGAAGGACGGGTTGGGCGCCTAAGGGTCTGACGCCAACGCGGTCAGTTCCCCTCGAGCGAGGTCAACGGATACAACTGCTGCCAGCACTCGCAATTGACGGTATCGTAGACTTGCTGGTATATACTGGATCGACGAATGGCGAGGGCTTCTCTGCGTGGATACAGCAACTTCTACTGCCAAAGTGTGGAATATTCCCTGGGCCTAAGTCAGTGATTATAATGGATAATGCTTCTTTTCACCGGCAAGGGGATATACGGCAAGCGTGTGAGGCCGCTGGCGTACGCCTCGAATTCCTCCCGCCGTACTCACCTGACTTTAACCCCATCGAGGAGTATTTTGGCGACCTCAAAAAGCATGTAAAAAAGACATTCCGTACGTGGAATACTAACGAACTAGACGAGCGTGATTTTGCTGAGTTTCTCCGCGACTGCGCGCTTGAGGTTGGGCAACGTCTCCCACAGATAGCTGGGCACTTCCGTAACTCATATATCAACTTCGACGGCACACAGGATATCTTCTGTGACGCTATGACGAGTAGCGATATGTATATTGAGGCAGGAGGAGAGTTGAATCCACCTCTTGTAGTAAATAGTTGTTGAACTTGTAGTAGGAGAAGTAGGAGAAGAAAAACATGAATAATGCCTGTATTTACAACCTCAAGTCAGGCCTATAGTGAAATAAATCGTATCCGTGGCGTATCAAAGTGCTCTGCTACCTACCTAACGGTCTTTGGGTTGATCCTCCCGGGTGTTGCAGGGCAGCTCACATCCACAAGCAAAGCTTTCCGCTAGCAGTAGTCGCTGCTATTTATCCTAGTTTAACCTCCTCTTCCTCTTGGGTATAAGGCGACGATATATAGTCTGAGACTTCGATCGGATTTTGTTCGGTATTAGGAGGAAGGATTGGTGGCGGCGGCGAGGAGACGAAGAGGTCTAATTCTAGTTTCTGGTTAGTTGACGCCGTCACTTCCGTCAATATTACTCACCACCTCGACCAAACTCAATATCGCCAGTTGGCAGCGGTGAGGAGATCCTACCCGCTGGAACGCTTATTTCGCCTACTTTACTAGCGCTTCGTTCGATATTGCCTGTTTCTCCGAATCGCTCGTCAAAAAGTCGGTTATACACTTCGTCTTCAACCTCACGGTCAACTGCTGGCTTTTTCGTTGCCTGTACGAGTGATTGTACAGCGGCGAGAGGTTCGCTCTGTTGGAGGTAAAATTGCTGTGTTGTAGTGAAAAGTTTGATCGATTTTCTCACTGCTGCGGTAAGTTGTGGTGAAAACCCTACCTCCTTGAACCAGCTGTCTGGGTAATCACGAATAACGCGGAGACTGACTATTGAAGCCTTTAACGGAGTAAATTTCACTTCGTCAATACCCAACTTCTTGCCGTTCACAGCTAGAAACCACGAAACGAACTCATCAACTTAGCGTGTTGCTTTTGAGGGCGAATCAGGAACAACTGGCGACGAAGAACGAATCGGAGCCTCTACTTGCCGACGGGCAGAGTAATCACCTGACTGCGGTTGAAATTGAGGCTCAAGATCCCAATATTGGGGCGGCATCGTTGGCGGCGGCAACTTTGGCCAATATTGCGTTGGGCCGCCTGGCGGAGGTAGGCCATAGAAGTTGACTACTGCGCTATTATTATTGGCAGTATTTGCTGGGTCTTGTGTGTCTGAAAGCCCTCTATTAGCAGACTTTTCACCTAGGCTATTTTGGCCTCCTCGATTTGCTGATTTATCGGGCTTTTTCATATCGCGTTGTTCACGCTGAACAAGATCAACAATTAGGCGGGCAGGCGGGTTTGATATTGATACGCCTTCCTCGCCCTTCTGAATAGCTTCTTGCCACTTCTCGAAATCAAATACGGTCAGTTTATAGTGTTTTCTTGCGTTGACCCAGCACCAGTTAACTGTTGGATCAGCTGACGAGGTATTCTGACAGGTTGCTGAATCGTTACACTGATTATGGCGAAGAAGGTCTCGAAATAACTTCCTCTTTCGATCGCCTTCTGTTTCAATCGCTTGAAGCATCGTATTTGTTACAGTCTGACGTTGACTAAGTCGAGACGGTCGCCCTCGTGGTGATCCTACGCCTTCTAGCTCTCCTACTGCGGCTACAGTAGGAGTGACAGAGTAGGCCAGTTCAACATCGAGAAGAACCTCACCAAGGCGACTATTCTCGATAATTTGCTTCGAAATATCATACCATGGAACAACCGGCCAGTTGCCACTGTCAACAGCGAATTCTTCGCGGTATACAATAGTTACTGCTTTTAATCCTATTCTTCTCCAGGCGATTTTCGTGGTAATCCAGCTCTTCTCGATATTATATTGTGCCCTTAAACGGGCGTCGATTCGCTTCGCCAAATCCCTCTCGATTTTCGACCACTGGATAATCAACTTATGACCAACTTCGCTCTCCTCGTCAAATATCCACTTGTATATAGTCTCAGGAAGCTTTGGCGGCGAGCGACCGCCTGAGAAGAGAGGAGTATACGTAACAGTTAAATTGATTGACTGTGGTTGCGTTCGTCGAGGAGTTGGGGTATCAGGTAAAGGCCGTCGACCAGGCCTTGCCGGCGTAACAGCAAAAGGATCCTCATCGAGGTTGAGGTTATATTGAAGTCGCTGGCCCGGCGTTGACTGCCCAATAGCTTGGTGTTCATAGTGGCCTGCCGGTTGGGTTTCCTCGACTTCGTCAACTTCGAGGTTTTGTTGAGTTATTCCTGTCTCTGTTTCTGCTAACTGAGCAACCCTCTGGGCTGGGGAAGGGATCACCACTACCCGACGGCGTCGAGGTGGCTTAACTGGGGTCTTCGCTGGCTCTGACGCCTGCGCCCTCGCCCTCGCCCTCGTACGTACGATAACTACCCTCGACGGCGAGCCGGTTGTTGTATTCGTCTCTAGGGCTTTTGCTGTTTTCAATCGCTTTCGCTTCGCCGGCCCAGTGGTATTATCAATTGAGGGGGCCCGAGCCCGCCGAGGAGGCATCACGAAAAGCTTTTCACGAGATATTGTAATTTACAGAGATTTCACTACGTGGGCCCCACGAAAGTGGCCCAATTGGGCTACAGTGGCCAGTTTACACCAGTTGGGCCAGTTGGGCCAGTTTGACCCCTGTTGTGATAGTTTACTGATTTTCGGGGTTAATAGGCTAAAATCCGATTTTTGGACGCTGCCAGCGAAACGGACTGTAACTGACTGCGTTTCCCACCCTAGATGGATGTTAGTCGAATTGTGGGTCGAGACCAATAGAAAGACCTCTGGTTTCTCCCCTCATTTCTTCAAACACACATGTAAACAACATCTTTATCCTCAACTACCACAAATCGAGGGCTCGAAGAGAGCTCTAATCATACAACGCATAACCATGTCAACCCAGCACCAATTCGACAAGTTCAAGACTCTCATACAGGGCGTTGACCGTACCTGGAAAGGCTTTGTCGTTGTTCGCACTGCATACGATCCTGACCCAGCAACAGACGCAAACCAATGGTCTGCTGTACTAGATAAGTTGCATTTATATGCCTCTGTAGACCTTGACATAAAATTCTTGGTTATGGATGATCGCGAGTTTCTGGAGGGCATGGACTACGGTGCCGTTCGGTCTCTCTTCAAAACATGGACCAAGGAATGCCGTCCGTGTGAGAACGAAGAGGGGGACGAGACTGGGTGGCCCTCCGGGGTGCGCCACGACTGCTGCCTGGTCATTGACGGCCCTGCCCTAGCATCTATCTCTGCCGCGCCTTCTAGACCGCCATCGCCACCATCTACGTATGGACACCTTGGTAAAGAAGCTGCAGAGAAGCCGTGGGTCGTAGTTGTCGACTCCCAGGCACCAGAGGAAGTGGGGTATATCGGCGGCGGACCGTACATGGGCTGGTTCAGAGCGGAAGTTTCTGCCCTTGAAGAGCTGATTCGGGAGCTTGAATGTTCCCTAGAGGTACATAGCAGATGCCGTCCGCGAGAGTATGATGGCCAGATACCTTTATTCAACGGCCGAAGAGGAGCAATGGTAGATCCGCCCGGCGGTGTTGCAGGCCGATACAAGTTTCCTCGGGGCACCCCAAGAGGCCGAGACGTTGCGAAGGCTTGGATTGAGGATATCAGAAAGGCTTTGGGCGATGATGCCGTTAGTGGCGTCCGCTTCTAGGGGCTAGATGCCATGTTTTGCTTTTTTTAAGGGCCAAGTGCTTGGATGTCTTGACCTTCCAGTAAAAGCTCTTACCTTATGTTGAAGTATATGGCCTCATGGAAAGAACTTCGCGACTGGGTATTGAGCACCTACCTCTGAACGAAGCGCATACCAAAGGCAATAATGTTCCAAGCCTTTTGCATCATCTCCAGCTTCCATTGTTGGGTAGTAATTGGAGCGATGGATTCAGTGCAGAGAGCGACTTAGGACCGTAGTATCTACTTCTCCAAGTGTATAAGCCCCCTTTTTTGTTCTTGACATACCTACCCTAGTTAAGCGCAGCACGCTTTGAACCTTTTTGTGGTAGATACGGAATTTACATTGGGAAACGCAAACAACAATAGTTTTGCCCCTCATGACAGATTTGACAAGGTAGATACTGTTTGCCTTCAATGTGCTATAGGAAATAGTTTCTCTGGAAAGATGAGCTGGAGTCCACAAGGCAGAGGACCACTATGTCAAGTTTAATAGTTCAGCCGATTACGAGACTCCCGCAAGATTAGAGTGTGGGGGTATCGGCATAGCCCTTGCAATTTGTGAAAAAAAGATAGTTTGATATTTTCCTAGCGTTGGTTGATTACTATGTGGAAATGGGGTAGGAAATATGTCCCCATGGTCTACTATTGGTGAACTTAAATTTTCAGGGTAGCAGGCTAGGCTCTGCAAGTAACGCCAATACTTAGTCTCTACAACACGGTTCATGGCTGAAGGCTAATCTATCCAACGTGGCCGAAGATTTGCCAGCTCCTGATTTGGAGGGTTAAAAGTACGGCTATGCGGCTGCGTCCATGCTTTACCATGTGGACGACTGGCCAATAGACACACGACGAACGTCGAATCTAAAAATCAATAAAGGGACCAAGGTCCAGGGCGGACATACACTTTCCAGGAACGACATGAATTGGCTCGACCAGGCGCGTGCTTGAAGCTCTTTTGCGTCTAATTGCCGTGTTGCCGTTGACATACAATGCCCTCGAGTTGTATGGATGTTTCTGGTCGTGATTGACTCATGAATGCAAGATGTCCGGTTTTTAGGTGCTTAAGATCATCGAAATCGGACAAATAATGACATTAAAGTCATGGTGACATCAGGGGTGCTCGAGATTGCACGCATCATGTCTCGGTATTGACACACCGAGGATGTAAACACCACGCTGATATGACGGGGACAGAGAAAGTCCCACATGCGTGACAGAGAAGAGCACGTCAATAGTACATAGCAGCACGCCAAAACATGATGATTTACCGTCCTCGGTAGCTTAGGAGGCACTCTCCTCTGCAAACGAGAAGGCGGTTTCGGCCGAAAACGAAAATGGAGACGGCAGCTTGCTTCGATTTAACAGACTAACGATGCGCGCGGAATGCCTAGAACGTTATCTTTTCGTTTTTATCTCAGGAGAAAAGGGGCTATGTGGCTGATCATCGATGGAAAGGCCTGCCTGGAATCCCTTTGGTAACCAAGGCAAGCTCGTGTGATTGCCCACAGAAAGGACGCTCAGGGGCTTCAGGAATGTCAAAAACCTCAAATCTTAATGCTAGAGGAGGTTATTCGCCGGTAGGGATGATGTGGTGGGAATGGCCGGCTGGGAGAGAATGCTATTGGAGGCTATTGGAATGGGGGATAGGCTAGAGCGACTCCATAGGCCGTGGTCTTTATCAGCCGTGTGCAGAGGCGCAAGTGCTCCTAGCCACACCTTTTTTTGTGCTTACAGTCGTCGTTTTCCTCAGACTAAGACATTGTGGCTTGCGACAATGGGGGGATATGAAGCCCAAGCTAGTAGGTTGGCAGGTGTTGCATCAGACGCACGCGTCGAATTCTTTTGCCTCTCATGCCAGCCAGTGCACAGAAACCGATGCGACCAAAATAAACATTCGGAATTTTCGCAGCGAACGGTAAATTCTCACAAGAGAATTAAACGTTTTTGACATGATAAGCTTGGGTAAAGTTTCAAATGTGCGTTTACGTCGTCCTAACCCCCTTTAGAACATAAGCTTCTCAAGACTTCGTGTCAGTTGAGGGGGGTTCGACCAGCAAAGTATTAGTGGGCATCAAGATTTATTTAGTGGCTCTTTTATGAGCCTAGGTAGCTCTGCCAGGAGGCGCCCCGAATCTAGAATCCAAGAAAGGAAAAACTACGATGTGGCTTGCCTGTTCTGCCCTGGGCCGATCCCTTTGGGGGTGAAGTATGGAGGGGGTGCTGGGAGACAAGGGCTCATGTAAGTCAAACTGATAGGCATGTACGAGGGGCCAAGCATATATAATACTCGAGTGACATGCAAATTATTATTGTCAGCTCTCCTTTCTGGTGTTTTCTCTCTCCCCCCTTTCCATCCCTTCGCCTGGATCTTGAGACTGCTGTTCATCGACCAACAATATGGGGACTCTTCTCAAAGGCGGCAGTCGCCCCAATCCCGTCCTTTTCGTCGTCGCATTCTTAGCTTTAATATCGCTGTTCGGGACATGGGATCTGCTCGTCAGGGTTGGTGCATGTGTTCTCCGCGACGCCCAATCCACATGCTGATGGCTAACATTGGGACGCAGAACGGTTATGACGAAAAGATACCGGGTGGTGATGCTCAGTTCGACTCCGAGGATCCGTTCCGGAACACGGGAGGCGATAGGCACTCGAATCAGGGAGACAACATCTATCCCTGGGAAGCATCCACGCAAGAATTTCCAGAGCCGCTGCCGCCTCCGCCCCCGGCCGATGAATACACGGCCGTGCTCACCGAGAACGACCCGGCACGCGTGGCCAATCTGGCGCCCATCGTGCTGCACTTCGCCTCGGTCCTGGGCCCCAAGTGGCCCATCACCTTCGTGACGCTCGAGGAGAAGTACAAGAACTGGACGGCGCCGCCGGCCTTCCGTCGTCTCGTCGACAACAAGCAGATCCGCATCCACTACCTGCCGCCGGGGACGGAATTCCCCTCGCACGAATCCGTCTCGCTCTTCCTCTCCGGGCCCTGGCTCTGGGAGCAGTTCACACAATACAAGCGCATCCTCATGTTCCAGGTCGACAGCATCGTGTGTGCCAACTCGAAGCACAGCGTCGAAGACTTTGTCGAGTTTGACTTGATTGGCGCACCAATCAAGCCAGGTATTGGGTTCGGGTTCAACGGCGGCCTGTCGGTGCGAAACCCAAAGATGATGCTCGCCATCTCAGAGGACCTGCAGAGGAGGAAAGAGACGGACCCCAACGTGCAGAGCGAGGTCGACTACGAGGACCAGTGGTTCTACCGCAAGATCAAGGAGCGCGGAGGCAAATTACCGGAGCCGGAGATCGCAGGGAGGTTTTCGGTCGAGACGCATTACTATGAAAAGCCATTGGGATATCACCAGGTGCAGAAGTTCCAGCAGGACCATCAGGAGGAGATTGACAAGTATTGCCCGGAGGTAGCGATGATTGGAAAGGGATCACATTTCCGGTGAAGAGGATATAGAGTAAGATGAGAGAGAGCGATATTCCACACTACATAATGAGAATTACAGTTGAGCAAACTTGGGGATGAGAAATTCTCATTCATGACGCGATGAGGCATGAGGTTGTTTTATTCGCCAGGCCGTCGACTTCGACGTTTCTGGGGTAAGGGGCTCAGGACTTCCTGATGACGAACTTTGTGAGAGAGAAAGAGAGAAGCCTCTATCTCGGGATATGAACCACGAGTTCCATTCTACAGAGCAGTAATAGCTGTTCTCAGATCGGGATCGCGATTATGAACCAACCCTGTCGGAGGTGGATAGCTAAAACGGGGTAACAAGGGTCTGTTTTATAGGGGAGCACCTCAAATATAGTGAACGGCCGCGACACCTCCGATGCAGGCTATATGTCACACGGACCACTGCATATATCGGGGCATGCATTCAACCCATGCACCCGGCTATTGTTTCCCATATAAAACTAACGGGGATGTCATTTTGTGCATGAAAACCTTCAAATCGGTAATTACCGAATAGACGGTTATATAATCAACCCAATAACCCCTAGACAGTCTCTAATGAATGGAAGCATCTTTTTTTACCCCATAAGTGGTGGGCAAATTGACTGCGTGACAGTTATGAGCCCAGTACCTCATGGTGACAATTACCAATTGAAAAACCGACTTCCAGAAGGGAGCAGTTCAGACTTATGCCATAGACAAGGGCACTCAATTGACGAAGTTACCGACCCATGAGACTTTGGCAGTCAAGTCCACCAAACAAAACATCAATTCCAATCACACAAGGCTGAACGTTGAAGTGTTGAAACATTCAATCACAAAAGAACTTCTGGTCATCAATTCATATCATCAACACTTATCAAAAAATCACAAAAAGTTCATCTCAACTCAGGGGGACTTACCACATCTGAGGAGTTGAACCCAGGACTCTTAACTTGAACCTTATATAAGTTCATGCTCGACCATACCACTGATACGCAGCCAGGAGGGTTGGAATTACGAAACGGAAGAGACACCTAGTTGCTCATTTTATGCCTCTGAAAGCTTCGGGCAGATAAGACGAACAGGTGGTTCACTTTATAGTCTTCGTGTAACGGAACCGATAAGACTTTTTACAAATTGCGAAAACTCCACAACCCTGAATTGAACCCACGAAGGGGAGCTTGCCAGTCTTACGGTCCTTGCGAATAGCTACAAGTTGGGTGGCTAGACCAACTACACTAAACGGCAGGTTCATTAGACAGGGGGGGCGTCTTGCGTTTTGTTGAGAATTGAGGCGTTGAGATTGGCTATATACCCTCAAACCTCTAGGCAACAATCGACAAAATCACCAACTTGAAACAAGAAGTGTCTAGTCACGAACTCAATCTTGGCCACGGCGAAAAATCAACTGCACAACGATCAGAAGAGAGAGACCAGTTCTCTTTTCAAGAGAGATCATGAATTCAACTACGGAAACTGCAAAATACACACAGCGGCTACAGACTGACAGCGACTGGAACCACTGGTTCAACAACTTACAGATGCTGGCAAACGTTCATGAAGTCTGGGACTATGTGAATCCAAAAGGAACCAAGATTAATACTAAGCCAAGATTGGAATTCCCAGACCCAAAAGACCTCAGACAAGAAGAACGAGCAAACTATAGCAACGTTATCAGCTATAGAAAAGCTATCTATCAAGAAGAAAAAGACCAATACAACCAGGTTCGGCGAAGTCTTCTAGAAATTCACAGTTGGATCATGAACACTGTAGCAGCCACTTATATCAGCCAAGTCAGCAAGGAGCAAACAGTCAGGGATATCATAAAAGCTCTTGAAAAACAGCTAGCGCCAGACAACTTTGGGAGACAACAAATGGTATTGGAAAGATATAACAAGCATATGCTATCAATCAAAAGAGCAAAACTTGGAGGATGGCTCATAATCTATCGAGAAATCATGGATGAAGCCCAAACAATCGGAATCCCTGCTCTCAGCGATCCAGTTACTCAAGTCTCTGAGTTCTTGAAAGCAGTCAAGCAAATTGCACCAGATTACTACACATCTGCCTCTTACGACTTCACAAAGCGATACAAGGATGACCCAACCTACAGTTCGATCAGCAAGACTGCTGGAATTGAGCAAGCTAACGATTTCCGCAGTTGGGTGAGAACTTTCCACCCAGACTGGCTGAATGCTGCTCCATTAAAAGACACGAGTTTCGCTACTTGGCAAGGAGAAAACGAACAAGGAATAAAACAGGGGGCAAAACGAGAGCAAAAGTGTGCAGCTTGCCCAAACGAAAGTCACCGATTTGTTGATTGCAAACATGCCAACCCTAAGAAGCGAGGCCCAAACTATCATGAAGATAATCCAGAAAATAAGAAAGCACTGGAAAGATTGAATGAGTATCTCCAGAAGAAACCACACTTAAAAAGAATAGTTGAAAAACTACGAAAAGGGGCAAGCGATCAGCAGTCTCAAAAGTCCCCAGATCGAGCAACATCTTCCTCAAACTGGAGAAACACTACACAATCATCATCCCACTATACTCAAGAAGTGTCTGATGGAGAAGGATCACTCTCATCTTTCGTCACTATCGTCAATCAAGGAGAAGCAAGTCTCTATTCAGGATTCCCACTGTCAGACAGTGTGATAGTAGACTCAGGAACAGGATTCCACATCTGCAACGACTCCTCAAGACTTCATGATCTCGACTACACAGTCACAAAAGACTTCACCTCTGGAGGAGGAGATGTACATGCAATTGCGAAAGGCACAATGATCATCAAACCAAACCAAGGCGGCAAATCCAACAACAAGGAGATCAAAGTCAGAAATGTATGGCTTGTGCCTGGATACCCAACATCGCTCCTTGGGACAGAACCGCTGAAGCAAAAAGGGATCATCTTTACAACAGGAATACCGGGTCTTATCGACTCAAAAGGCAGACTTCTATTCAAAACACCAAACCGATATGGTCAATACATTATTGAAGCTGGCCCAGCTCTGCTGAACAATACCTCGTTCAGCAATACCGAGAAGACTGTGAGATTCAGCCCAACCGTAGAAAGGAAACCAACCAAAGGTTTTCAGTCAACAAGACAACCACTCCCAACATCATCAGCAGAAGCCAAGTTGTGGCATGAGAGACTTGGTCATCCAGGCGCTGAGGGACTGGAACAGCTACTTAAAACAGCTCTTGGGATACAGATAAAAGGAATCACAAAAGTGGAATGTGATGCCTGTGCTGTTGGGAAGGCAACTCGCCAAATTTCCCGCAGAAACCCAGACCATTGGCCAACTGCTGTAGGAGATTATCTATCTCTCGACTTCTTTACACTTAGCAAAGCATACAATGGGGAGAAGGTAATCCTGCTGGTCAGCGATGGCTGGTCAGGGTTCTTCTGGATAAGAACTCTTCGTACTCGAAAGGAGGGACTACAAGCTATGACAGAATTAGCAGCATACCTCGAGAGACAGTGCTTTATCAAAATCTCTATTCTACGCCTAGATTGGGAGGTTGCTTTACGCAATGCGTTTGAACTATGGGCAGCTGTGAATGGATATATGATTGAAAGATCAGCTGAGTACACTGGTGCTCAAAACCCAGCAGAAAGAGCTGGAGGTGCTGTGTTTATGATCATGAGAGCACTTCGATTTCAATCTCGCTTTCCTGAATTGATGGCACCAGAGCTGGCAAAAGCAGCAGTTTATCTGTCAAACAGATTGCCTCGAAGACGCCACAAGTGGCAGACACCATTGGGGTTGGTCAACACTTGGCTGAACTCTCATCAACAGTCTACCCACAAGAGGGCTGAAAAGCCACAACTAGCACACTTGAGGCGATATGGCTGCAGAGCTTACCCCTTGACACAAAACTACAAGAGAGGAATAGAAAAGTCAAACAAAACTGCGCCAAGAGCTCATATTGGCTATCTATGTGGTTATGACAGCACAAATATCTACAGAATCTGGATCCCAGCAATAGGAAAAGTCATGAGAACTAGAGACGTTACTTTCGACGAAAACACGCTGTATGATCCAAGGATTGAGGATACCAGCAAGTTAAGCCAAATGGAACTTGAATTCCAGTTCACAGAAATGGATATCCCATTCACAAATCCAATTGAACAAGACCTAGACACAGCTGGCTGGGATGGAGAAGATTTCAGCGATAATATTACCGGGCCACTACCCGCCTCGAATCCAGCCGCTCAAGAAACAACACCGGCAACACCGATGCAGGAGAAAGAATCAGGGGATTTTCAATTACCTACACCCACTTCTCTATCACCAACAGTACAGCTGTCAGATTCTCAAACAACTGAGGGGGTGAGGGAGACTCCAGAAACTCCAGAAGTATCGCCAACTCCAGAACAATCGGATCAAAGTGAGACCATAGAGGAAACCTCAACAGACCGACTCGAACTACAACAGACACCAGTCATAGAATTGGAACCAGAAGAAATCATACCACAAGATTCCTCCACAGTAATCCCAAACATAGCGAGAAGGGGAAGACCTCGTGGCAGCAGAAATCACAACATCTACAATCGATCAGCCCCTCTTGGTCAAACAAATCAACAGCCACCAGAAGCAACAAGATCATCACAAAGACTGAGAAGAGCAAGAGAATCCCACTTCACACTGCAATCTACGGATACAGTAAAAGGAAGAGATCAATGGGATGCATCAGCAGATGATTTAGGCAATCCACACCAAAAGACACTTCCACCAGTTCCAAAGAATTACAGTGAAGCGATCAAACACCAATACAGTCACAAATGGATTGCTGCAATGAATATTGAACATTTGATCGAGAAGAACGCAGTATGAATCTGGAATTTGGTAGTAAGTATACGGAGTTCTGAATAGTATCATTTCTGTATTTGAATGAGAATACAGAGAATCAACCTACAACAGGTTGCCTCTCTGAGGGGGTGTGTCACACGGACCACTGCATATATCGGGGCATGCATTCAACCCATGCACCCGGCTATTGTTTCCCATATAAAACTAACGGGGATGTCATTTTGTGCATGAAAACCTTCAAATCGGTAATTACCGAATAGACGGTTATATAATCAACCCAATAACCCCTAGACAGTCTCTAATGAATGGAAGCATCTTTTTTTACCCCATAAGTGGTGGGCAAATTGACTGCGTGACACTATACTACTAAGATCAGCCTCATCATCAATACACGGTGTCATTCGGAATTATCCCAATGGATTGGGTGCCTATCGGAATTAGCTGGGTACGGGCCGGGTCGCACTGAAGTGGCCTTACGAACCGGATGATAAACACGAGGCCCAGGTAGGTTAAATTGGAAAAGAAGACCAGAATAAGCAGAACAAAAAGGAATATGTGAAACTTGACTTAAAGCGAGCGAATGGCATAGGCTTAAACAAGCTTCTTCAAGATTAGAGGTTTGTATAGGTGCGCAAAGCACTCACCGCCTTGGGTGAACAAAATCCCGGTCGACCATGACGACGATATGGCCTCGAGACGAAGACGAACGAACACCTTAGCTGAGAACGGTGATAAAATCCGAAGCCGGAAGCTTCAGGGGGGCAGTTTACTACGCGGTACGTAGTGCCATGCACTACCGGTATGTAAGGTGTAGGTACCTAGGTACACCGCATGCGCTCCAGTCAGAAACCAGCGGCAGAGACTGGTCGGAACTGCCTCTTCACAAGAATTGCACAGACCAAAACCCCCGGAATTTCGGCAATACACAAAATCCGCTTCCCCGCGATTGATCGAATTGAGTGGGTCCTCATCCATTAATCGCGGCTGTCATGACTCGTACCCACATCTGATGCGCCCAGTAACGACCCAAACAACTGTGAGGGCCTGCTTTCTCCCGAATGGGGGGGAGTCATCCATGGCCGGAGTTGCACCGGACCGGCCCTCAGCTGGTCAGAGTCGCCAGACTAGGAAGCACCACGCACCCACCTCACCTGCGCTTAAGGTGTAGAGTCACAAGTCAGACCATTCCTTGGTTTTTTGGTCCCCCGTCTGCAGCTCTTTCGGCACTTCGCTGTCTCGGAATCTTTTTTGTTCAACACCTTTCTCTTTCACAGGTATAGACCCTCCCGAAAAAACTCCTCCTTTTTCCCCTTTCTCCTTCCTTCACTTTTTCTTTTTTCTTTCTTCTCATCTTCTGACAAACCTTGAAGAAACAGATCAAAATGCTGTCTACTGCCAGAATCGCTACCAGGCAAGCTGCCGTTCGCCGTGCGGCTGCTCTCCCCATCTCCGCCGCGAGAGCCGGCTCTACCTGGGCCAACGTTCCCCAAGGTCCTCCCGTATGTCTTAAACACTCTCCAAATACCAATTGGATGCGCCACTGTTGCTAACGAATTCTTGCAGGATGTAAGTTGTAAAAGCTGCTGTAGCTGAAGCTGAAGCTGCACGAAGCCCTCAAAAAATCGCATCATTTTGAGAGCAAACTTGCTAACCGGCCGATTTTTCTTTTCGTGACAAACAGGCCATTCTGGGTATGACGCATCTCTCCCGCAGCTCCCGCACGCAGCTTCGAACTCAATTGAGCTAACGAAAAGGCAAACAGGTATCACCGAAGCCTTCAAGGCGGACAAGTTCGAGCAGAAGATCAACCTCGGTACGATGAACCCCGCCATGACACATGCTTAAGACCAAGCTGTCACAAGCTTCTTCCTTTACAGCCTCCTTCTCCTGAATAGCTTCCCACAACCGACCAGACAGCTCCTAACTATTGTAAATACAGGTGTCGGAGCTTACCGCGATGACCAGGGCAAGCCTTACGTTCTGCCCTCCGTCCGCGCCGCTGAGGAGAAGGTCGTTGCTGCCAAGCTGAACAAGGAGTACGCCGGCATCACCGGTGTCCCCGAGTTCACCAAGGCCGCCGCTGTCCTCGCCTACGGCTCTGACTCCTCCGCGCTCGACCGCCTTGCCATCACTCAGTCCATCTCTGGTACTGGTGCTCTGCGCATCGGTGGCGCTTTCCTCGCCCGCTTCTTCCCCGGCGCGAAGAACATCTACATCCCTACCCCCTCGTGGGCCAACCACGGCGCTGTCTTCACCGACTCCGGCCTGGCCGTCCAGAAGTACCGCTACTACGACCAGAAGACCATCGGTCTTGACTTCGAGGGCATGCTCGCCGACATCAAGGCTGCGCCCAAGAACTCCATCTTCCTCTTCCACGCCTGCGCCCACAACCCCACTGGTGTTGACCCTACCCCCGAGCAGTGGCGCGAGATCTCCGACGCCGTCAAGGCCGCCGGCCACTACTCCTTCTTCGACATGGCCTACCAGGGCTTCGCCTCCGGTAACACCGACACCGATGCTTTCGCTGTCCGCCACTTCGTCAAGGAGGGCCACAACATCGCCCTTGCCCAGTCCTTCGCCAAGAACATGGGTCTCTACGGCGAGCGTGTTGGTGCCTTCTCCATCGTCGCCGAGGACGCCGAGGAGCGCAAGCGTCTCGACTCCCAGGTCAAGATCCTCGTCCGCCCTCTGTACTCCAACCCCCCCGTCCACGGTGCTCGCATCGCCTCCACCATCCTCAACGACGCTGCCCTGAACAAGCAGTGGCTCGGTGAGGTCAAGGGCATGGCCGACCGCATCATCACCATGCGTGCTCTCCTCAAGGAGAACCTTGAGAAGCTCGGCTCCGCCCACGACTGGTCTCACATCACCAGCCAGATCGGCATGTTCGCCTACACCGGCCTCACCCCCCAGCAGATGGACGCCCTCGCCAAGGAGCACTCCGTCTACGCCACCAAGGACGGCCGTATCTCCGTTGCCGGCATCACCAGTGGCAACGTCGGCCGCCTGGCCGAGGCCATCTACAAGGTCAAGGGTTAAGCGCTTTTGATGGTGTGGTTTGTTTTGATTTTCAAGGCGGGCCTTGGCCTGGTCAAAAGCCGAGCTAGCTTGCATTTTTAAAGATATCATTGGGTTTTCTTGGAAGGTGGTTGGATCCGAAAAATGGGGGTATTGTACGACAAGGGCACAGAGGCCTTCTCTTTAGCAAAAGCCAGTATCAACCGGCCGGCGGGTATAGAACGCCGGGCACCCTATGTAGACCGCACACAAGCATCCCAGCTGTGTACAATATAGCGACACGTCTTTCAATGCATTTGCGCACGCACTCACTACCGTCTTGTGTTTTCTCTTGGTTTGCTGACTTACGCCGTTCCCAGCCGGTCCAGATCCCTCTTGGCCTCGTCCAACTGCCGCTCTAGCTCACGATACTTGCGCGCAATCTCCCTCATTGTTCTCTCCTTCCCTTCGTCGCCCTCGACGCCAACACCGTACCCCTCCAACTCTACCGTCAACGTTGTGATGGTGCTCTCCAACCTCATACGCGCATCCCTCAGGTGCGTCGCGTAGTTTCTCAGCGCGGTCACCATCTCGGGCGAGTACACCTCTCTCCTGACGCTCTCCCGTGCAGCGACGGCCTCTACCTCGGCCTTTTGCGCCTCGAGACCCGTCTCTGCCGCGCGGAACTCGAGGCTGCGCGCGACGAGCCCGTGCTTCGCCTCCAGCGCCCTCACGAGCAGCGTCAGCGCCGCGGCGTGTTTGTCCAGCAGATCCGTCAGGCTCGCGGCCACCCTCAGCCGCTCTTTCGACAGGGCGTGCTTGGCTTCCCTTACGTCGGTCTCGAGTTTGTGGTACGTTGTGTTCAGGCCCGGTACCGTCCTGTGTAGGAACGACGGGTTTGTCGTCGGGTTCGCTATGCGCGCGAGGGAGACGGCGGACGTGTGGAGCGTCGAGGAGACGAGCTCGCCTAGCTGCGGGAGGAGAGACTGGAATTCGGTAAAGGGGGGGTTGGATAGGAGGATGTTTGCTGATTCGGCGGAGAGAGGCTCGGAGGCCGTGAGGAGGGGCGGGAGCAGGAGGAGGAGGTCCAGGAGGGATTCGGGGAGGGGCGGCGCCGAGGGCTGTGCGGGTGCCGGATGGGATGTCGAGCGGGGACGGATGGACCGCTGCGTTGGTTTAGGTTCTGGCGGAGCTGTGGTCGAGAGGGCGCTTATTAGGAGGTGTTCTTTCGCCGTGGTGTATCTGTGGTCTGCTAGTTCCTGGCGGGTGTTAGTCGGTGAGATTGCGGGTCGGTATGGGGTGGCGGGCAGTCAAATGGTTTGAGACACACACACACACACAGAGAGAGACAGAGAGAGAGAGGTTTGGGGAGGAATGAGGGATGATTTACATTTTGAATTGCGGACTGCTCTTTGGTATATGGTTTCTTGGATGAACCATCTGGGTTTAGGATGGCTGTGGTGAGTGTGTGATGCAACGCCGCGAATTCGGGGTTGTTTTGGAGGACCGATTGCTCTACCGGGGGGAGCATTGCGATTATCGACAGATTGCTCGCCGCTATGTGTAATTTCAGATTATATTGTATATCGATACTGAATGACGGACTCCCGAACTGCGGTCTTCTTGTCGGCAGCTAGTCTAGTCTCAAGCTTGGAGGGGTTGTGAGACGCTACAGCTCCAGTATACCCTCCGGCCCGGACCCCGGTCGCGAAACCCACACGCAATCACCTGATTCCACCCGATCAAGTACCTCCAAGCACTCACCCCACACTCCCAAACAAGCCAATCAAAGGCCCCAATTCCCGGAAGGCGGAACATCAGCCGCCCGAAGGTGCAGCTCCGAATTCCCAAAAAATCATCCAAGTTCATCGCGAGCTTCAGAACCAGGACTCGACGACGACGCCGACAACGAAAACGACCGCCTCCCCCGCGCGCCACACACCCGTCCGTCCGACCACCACCCGATGCGAAAATTCTAAACAGAAAACCACCGATTCTTTCATCTCGTTCATTCGAACGACCCCCTAATCACACATACAAGAAGAAAATGCGCCCTAACACCCTCAGGCCAGGGTCATCCCTCGCGGCCGCCTTCTCCTCCCTGACGCTGAGCACATACACCTCGACCTCTGCGCGCAGCTTTTCCACCTCGCAAAAGCTCGCGACAAAAACGATCCCCCTCCCAAAGATCCCCACGGCGCCGGTCCCGCCGTACCCCTACGGCCCTCGCATCATCTACAAGCAGTCCAACAACGGCCTCTACGGCACAGCCCGCGTGCGCCGCGGCCACAACGTCTCGGAGAAGCACAACCAAATCTCGGCGCGGTCCTGGCGTCCCAACGTGCAGCGCAAGAAGCTCTGGTCCGACGCCCTGGGCGCCTGGGTCCGCACCAAGCTCACGACCAGAGTGCTCCGCACGATCCGCAAGGAGGGCGGCCTCGACAACTACGTCACCAAGAACAAGGCCGCGCGCGTCAAGGACCTCGGCCCGGGAGGCTGGAAGCTCCGCTGGCTCGTGCTGCAGACCCCGTCCTTCCGCGAGCGCTACCTCGCCGAGCGCGAGAGGCTGGGCGTCGAGAGGCCCATCCCCGCCGACAACACCGACCTCGTGCCGTTCCTCGTCAAGGCCGCCATCCGCGGAGGCCTGCACAAGGTCAGCGGTCTCGAAGTCGAGGAAAAGGCGGAGCAGATGATGGAGGAGGAGTTTACGCTCGGCGACGAGGCGGAGCTGGACGCCTTGGTGGACGACGCTTTTGAGGAGGTTCACGTTCCTGGGCTTGAGGACGCTGCAGCTCAGGAGAAGAGAATATGATGAGGGAGCGAGCGAGCGAGCGAGCGAGTGAGTGGGTGGGTGGGTGGATATGTGTATGTGTGGGCGTGAGAGGGCAAAAGGCAATGAAAGGAAAAATAGTCACCCTCTGCTGTTTGTTTTCAGATATATAAAGAATAGGGGCCTTATTGTATCATATGTACCAAAAAAAAAAAAATTCTCATGTCATAAAAACACATTTCTGGATTATGTCCAGCGCGTTTCTGTCTAAAAAGAAATACAATGCTTTCCGTGACCTCCTTTATGGAAAAACAAAATCCCCCCTCCTGTAAAATGGATATCTCTAATACGCCTGCAATGTGTGTCTGCCCATCAGATACAACGTCGTCAAACCCCTTTTTTGTTTAGAACAAAAAAAAGACAACAAGAAAAAAAAAAAAGATCATCTAAAAACGCAAGTCCCAGCCAATCTTGGGTCCCAGCTTGGGAAGCTCGTCAGCGACGCTCTGCACGTCCTTGTCGCCACGGCCACTCAGGCAGATGACAATGTCCTCGTCCTTCTTCATCGTCTTGGCGAGCTCGATGGCGCCGTAGATGCCGTGCGCCGATTCGAGGGCAGGAATGATACCCTCGAGCTGGCTCATGAGGCGGAAGCCGATGAACGCCTCGGCGTCGGTGGCGGCGACGTACTTGGCGCGCTCGCTGTCCTTCCAGGAGCTCAGCTCGGGGCCGACACCGGGGTAGTCCAGGCCGGCGGACACGGAGTGAGTCTCGGCGACCTGGCCGTGCTTGTCCTGGAGGATGTAGGTCTTGACGCCGTGCAGGACGCCCTTGCTGCCGCCGGAGAGGGTGGCGCTGTGCCTGGCGGTGTCGATACCGTCGCCGCCGGCCTCGACTCCGAGGAGCTTGACGGAGGGGTCGTTGGCGAAGGGGTAGAACATGCCGACGGCGTTGCTGCCGCCACCGACGCAGGCGACGACGGCGTCGGGCAGCTTGCCCCTCTTCTCGAGCATCTGCTGCTTCGTCTCGTTGCCGATGACGGACTGGAAGGTGCGGACGATGGTGGGGAAGGGGTGAGGGCCGATGGCGGAGCCGATGATGTAGTGGGTGGTGTCGAGCTCGACGACCCAGGCGCGCATGGCCTCGTTGACGGCGTCACGCAGCGTCTTGCTCCCGGCCTCGACGGCGACGACCTTGGCGCCCAGGAGCTTCATGCGGAACACGTTCAGCGCCTGCCTGCGGACGTCCTCGGCGCCCATGTACACCGTGCACTCCATGCCGAACTTGGCGCACACCGTCGCCGTGGCGACACCGTGCTGGCCGGCGCCCGTCTCGGCGATGATCTTGGTCTTTCCGAGGCGCTTGGCGAGGAGCAGCTGGCCCAGAGCGTTGTTGATCTTGTGCGAACCGGTGTGGTTCAGGTCCTCACGCTTCAGCCAGATGTTGGCACCGCCGGCGTGCTCCGTCAGGCGCTCCGCCAGGTGCAGGTGGCCGGGACGGCCCATGTACTCGTAGTATGAACGGTACTCCTCCCAGAAGGACGGGTCGTCCTTGATCTTGTTGAAGCCCTCCTCCAGCTGCGACAGGCAGTCCATCAAACTCTCGGGGACGTACTGGCCGCCGAACTCGCCGAAGCGCTCGGGGATCTTGCCGTGCATGGCGGCGAGCTGCGCGACCAGCTCGCTGTCCTGGTCGGCGGTGATGGCGTCGACAGTGGGGTTCTGGGGCTCCTTGGCGCCGGCGATGGCCTCGACGATGCCGACCTCGCGGGTGGTCTCGTTCTGGGCGTCGTCACGGCCGCAGAGGTACGCGCAGTACTTCTCGACGTCGTTGAACAGCTCGCCGGGGGCGGCCTTCTGGAGGGTGGTGATGATCTGGCTACCGACGACGACACCGTCGGCGAGCTGGGCGACGCTGAGGAAGTGCTCGCGGGTGCTGACGCCGAAGCCGACGGCCGCGGGCTTGTCGCCGCTGTACTGCTTCACGCGGTCCAGGAGGGCGGGGAGGTTGGCGTTGAGGGAGCCGAGGGCACCGGTGACACCCTGACGGGACACAACGTAGATGAAGGAGTCGGCCAGCTTGCAAAGAATCTTCATGCGGGCGTCTGATGTGGCGGGGGCGATCAGGGGAACATATGAAAGTCCGCCCTTGGTGCAGAGCTTGCGGAAGGAGATGGCCTCCTCGGGGGGAAGGTCGACGACGATGAAGCCGTTGACACCGGCGCTCTTGCAGTCGTTCAGGAGCCTCTCCTCGCCGTAGCTGAGGAGGGGGTTGTAGTATCCCATCAACATCACAGGCGCCTTGAGGCCCTGATTCCTTGCGTCCTTGACCATCTGGAGGGTTGACTCGATCGTGACGCCATGTTGCAGCGCAACCTGTGTTTGAATGTTAGTCTCAGTTACAGCCGTAGAATCCCCCTCCCACAAGGAATACTACTAACAGTGTTGGAGGTCTGAATTGTAGGGCCGTCGGCAATCGGGTCGGTGAAGGGTGCGCCAAGTTCAATCACATCTAAAGCAGCATTAGTATCTTTTGCCTCCTTGACTAAGGCGTATGGAGAAAAACTCACCAGCACCTCCCTTCTCCATGGCCAGCAGGACACCGGGTGTGTCCTGGGGCGTGGGGTAACCAGCAGTTACATAGGTAACAAGCGCAGACTAAACGTTTCCACAGTCAGTCATGTTATTCTGCATCACCAATGGCTCGATCTTGGCGGTGACGGGAAGATGGTGATGTTGGCGCGGGGCCCCCGCCATTGTTGCAACGAGGGGCAACAAGACCGACGATGGGAGAGAATAACTCACCCTGCCCTGGGCCTTGCAGCGCTGAAATGTTTGCCTGAGACCTTCCATTTTTGAATATGAACCTGTCAATTGAGGGGGTATCGAAGGAAGTTGACTCGGTAATTATCGCTTGGAGAGAAACAATTGCGAGGAAATGTTGGACGGCGGCGGTTACTTTTAAGTAGTAGATGGGAATTATGATTTCAACGTGGGGGGGGGGAATAGAATGGTCGGGGGAGTCACCGTAGAATTGAGCGGAGGGTAGAGTGGGTCTGTAAGTCCAGCGGACGGGAGCTCCGACTCTACCGCCGCCTGGCTAGTCCACTGGAAAATCGCCCGCCCCCTACCAGTAAACATCACCTGTAACAGCGCTGTACGTACGGTATGCTTTTGGTGCAAGGGGTCCAATCTGTACCCCACATCCGCCACCTCACCGATGCCGGAAAGAGCCCTATTTCGTCAGTATTCCAGCCTTCTGAGTGGCCCAGATGTCGCCCATCGAGATACATCTACCCTGGCCAGATTCGACTCCAGCGGCGGAGCCACACACACACGGACCTCGATTCCCACGGGTGGCGGGGCGGAGATGCCCAAAAGAGGTGCAAAGGAACAATCAATCACTTTTTTGTCATCCACCGGCCCTCCGTCTTTGCCGCTCCGGCAAGGCAGACGAAAGTCCTCTTCTCCGCCATACGCATTTGCAACAGCGACTCTAATTCTCCGTCAGTCGAAGGTTTTCCGTATCGAACGTCCCGCATTTCATGGGTCATCCCTCGGCGTTTTCAGCCCGAACCTGCCTTCTCAACTGCCATCCTTTGTCCAACCAAGTCTTAAACGTTTTGCCAGGCCAAGGAGGGCTGTTTATGAACTTGTCGTCTCGTCTCGTTTGCATTCTGTCACAGCACTTAAAACAGCTCCGAGAAGGGACATCATGCTTTGTTGGTTGCATCTGGCAGTATATTCAACTTTTTAAGCTACCTAGGGCAGATATATACCGAATAGACATTCTGGTAGCTAATAAAGCTGCCGCGAACCAAATCATTGCGGTGGAATCAAAACCGATAGAAAAGTATTGAGAACCTTTGTAGAAACGAAAACAAACGTTGCGGCGACTGAGCCGTTGGTATCTTTTGAGACTTCCTTTCCCTCCCCTTCCCTTGAGACAAGGTAAATATTTATCATCATCCAATCCCAGTTATCTCATGCTCCTTTATTCGTAATATTCTTCGGACCTGTCATAAATGAGGGATATCTCTCGGCTTCGGTCCAGCCCAGGCCGGAGGTATTAGGTCTCCAACCTATTTTTTTTTATTTCTTTTTCTTTCTTTTCGTGATGTTTTTGCATGCTTCAATGTTTGACGTTGACATGGAAACTGATTCAAAACTTGTTGGATGATGCGGTATCAAAATGGCCGTATGAGCTTGTCCTCTCATGGCCTTGCATGGGTTGTGCTCGGCCCATGCTGGTCTTCTTGATTGTCTTCTCATCCCGGACCTCTCTTGAGTAGTGATCTTCATCGACCGCCGAGCCGTCACTGCCGAATTGCGGGAATCGCGCGTCGTTGCTGTTGGATCTGGGCGGGCTTCTCGGGCTCAAAGCAGGACGATCATCTCCAGTGTACCGCAGCCCGCCTTCAGCGCGGCCCTTGTCTGGCATGGCCATGCCTACCAGCGCACGAATGACGCCGATAAGCACGATGATGACATAGATGAGGAGGATACCAGTAGAGATCAGGGCTTCCTGGATGATACCTCGGCGAAGCCATTCGGTGACATGAGTGACGGCGCCGGTGACCTCGTCGGTAGTCACGGTCGATGGCGACGCCAGGAACGTGTTGAGATCCGAATCACCCGAGATGGATTTCTGAGCGCCGAGGCTGAAGGTGTCGTTGGCAAACAGGGGGAACGAGACCTGCGAGTGGTCGTGTACCCAAGTAAGCCCCTTTTGGACAGACTCGACTTTGAGGCCGATTGTGCAGCGGACAACGTCCTTGATAGGGTTGATGAGGATCGTACCGTTGAAGACAGTCTCCAAGCCCGTGGTCATGGTGTTGGTGAACGTGTTCAGAGTGTCGTTGACGGCCGAGGTCGCGTTCGTGACGTATCCGAGAAGGTCGTTGTTGATCTCGTTCTGAGTAGATAGCACAACGCTGTTGGCATCATCGGCCCACTCCTTGGAGACGTCTTCAAGCGTGTTGACAACATCCCCTGCAAAGTTACCGACCTGTCTGGCAAGAGCAGGCACCTCTTTCTCGACGCCCACGAGGATGATGTACTGGCAAAGACAGGAGAAAAAGCCAGCGATAGCAAGAGCCAGGACAAAGAGTGCCGGGAGGGATGTGGCATAAGCGATGGCCCAACGGACCATGATCTGGCGCTTGCCCTTGAAATAAGACGAGAACTTGATGCCGTAGCTTGCTGTCATCGGGCGAGAAGCGATGTAAACCACATCCATCGAGTCATATTGGCCGCTGGAAACAATCCTGGCGTGCTTGCGTTCGCGCCTCCAACGCATAATCTCGAGATATGCCATGGGCGCAATAACCAACGCAGCCAAGATGGAAAGGACGACGATGAAAATGATGCGAGCTTTTCTGATCTTGTCCCTCAAGCCGTCGAAAAACTCGGCAATGTCGTTGTTCGTCGAGCAGAACTTGAGGGCCTGCTTCTGAGCAACAGGGAAGATGGAACGGTCAAACTTGTAGCCCTTGTAGGCATCGTTGATGGTCTGCTTCAGCAAGTTGAACGGGAAGGCAATCGCTTCAGCAGTCATGTTTTGAACTTCTTCAAACGTCGGGAGGTCGTCGTTGAGCTTGTTGAGGTCACTAACGAAGCCATTGGTGTCAATTTTGATGTCACGCAGTTCGCTGACAGGACCTGTGAAATCGACCTTGGGGAAGTCGGGAAGGACTTTGCCGAGAATGGAGTCTTCAATGGCGTCGGCAGCCTTGTTGATGCCATCCTGTAAACTCTTGGCCTTATCATCAATGGTGTTGGTGATGGCGCCCACCGCCTGGTTCATGGCATCCGTGACCTTTTTCGTGACATCAGCAGCCACGTCGAGACCACCGTGAATGAAGGCGGTGATGAGACAGGTGTACATGGAAGTCAACATGTTGATGACAAATATGATGAGGTTCTGGACACCAGTGAGGACAAGACCAAGCACAGCGACCATGCCGTCAAGCGTCTTCTCGATGCCCTTGGCAGACAGCTCGTTGACGCCCACGGAGAGATAGTGAGGCATGGAAGCCATGGCGCTGCCAATATCCTCCACCTTGGAGCAGGCTGTCAACGCCTTCGTATTCGCTTCGTCGACATTGTCATTCAAGCTAGCGATGAGGATGACGATTCTGAGTAGGACGAGCAACAGTAATATTGTCCATCGGTTCAGCCAGATCTGAGAAAGCCTAGCAGTGAGGCCAAGATATGGTGTGATATAGGGAGAAGTGTCGGCTCGAGCTTGTTGGGTCTTTCTAAGCTCCGACATCTCGACCGAGTCGGATCTTAGGGAGTCGGGGACGGCCGGGTAGGCCTCCTCTTGTGGTTTCCGTGAGGTAAACATCTTGAGTCTATCGATGATGTAAGATATATGAATGCAAAGTTTCTTGGCCAGCAAAAAAGTGATGAAGAAAATATAAGAAATTCGAAGAGTCCAAATAAAATCAAGAGAGGAAGGGTGATGAGGTGTTGGTGGTTGACAAGCACAGCCGATTAGGTGTTGGAGGTGGTGATGACTGAATTAGATGAATCACTCAACGCAAAGGAAAAGAAAATAATGAAAATTGACAAAGGAAACTCGTCAAGCAAATGATACTAAACAAGTCTTCTATGAATCCATTGTTGATGGCTCTTTGATGTGAGAGTGAAGAATGTAGGTTGGCAGTGGAGAAAATTGTAAAAGGGAAGAGATACAATAAAAGGAAGGCACGACTAACACGACCGGGCCGCAGTAGGTCTTGCAGCAGCCGCGCAGCAAGGGGAGGAACACGGGACTAGGGTGAAAAAGAAAGGCTGCTTACTTGATTCACACCTCAATGCAGAATAATAAAGCCAGAAAAGGCCCTTTGGCCGTGGCCTTGGGGGAAATTGAACCCGGCACAAGCCCTTGTTTTCTTCTGGCGGCACCAGGTGAGGTGAGGTGAGAGAGTAGACTTGGGTAGAGCTCTTTTCTAAGCGCGCTCAACGGGTTGTTCTCAGCCAACCAAAGGCGCCGTCCGGGGTCGCGATGAGCGGCTGCTCAAACGCTGCTAAAGCAAGACGATATTTCCGGACGACGTTACGGGGCTTCTGAGTCTGAGTTTGTGTGGCCGTATCAAATGACACACAGCAGATTGACTCGATTGATGCTCGCTCGTATTGAGGCTCGGCTGACTGATATGGGTGAGCTCGCTTGGCGAAAGGAAAATGTTACTGGGTATGTTGGCTCGACAGTATTGATGCTCCTACATGAGTCCTATCGACTGGTAAGACTCAATGCTTGAAACTTGACTTGCACAATGAGGTGATATCACAAGAGCGAAACAACCCAGAATTCATCTAAGCCAGCAGTAAATGGCTTCGCGAATGGGGAGAAGTCGAGTGATATACAAATAGGTGTTTGAGTCACTGAGCAAGGGGACACCACGGAGCGACAGTTTGATGGTGCCCATCTTTCCAAAAGTCGCCATTGGGGGGGAACAGCAGAGGAAAAGGGCATTTTTAACTGAACCCGGTCTCATTCGTAGGTTCCGGTTCGTTCACAGGTCTCCCGGCAAGAATGCACTCTGACGCCATTGGGAGGCCGGGGCATGATTGCGGAGAGCTTCCCACCTTCAACCATCCCTCGTCCTAGTCCGTACTTATGATATCCTCGTGGACGAACTGCCCTGCCAGGCCCAATCGCTTGGTCGCAACCCCGGTGCGAGTCACGCTAGATGGTGCCGGTGGCTGTGCCAAACCTCTACAAGATCTGTTTGGTGCGTTGCGGGCGGAAGAAACAGTGAGTTGGCGTGGGTTTCTGTAGCCATGCTGAGTTTGCTGGATTTCCGGGGAGTTCTGCACGAAGGGTCATGGTGACTGGGAACAGGAAAGCAGGAACAGAGTAAAGATCGTCAGCCAGCGAACGAAAAGAGGCGACGGATGGCTGGCGCTTACAGGGGCCCCTCTGCCACTCGACAAACATTTTGCCCAATCATTGGGCTGAGACGGTCATTCGGCTCTCGCCGCTAGAATATAGCCCCTGTAAGAAAGATGGCAAGGACTGGCAACAACGGGCAAGAATGGGACCGGACCCTTGGTGTTCTGGCAAAAATTGTGTGGATTGTTTACTGGGCTGCCCTTTCCACCTTTTCACCCAAAGTCAGTCGGCCGATGGGCGATGATCAATGCCAAGCATTTGCCACTACAACCACAACGGTACAAAAACCGGTTTGTGACAGGAACGGTCTTTTTGGAAGCTGATCTTGGTCAGACGGCGGGAAAGCTTAAGGAATCCCACAAATCGTAGTAGTACCGGAAGGTAGGTAAATAGGCAGACAGGCACGTAGGGTAGGTAGGGCAGTTCGTCTAAACATAGGCAAGTTGCGCCCGGGGCAAGGTGAGGAAAGACGGGTACGGTATGGTACGGATAGGCAGGTACATTCCCAATTGTGGCATCTTCGACCTCACTCTTGCCAAGTTTTTCTTGGGCGCCGACTCTGACCTCTTCTTTCCGAGAAAGAGGCAGTGTATCGACGTAAGGCACGTTACAGCAGAAGGGAAACAGGTCATGTTGCAGTAGCACCGCGTCTCTCCTACCTTGGACCTTACCTTCCATCTTTCTTCCGCTGATTATCATCCTCCACTGATTTGCATTTGGCTCGGAGGGTTCTTGCGGCAACCAGCCATGTACCCACTAAACAAAGAACTCACCAGTGCCCTGTGCTTCCTTCCGTTTTGTGGGTCGTCTCAAGTCTTGATGCTGCGAGAGAATGATTGGCCGCTGTTGGCCCGCGTTCTGCGACGTTGGGCGCTTCGCTGCAGATGGTACGGGCTCTGAACCGCCAACGATGAAGTCGGCGCTTGAGGCCTATGGAACAAGGCCGGGCGATGGGATATTTAGATGAGGGCTCCACGATCAGAGTCGCCTACCAAAAAGGGCTCGTATCGTAAGATAACGACCCAAGATGGGTCTTTTGTCGCGTGTCTATCGACTTCGTACGCCTATGGATGGATTTTTTCCATCTTCTTGTTTTGCTTTTCAATTTCCCTCTGCCTGAGTCGCCCAAGTCTGATCACCCACATCCGACTCTGGAAGGCATGAATTAGACTTGTCTGCATTGTCGCAAACCAAGGTGGGAGTTTCCTGCTGCTCAAGCAAGCTGGTATCAGTCATCCTGGTTTGTTATGCTCTCAGCACTCTCTGAGTACACCCCTACTTACTTCCATTCGTTTAAGCTTTGAAGGGCTGTGACGTAAGGCGTGAATCGCAACCACTCACTCAAACCTGTTTGCTTGGCTGCGCCCTCGTCCTGCAGTAAGTGAGGGCAGCTGGGCAGCTGTTGTGTCTCTGGAGAAAACTTGGGGCACGTGCACTGTCTGGATTACATAACTCTGATAAGCCCTATCGGAAGGGAAGAGTAAAAGTCCGTATCATCCAATTTTTCACTGACGGAGGGGGGGACCACTTTCCAGCCTCTTCCTGCCTTGCCTCAGATCGCCCCTGCCCTTTTTTAATTCTGGACCCTCTCTAACTCTGCACACTGCAGCAGCTAATCTGCGTTGGCGCATTCTGTTTTCGGCAGGCGGTCTCTCCCCAAACTTCAAATCTTGCAACAACCTCGCCCTCGCCCTCGCCCTCGCATCTTGCCCTGGCCCTCTTCATCCCAAGCTGACAACTTCAGGCCATTGTTGTGACGTGATCAACATCAGGAACGTTGCCGTCGCGTTCCTTTGCGCTGAATTCTATACTATCTTGGTATTGCGGCTTCATAGAGATTGCGCGTTTTCATCACCTGATCAAGCCCTCTCGTAATCATTCCCATCATTCACTTGTCCGTTGCGCTGAAATTTCGACTCGCACGCGCACAAGTCTTCTTTCAAATCAATCGCCTACTCTCTCTCCTCTTGATTTGACACGTTACAAAGATCCTCTCTTCTTGATCGCATAGCCTGCGTACGTGACAGCCAACATGGCCGAACCATCTCGCGACATCTCGTCCATCCTTGCTGCCCTAGGTAGGTACCCGAAACACGATCCGCGCATTGTCTACATCCTTGACTGACTGCTTGTCTCGACAGGCGCGGCACAGAGAGGCTCGTCTTCGACACCCACTCAAGCACAACCCGGCATGCCGCCTGGTTATCCTCCTCCTCCCGGCGGACAACCCCCCTCCTACCCGCCAATGCCTCCCCAGAGCGCTCCTCCCTACGGCGGCGCTGGGGGCTATTCGTTGCCTCAGCCCTCTTCCAGTGGGAGTCTGGACTTGAGCTCGATACGACCAGTCAACTCGGGCACTGTCAGTATTGCGGATGCCATCGCGCAAGCTAAGGCCTTTGCCGCTGAAAAGGGCGTCACCTCTTACGATCGTCCCCTGATTTACTCCAACGAGCCATCGCGCGGTCAAGACTCGCGAGGGGGCTATCACCGAAGCTCTCGATCGCGTTCTCCTCCCAATCGTCGCGACCAGTTCCGCGACAACTTCAATCCTTATAGAGACGAACGCCGCGGCGATGATCGCCCTGCGCAACGGGAATACGGCCGCGAGCGCTCCTACAGCCCGGCCCAACGTGATCGTGCCTTTTCTCCCCGTAACTCGAACGGTAGAGAGCGATCACCACTCAGAGGTAGCGGCGGCGGCGGCGGCGGCGACGACAACTCCGAAACCATTCAAATCGAGTCCAGCTTGGTTGGCCTCATTATTGGTCGACAAGGCGAGAATCTCCGTAGGATCGAATCTGAGTCTAGCTGCCGCGTTCAGTTCCTTCCTTCCACTGACAATGGTCCCTTCCGCCAGTGCAAAATCACCGGCCCAAGGGCGCGCCGCGCCGAGGTGAAGACTGCCATCAATCGTATTATTGAGGACAGCGGCATGGGTGCCATCAACCGTGGTGCCGCCAACCCCAAAGCTGCCCCTCGCGACAATCGCGCTGGTGCTGGTGCTGGTGCTGCCCCATTGAGGGATGGCGAGGACTGCATGCAAATCATGGTCCCCGACAGAACTGTAGGTCTCATCATCGGCCGCGGTGGCGAGACTATCCGCGATCTGCAAGAGAGATCTGGTTGCCATATTAACATTGTGGGCGAATCCAAAAGTGTGAACGGACTTCGCCCCGTCAACTTGATTGGTTCCAGGGAATCTGCTGCCCAGGCAAAGGACTTGATCATGGAGATTGTTGATAGCGACAGTCGCAATGAAGGCCAACCAGCAGCCCCTGCTAAGAAGGCCCCGAGACAGGACGGCCCTCCTCAGAGGGACGCTGGTCCTGCTGGGGGTGGTGACAAGATTCATGATGCCATTTATGTTCCTTCTGAGGCCGTTGGTATGATCATTGGCAAGGGAGGCGAAACCATTCGTGACATGCAGAACGGCACAGGATGCAAAATCAACGTTGCTCAATCATCCGGTCCTGGAGAGGTCCAGCGAGAGATTGCGCTCATCGGCTCGCGGGACAGCATTGCCCGTGCTAAGCAAGCCATCGAAGAGAAGGTTGACGCAGTGGTAAGTCAAGCTCACAGACGGAGGCCCATGATCACATCTAACATGTAGCAGCGACAAAAGAACTCTGGCGGCGGTGGCGGCGGCGGTGGTAGTGGTGGTGGCCGCGGTCGTCGTGACCAGAACCAATTGGACTATGACAGAGGCTACTCTCAACAGGCACCTAACCCATCAGGACCAGGATCAACTAATCCCCCAGCTGCGCAAGCTCCTGCCGGAGCCGACGGCGCGGACCCGTATGCCCAGTGTAAGTTACGATGATGTAGCAGAGTATCCGGAGCCGTTCACTGACAGCATCGCAGACGGAGGCTACCAGAACTACCTTGCTCTTTGGTACCAGTCCCTCGTATATCAGCAACAGCAAGGCGGTGCAGCAGGCCAGCCAGGTTCCCAGCCTCCTCCCGGAGCCTAGTAGAGGCATCTGGCTTGCGCCCATTCCATGGGGACCATGCTTGTGTGATGTGACTGATCACTTGCCTTGGACCTCGACATGATGCTTCCTTTCGCATTGCATACATTGAAGCGACGCACATGCCCGTTTGACTCTGGTGGCTTGTCACGCCACATTTCTACGATATTTTCTTTTCGACGACTGATAGTTCTCATTCTGCTGGACATGGAACAGCACAGCGCCCATCTTGTTACACTTTGGACACGGCACCTATCAGGGGACTGAGACATGGATAAGGGGGAACAACAGGCTGCTTCAGGTCTTGCTCCGTTGACTTCCTATGCACTAAACTCACTCGACACTTGACGATGGTGATGGCATTCTTCGCTTGCACATATTCCTTGACTGGCTTGACTGGGACATCGAAACCTGACATGGATACGGTGCTTACTGACGCCTTGCGACGACATGGGTTATCTGCCAAATCTCCATGATGCACGCTCTTGACGCTTGTGTGATGGCTGGAAGACTGTTCGGCTGGAGTTGGACGCTCCCAGATCTGACAGCCGATGGTACCTTTCACATATTGTGGATTCTTCGTTCGCGCGGGTGGCTGTGAAGTTCCGAGACACTACTGCTCGCCATGATGCAAGATGCCGCTTGGACTTTGGTTGTAGAGGAAGGCCATGCTCTTCCATTCAGCCGAAGTGGTGCCTCGATTGCCTCTTTCTTTTCTGCCTAGGCGGAATCTACATGTGGGTTTGCGTCGTCCATGCCGCCTCGGACCAAGGCTTTATTTGCGTTCTCATCGTATGGGTGCATTTCTTGTCCAATCCAGCTCTTTGGTCTTCGTGGACATGATACCAAACCGTCTCTTTTTTTTTTCGTTTTTCATGCATTAGCTGATATTTACTTGATTCCCAATTTCTGTTTCTACGGTGGATGATGGTGCTAGGTATGGGCAGGTTGACGGCAGGGAGAAAAAATATGAGAAAAAAGAAAAGCGCACACTGTATAATAATAATTTTCCGCCTCAATCGAATGATTCCACGCGTTGACGATATTGGCCGTTGCGAAATACAATGGCATGTTCTCTCGTTACTCTGGAATGCAGGACGAAATGACGTGACAAATAAGGCTTCTCGGATATATACGAAAGCGAAGAGCAAAGAGCTAGGTTTGTGATGCAAATAACATTTGAAAGCAAAGCTCGAGACGTTGTCGTTTATCGACTCATACCATCCTTTTTTCCACAGATCACCAAGGCCTGGGCAGCTCTTCGTCATAGAAGCTGGTATGAGCAAAGGTTATTCGTCTCGTTCCACTGGCGATGAGAGAGTGCGGGTGTCATAATTGCCCGCAAAAGATCTGAGGACAGGGGAGGTTCTGATCTGACACACATCCGTTCACAATATGGAATCTTTTTCGTCCTTTTTTTTTTTTTTTTTGCCCAGATTTTGCTCCCCTGCATTTCCCTACCGCACTGGCTCCTTGGAGAGAGAGTTTTCTGTCCGCCCCTTTGTGTCTCAGAGGAAGGGGGAAGCACCTGCACTCTTCCGGCGATCACGGCGTCGGCCCTCTCCACGTGGCATCACGGACATTGTCAGCTTTCGCTTGCGGGTTTGCGGGTGTGGCCCCTGACTTGTGGATTACCTTAGTGTTGCCGTCTTACTTCCGAGCTTAGTAGCTTGCGCGGATGTGTTCGGACTGTTGTTACACCGGGAAGAATAGGATGCCGTGTTGATAGAGTTGCTTGTGTGGGCTGAGGATGAGGCTGGTGGTGAGATACCGCCACGCTTGCGCGGATGTGTTCAGACAGTTGTTACGCCGGGAAGAATAAGATGCCGTGTTGATAGAGTTGCTTGTGTGGGCTGAGGTTGAGGTTGGCGAGAGAAGATGCTCAGCATGGTCCAAAATTGGGTTATTGGTGCCAAGAATGGAGGATCGCTGCAGAAGAAGAATTCGATTGTATATTACACGAGCACAGTTGAAAGGGGAATAGATGCCTCGTTTGACAGGGATTACGCGACTTTGCCGTTGAATTCGAGTCAGAGGTGAATGGTGAAGTTCCGCGATATGCGTGTGTCATCGAACAGACATTTTCGCTTATCGTGTTTTGCGACATCAGGCTTGAGATTTGCGACATCAGGCTTGAGATTTGCTTTTTTTTTTCTTTTGTCATGGTGAAGGTATACATGTCTGCGTATGATTGCTCGGATTCTGACTCTCAGCCTGCAGGAGCACGAGGTTTGAGATATGCCAGATTGCCGATGCGCTGGCATGTGAGGACCAACGTCTGTGCCAGCAACAGCGGCTCACGTATCATCTCTCGCACGAATGATGAAGTAAGCTAAGTGTAGGAGTAACAACTATGGTAGAAAGATAGCCGGTATTCGGCCGTCGGGAACGACCATCTCGAAGCAGCCACCATGAGTATCCTTACTATGTAGTCAAGATATGTGCCGCGTAATAGACCTTGGGTGATGCCAGGACGTCCAGCAGAATTTCCAAATCTTTAGCAGTTACACGTAACTGCTACGCTTGACATGTGAGAAACAAAAGTCTTTCAGTCTGTGTCCCATCGGTCAAGGTCCCCCGGTGCCGTCCATCCGAACCATGCTGAAGATGGATTGACATATCTCGCACACCCGGCATCAAGGTGAAAGTTCATTGGGCGGCGGAACGAGGTACCCCTGAAAAGTAGCTTGATGCGACAAAAAGAACGCCACACGGACTCGTCCATCCATGTAGCCTGAAGCGTTCCCGCCTCCTGCCTTTGCGGTGCTGTGCCCTTTGGGGGAAGGGGGTTCCCCTACCAATTGCAATCGCGAGACGGCTATATCAAGGTTAAGGTTGGAAGGGTGGAAAAGACGTGACGAACAGATTTACCTTGCATCGGCAGCACGTTCTAGTCTGACCTGCGGCGCTTGCCAGCACGCAACGCACATACGAGCACGCATCGCGCCCTTGTTTGGGGGCTGACGAGTGGGAAAAAGGCAATACTCGAGGGCGTAACAGTTCGGCAGGGCGCGGCTCTGATTGCAAGGTTTTAACCAGCGTTACGTTGCCCGGATGAGGGTGTCAGACTGGGTCGAGGGATTCGAGCTGTCAGAAATTTCGACGAGCATTTTCGCATCTTGAATTTGCAATTCGTCTGGGCCACTGGCTTGCTTGATCACCAATGTCTGTGTCATGCGTTTATTCAAGGAGCTATGCCGCCTGGGGCTATCTCCGCGTGAGTATGTTTTCAAGGACGATATCTGGTTCTGTGAAGCATTGGAGGGGGGGGAATGAGATCACGCAGGTGAGTTGGGGTTGTATTGCAGCGTTCGTTCTTGGTCAGAAGGCCAGTTCGTATAACGGGTGGTATATTTATATGTATATTGTGGGTGGCAGGCCTCGCCGGCCCGTCACGTGGGCTGACGGCCGCCACCACTGGTCTTAGCCAGCCTCCACAGCCCTCTAGCCAGTTAGTTAGTTCTTCCAACCAACAACACCACTTTTCCCATTCTGAGCGTTCTGTGCCGGTTCTCGCCTATAGGTTATAAGCCTAGCGTTATTCTTTCGGAATAACGTCGTTTTACTTATTTCTACCTATTATTCTACTCGTCTATTAATTTTCTATTGATTTACGAATTTTTGCGATTTTATTTGCTTTATTTACCTTTCTATGCGATTTTCTCGCTTTCTTTCCTCTTCGCTAACGAATTTCACTTTCTAACGCGATATTAGCTGCCTAGCGCGCACGAATATTACATAGCACGCGACCGACTACTATAACCTACTAGTTTTTATAAATACTACGGAATTCTATTATAATAATAAACCTTTTAGTTATAACTATACTTTTACTTCGATTTCCTCGTTTTTATAAGAATTTAACTATTTTAGCTTCGGTTTTTCAAACTAGCTTATTAGTTTCTTATATCTTCTATAAGTATTTATTCTTCCCTTCGATTTACTATATTTCTATAGTTAGATCTTATAATTCTACTTATTTCTTATATTCTTATATAAGATTCTCCTTCCTATATAATATTTATACTTCTTTAGTACTATTTACTTATTAATACTTTCCCTTTCTAATAGCACGCGTAGGTAGTAGCGAAAGTAAGCTATCTAACGTATAGACACGCCTCTAAAGCTATAGCCTTAGAGAAACGCTTATAATCGAGGTACGACTATAAGTCTATCCCGTATTATTATAATACCCTTATTTTTTACTTTAAGATGTTTTAAAACGACTTTAAGACCGTCTTTACGCTTCTTCCTTGCTTAAAAGGTAAATCTAACTAGAATATATAGCATATGCTTATTATAGCGACCTTGCGAGGATACGACTTCGAGATATTCCTCGAGACTAACGTCCCTCGCCTTGCTAACCCTATCGCTATAGAGGAATAGAGAAAGAACCGTAACGTTATATATAGTCTCCTTATAAACGCTAGCAAATCGGTTCTTAATAGACTCTATATAGCAGGTTAGGTTAACGATAGAAACCTTTATAAATTATAGCAAGCGCTTAAGAAGTATATTCCGAGAATCTTATAAGACGCTATAGCTACCCTTATTAACAAGTTTGCTAAGACTACTACTAACGATTATAAGACTCTTTATAATACCCTTAATCGCTATTACTACCTTAGAAAGCGTATTAAGA